CTAAGCGYCAGTTTGAGTTCCCTGARCCRTCGAGCTTCCCTGAACGTCCGGGCTTTGAGCGCCCTTTCCCCTCYGGCTTCGCWAAGCGYCAGTTTGAGTTCCCTGARCCRTCGAGCTTCCCTGARCGYCCGGGTTTTGAGCGTCCTTTCCCCTCYGGCTTCGCTAAGCGTCAGTTTGAGTTCCCTGAACCATCGAGCTTCCCTRMACGTCCGGGTTTTGAGCGTCCTTTCCCTTCCGGCTTCGCAAAGCGTCAAGTCGAGTTCCCTGAGCCTTCTAGGTTCCCGACTCCTCATCCTTCTACGCCTCTTGCTTTCCGTACGCCTACGCCTACGCCTACCCCAACAACGGCTTAAAGACTTGTCGGTCGGGCCTTTCAACAAAGCCTAGCCCAATGCTCTGGCCGATTACTTGGCGAGTGTTGTGAACGAAAGGTTGAAGTTATAATATACTAGACGGGGAAGATTGTTCGTTGATAATGTGTGCTCTGCTTGGAATTGGTTTTTGTCGATTGTTGAAATCACGATGTATTTACACTCTCATTATATGCTTGCGCAAAAACTGTTAGATGACATCGAAATATCAAGCTATTAGATATATAATGACATTGCTAATTGCTGACGACTAATGAGTCATGTTTTTCGTATATGTGCGAGCATGTAATCTTCCCAACCAGGACCTGGATGTATATCTTCGAATCCTCTTTCCAAAGATCATGAAAATCACGACAACCAGATTATTAGCGAGCAACACAGCACAGAAGATACCCGAAATTACAACCACATAGCCTCGCTGCAACACCCAGTCTAGAAGATACAAGCTCATTCCAAAGGATATAGCTTGTTTGCCGAGGTTCATGGCAATTAGCATTTCAGGCGTATTTGCGTAGTACGAGTCCACGGCATAGGCAAGTACGAATGTGAAGTAAAAGTACGAGCCGAATTGATCCATAGCCACACCGACAAAGTAGCCCATCCAGTGCAGGTTGCGTTCTGCGGTGAAACCGAAAAGGATAAGACCAGCGGGTGGGATGAGCATTGGTAATAGCAATATGCCCAATCGCATTTCTGCCTCGCGGATACCGCCGTTCTTCTTAGTGAGATAGGCTGCTAGACGGTCGGAGCTGGAAGTGAAGGGTAAAGCGAGGGCGTAGCCAACAAGAGTTGCGATTGCAAGAAGGCCGGAGTTTGTCTGACTCCAGTTGTATGGTGGTGCTGTGATTTTTATCGGGAAGACGTAATTGAAAGAGAAAGCTCCAAGGCCGATATATATGCCTATCAACACGTTATTAGCCTAATCACTGACTGATATAGATGTGTTCATCATACCAAAAGTTGTAATAACCCAGAGAACTGCCGGTACGCAAAAGTAGGTAAATGAACGTAACATCGTAGCGAAGAATCTTGCATCAGGGTCGATCGAGCTCCAGGGACGCAGTGTTGAAAGATACGTCTTGCGGGCTGGAATGACTGCTGGACTGATACTCTCGGTATGCGCAGCAGTTTGTAACTTTTCATCGGCAATATCGGACCTTTGAGTGGTGATTTGTTCCGGCCGTTTAAAGTTGGTTTCTTCCACAAGGAAAAATGCTGCAACAAGAAGAGCGGCTGCAAAAGCTAGAACAACATAGAAGAACAATCTCCAAGAATAACCACCGGCGAGCATGTACCCAGCGTAGAGCGGTCCAGTAGCCCCGAGACAGAGACAGACTACCAGCAGTTAGTAACGCTGTCGGACTCCTGAAGCAAACTTACTTGTATAGTAACCTAATCTCTTTCCTCGTTCGTGCAAGAAGAATATATCATTGACAAGTTGAACGGGGAGTGATTCGCAGACTCCGCTACCGAAGCCACAGAAAACGCGAGCGACCATAAGACCTTCGTAGGTTGTGGCTTKTGAGGCACCAATCAATCCGCCCACAAACTAGACATATGTATAAGTATTTGTTCGGTTAATATCTGATTATCAGTACTGACAAATGCCATGGAGAGCAACGTTACGGGTCGACGTCCGATTTTAAGATACAAGGGCACGAGGATGAGTGAACCTTAAGAGTCAGTATGATTTAACATCGTAGACATGGGTACTGACCGAATCCGAACGCAAGGTTTGGATAAGACACCAATCCAGAAGCAGTTGTAGTCGAGATACCAAATTCTTCGGCGTAGATATTGATGTAAACTGCCGGTCCAGTAAGGGCGCTATTACCGAGGAACGAGTAGAGAGCACAGATGATCAGTATCGAGGATTTCTTCCACTCCGGCCACTGAAGCGGGTCATTGGGGTCATCCGTGGGTACTGGATAAAGAGCTTGTCCATAGCCAGTGTCGTCACCTGCGGTGGCGTTGAGATCGACTGTTCCGGGGACGTCAACTTCATGCGCATGGCTATGGTTGTTAGCAATTCCGTCAGAACATCGAGAAAAGGGGCGAGGGGCCGACACGCTTACCTATGAGCTAGATGCTGGTGGCCGTCTGCAACTATTTGTGTATCCGCCATTTTGTTGTTTGTGCAGCTCAACGACAGGGTGCTCTAGTCCAAGGATGGCAGACTTAATCGTTTTAAGTATCCTTCTCAAGATGGGGAGCTCCTCCGCAAAAACCCCAGATCATCGAGCACCAAGCTCTGAAAGTTTGCGGGGCTATCACATTGTGGGACTAGGTAGATTCTTAGAGCGTCTGTGCTATAGCAGATCTTCTCCATCTTTGTCGTTGATGGATTGAACGAAAATGATCGACTATGCAAGCCGATAGCTTTCTGGCATATCACTGGATAGCTCGATTCTATCAACACGTTGAGCACGCTTGTAAGGCGTTGTAGTTCTTGTATACAGCCCGCCATGCTGCTGGCCCCTGAAACATGAGAAGCGGATGCTTCATGGCAATCCGTATCAGTCACAGCTGGGCATCGTAAGCTCCTTGTGAGCAACAAGAACATACCTTGGGAAAGATGAAGCGGTCATGCTTCAATCATATAATGCATACAAGCAGCACCTTCCTAATGGGCATTAATTGAGCAGAAGGAAAGAACAACCCCAGATTGTGGCACGTGCACGACACTCTGGGGAAGGACCCATCATCGACCAAGATGGGGCTCTCGTCGGTACTTTTTCTCTTTTGCTGGCCCCACGTCCTTCTCCACGATTCTTTTTGGGTTCATGTCTATTGTTTTCGCTTTCTTTCATCCCGACTCCCCATTATCAAACATCCAGCTGTCAAATGGCATATACAGAAGAGTCGCTAGGGGCCAGTCACATACACAATGTTTCGCAGCTCCAGTATGTATTATCAGGGCCGCATTCCTTTGTATGCGATATGTTCAATGGACCATGAAGAACGAACTTCCGCCCACGGCAATTTAACATCAAGAAGACAATAGATTTCTCCAGCAATATGATGCTGAGGAACAAGTTCGACCTCACATAGCGCTGTTCTATATCGCAAGCCATCAGAACATCTCCAGCTGCACTGTAACGCTCCTTGCCGTGATTCCGCGACATTCCAATCTTCAGCCGAAGCTATAGTTGTAACAATGCCAAGAACTGCTTGATCGAGAATTATCAATATGATAAATCTCTCTGATTGACGCAAAAATTATTCATCGCAATTTTATTCTCGGAGTTGAATGAGCTAGTCAATGTCACTACGATCTGACGTCGAAATGCGAGAGAAGAACCCCAAGTCAGGCTAGATATAAAGAGGACTTATTAGCATTTTGTGACAATGTTTCAACTACCAAGCAGCAATGAAGACGACAACCCTCCTTGCCGGCGCCCTTCTGGGCCGCTACGTGTCAGCTCAGACCGTAGGTGCCTGGGGTCAATGCGGAGGTATTAATTATTCAGGTTCTACAACATGCGTTTCGGGATATGTGTGCACATATGAGAACCCCTACTACAGTCAATGTATTCCAGGTGTGTTCCCATCTTGAACGCTTTACCTTCTCTCTAAGAATCTAGGTACCGCCACGACTACGACCTCTTCTACGTTGATAACCACAACCTCCCGGACAACTTCGTCCACAACTTCGTCCACTTCGAAAACGACTTCAAGTAAGACTACTACTACTTCAGCTCCGACGTCTACCGGCTTTTCTAAAGTCAATGGTCTCAACTTTACCATCGATGGAGAAACAAATTACTATGTGGGAACGAACACCTACTGGCTTGCCTTCTTGAGCAATAACAGTGATGTCGACCTCGTCCTCAGCGACATTGCATCATCTGGTATGAAGATTCTCCGCGTCTGGGGTTTCAACGACGTCAACACTGTGCCCTCAGCTGGAACTGTTTACTTTCAACTTCTTGCGAACGGCACAGCAACAATCAACACAGGTGCTGATGGTCTTGAGAAGCTGGACTACGTTGTGAGCTCGGCTGAAGCTCATGGAATCAAATTGATTATTCCTTTTGTCAACAACTGGAGTGACTATGGAGGAATGGCAGCATATGTTACCGCGTTTGGAGGTTCGCAGACGACTTGGTACACTAACACCGCGGCTCAGGCGGCATACCAAGCGTACATCAAGGCCGTTGTCAGTCGGTATAGCTCATCGCCAGCTATTTTTGCATGGGAACTTGGCAATGAGCCACGGTGTAATGGATGCAATACATCGGTCATTACTAACTGGGCGGAAACTACCAGTGCCTACATTAAATCCCTAGATTCAAACCACATGGTCACTACTGGCATTGGTAAGTGCAAGTCGATACACAAGCAAAGCACTTGACTAACACGTGGTCAGAGGGATTCGGTCTTGATGCCGGATCGGACGGTTCATATCCCTACACGTATAGTGAGGGAACAAACTTTACAGCGCTCCTTTCCGTTCCTGACATCGACTTTGGCACTATTCACTTGTACCCTGATAGTTGTGAGTAGTAGTCCCGAGAAGCTTACGTACTTCATGCTAGGGGAATCTATGCTGATCGACTTAACAACAATAGGGGGCGAAGCTTTGAGCTGGGGCAGCAGCTGGGTCTCAACCCACGGAGCGGCCTGTGCATCCATCGGCAAGCCATGCATTCTCGAAGAATTCGGAACAACAAGCAACCAATGCGCGAACGAGGCGCCGTGGCAGGCCACTGCTCTTGATACCAAGGGTATAGGGGCCGATATGTTCTGGCAGTACGGAGATACTTTGAGTACAGGACAGTCGCCGAATGATGGCAACACGATCTACTATGGCACATCGACGTTTACGTGCATCGTGACAGACCATATTGCCGCAATTTAAGATGTTATCACCGACAAGTTGTTGCATGTTGATAAGTAATTGGGCGTGGTTGTAGTTGAAATGACATGTCAGATTAGTGGTCACGGAATTGATGCAAGGGTCTCTAGCGAGCAATAGTACTTGTAACTACCGTGATCATCTCGTTCAAATAACACATTGTAACAACGATAGTCTAAACCGCTCAAACCAGCTTATGCGGTATAACATACAAGTATTGCGATACGGCGATGCCACATCATAGACAACTGATACCCGATACCTACCCAAGCACATAATAGAAGAATCATCAACCTAGCTTGTGCACGAAACTGCATTAGCCTCAGACTCCATGACCTCGTAGCCAATAAGCACATGCAACATGTATGAATCTCTTGTCAAACATCAGCCGCTACATTGAAGCCGGTCTTACGTGGCAGTGCTGTGGCAGTGCTACATATCTCTCTTTTGGTAGCGTATCTGAAACGTTTCAGGATGCACTATTTGGTGTATTATTTGGTGTACAGAAAAAAATCGTCATTGGATACCGGATCGTCCGGTTAAACTTCTGGCTGATCCCTGGATATATTAGACAGGAAATTTTCCGGCCCGACCCATAGTAAGTGGTCGAGGATTGCATCACTGGACTAGCCGAATGCCCGACAGTGCTGGTTGAATCAAGTATACATGTGGTCCACGACCATCATTATCACCACACTCGCCATCAAAGCATAGAATTATGACTGAAAGAAACGAGAAACAGAGAAGAGAAATTACCTCATGCTGGGAACAGCCCGCCCTAGTCCCGATCGGGTATTCGATTAGAGATATCGGGATCCCGAAACTAGACTAGCGCATAGATTAGATTTGATAGCGATAAGCCTAGGGTTGTTGGACAGGGTTGGTATCATTAGTCTGAGCTGTATATGATTGCGTGGACTACTTACTATATACATGACTCAAGTCTTGACAAAATATGCATTCCGTACAATAGATAGTCATGCATGTTCGTATATCGCTCAACGCACAACTTCTGCTAGTTTCTCCACCCCCCGGTGCAGATTTATGGAGATTCTTCCAGGCCCTATGGGCAAGTACATCACTAGCCTCCTACGTACGTCCATACTATGTAGCTGCCCCATATATATGCTTTCCCTCTTGCAACAAGTTCGATGTGCATCGACTCCGACTGGTCAGACAAACCCCCCCTTCAAACAGTCTTTCGTCTCGAAGAATATGAATGTATGCCCGAAGGGTATGTACTCTCAGTATGTCTCCGCAATGCGTGGAATCATGGACCAGGCTAGAAACCCTTACCTCACCGAGATCTAGTGGCCTAGCCTGCTACTAGTCGTCGAAGTTGCGATTCTTGTTGCTGTCAGCTAGTATCATTACTGGTTTCGAGTATCCACTTTCTTACTTGCTGCTGTTATGTGGCAGTGATTTACCGTGCGTTCGGTATCTCATACTTATAGATGTGATGTAGCTGCCAGATGCTAAATTTTTACTCAACTTCCATACATAGAGGTACATGATTTGCGACTAAATTGTCGAGATAGACACGGTAGTAATCAGTCCTGTCCAAACTGATTCAACTCTATCTCTTCAATGTTGCTGCCAGTCCTTACCAAAACGTCGGGTCCAACTCCCAGATCCTCCTACCAGTTCCTCCTAACCACAGCCTTGACCATATCTCTCTTAATATCAACACCAACAGCACAAAATATAACCTTCCCCCTCCCCCTCCCCACAAACCACAACTGCCGCGACCCAAGTATCATCCTCTACAACGACTACTACTACCTCTTCTCCACCAGCTCCCAACTCTCCTACTGGCGCGCCTCCAACCTCTCCGGACCCTGGCACCCAGCAGGCTCCGTCCTGCCACGCAGCACCGGCAGTGTAATCGACAAGGGCGATCCACGCCAGCCCTGGGCGCCCACCATTTTGCTAGTCAATGATACATTCTACTGTTTCTATTGCGTAAGCACAATCAATACACGGAACAGCTCAATTGGCGTCGCGACTTCTACTTCGCTCGACGACGGAGGAGCTGGGACGTGGACAGATCACGGCGCACTCATCAATACCGTCTCCGGCGCGAACGCAGATGTATTTCCCTACAACGACTCAAACGCTATTGATCCCAGCATCGTTGTTGACCCTGTCGGGAACAGCGGGCAGGCATGGTTGACATTCGGGAGTTATTGGAGCGATATATGGCAGGTGCCTTTATCCGCTGATCTGTTGTCCGTCGAAAATGCGGACGATCCCAATGCGACGCATGTAGCGTTCAATGCGAGCTTTCCGGCTGAGGAGGCGTCGTTTGTGAGTTATAAGGCGCCCTGGTATTATCTGTGGTATAGTAAGGGGTATTGTTGTGGGTTGGATATTGATGATCTGCCGGCTGCGGGGACCGAGTATGCCCTCCCCCTTTTTTCTCACTTTCTCTGTTGGGTGAAATAGGATGTGCTGATTAGGGTAGGTATTCGATCCATGTCGGTAGATCTCTGGAAGTCTCAGGTCCATACTTGGATAAGGACAATGTCTCGCTGGCCGAGGGTGGTGGATCGATAATCTATGGCTCGAATCATGATGGTCAGGTCTATGCTCCTGGGAGCAGTGGTGTGATCAGTAGTGATTCAGGACAGGATGTTTTGTATTATCATTACTGTGAGTATTCCACCCTTGACAGCATAAAGCATCGAAGTGCTTGCTGATTGCTTTCAGTGAATCTGAGTATAGGCGTTTCAGAGGGGGTCAGTCATTCCCCCTAACTTATCTTCGAGGAGGATAATTTAATCGTGGTGTTTAAATATAGGACGCAATCCTAGGCTACAATTACCTAGACTACGATGACGGCTGGCCTGTCGTGAGCTCCATGTACGTCTTCCATTATGTGTAAGCAGCGAGTGCGCAGAACTAACAGCAAAAGACGCCCCGAACCCAGCAACGTGCAAGACATGAAATCCGCAGCGTCGAATGTCTTGTTGATGCAAAACTTTTTATATTTATGTAAGTCTATTCATACTCTTTCCAGTCTGATTAGGCGTGTTAACGTGTGTTCAGGTATGGTTCTGTGCACTTTATGGCTTTTATGAGATATGATTCTGGCTTCTACACTGCATATATTTTGGATAGAGAAGGTAAACTTGAACATGACAGATACGGGGTTTCAAAAATAGATGGATTAGCACTGAATAGACTTTGATGTTCTTTTTTGGGTTCTCTTTACCAGCATGTTGATACATGGGATTGCTAGGGATGTCTAAAGGGGTGTATGCCCACGGTCAGATGGCTCTCAATGTTATGTCGTGCCTCGCTCGTATAGGGTTCGCTTATGATCGAATCTAAAGGATCATATCCTGATCAAGTAGGATCAATCTTGTAGGACTTCAATGTTCCATTTCAAATCGTGTTAAAACAAATATTCATATCTCATATATTCAGCGCTAATTGAAAACCCCAAACGCCTGTTTATGCACGGTGACAGTCGATCATAGCCCATCTTATATACAAAACACATATATACATGTCTATAGGCACAACACCTAGAAGAAATCACTCACAGAGGACCACTTGCAACACTTGGCTTCAGCGAATCATCACAAAACAGCTTTAATATCCCGTCAATCACATTAGTCGCGGTATCCTTGGACAGAGCAGGGGGTAGTTTTTCGCCAGCCGTCATCTTCAAGTGATGCCGCAGAGCAAACGTCGCCGCTCTATATGTAGCGTGATACATAGCTTTAAAATCATCCTCCTCAGGAACGGAAATGCTAGGATATTCCGGCATCATGCTATTTTCACGCTGATAAGCATCTGGTTCATGACTTGGTTCCCCAATGCCAACTGCTAGAGACTTCGAGCGGTTCGCTTTGCGATTGTAACCATATAGACGCATACAAGTCAATATTGTGCGGGTGATCAAATCCTTGTTTCGTGTCACGAGCGTTTCTCCGTCTGTCGGTGATGATAATTGCGGCTCAGGGACATCCTTCGGTGGCGCCGGTTTCACAAAGTCAATGGTCGGAGACGGTACAACGGATTGACTCCGCGCAGTCTCAATATTGCTAGATACGTGAGACAGGTTCGGTCTTGATTTGGAATCTCGGCGATTGGCCATTCCCTTCGATGAGCCGGGTCTTTTATCGCCAACACCCGCGCTTTCGCTGAGTTTGCTCAATTGAGTCCCACCTAGAGAGAGCGAGCGAGCCCTACGAAGATCTATTTGTCCCAGGATAGGACTACCGAGCTCATCTGTCTCCTTCTTGATCTTCATCGAGGATAATTGAGGTATCATCTCCCGCTGCCGGACACGGCGATGATGCTGCGCCGCTCCCTCAAAAAGAGACAATATCCGTTTGCGCTTAGGACTGGGCGAGCGCAAATCTGGTAGAAAGTTTGCAAAGGTTTCATCTTTGTTGTGGCTGGGATCATCTCCAGCTGTACTCGCGGGTGGTGAAGGTATATCCTGCACCTTTTGTGCATAAGATGTTGCTAACGGGGCGGCGTATATTCGTAGCTCCCTCTTGATAATTAATCCATTCTCTCCGGTAAGAGACAAAGAGTCGGGTGGTGAAGGCGGTCGAATCCTAGACTCATCGTGACTAGATGATAATATGCCATATATAAGGAGATCCGACACATTGTTCGCGGCCGATGCGTAATTTTGACTGGTAGTCACGCTGACTAAGAAGCCCACTGGGCATTGAATCGTAGTAAAACGCTCAAAGATTGCGCCGTCGTCTTCATCGACCCATACACCGCCGAGTAACCTTGATTTCAACCATTCCGACGTTTCCTTGGTGGTAGAATGTAGTTCAACACTGGGACCTGCTCGCGCATATAGAGGGATCAGAGCCGGATTGACCAAACTGTGTAATGATAGTTTGGCATCTTTCGGTAATATGTTTTCTCGTCGTTGAGATGCGGTGATGAGTTTGATCTCTATAGTTGTTGAAATAGTGGTTAGTCAATAGCTGTGATGGTCGCAGTCGATAATTCGGAGGACCTACTTAGATCAGAGCTAGTATTGACATTAATACTGCCCGACCAGATTTCCATTCCGTCGTATCAGAGAGTGCGTCGCATCACGAAGCTTTGGATGTATACGGTGCTTGTTGAAGGGTGGTTCTTCCGCATTAATACGCGACGCGACAATACGCCAGGTCACGTGCCACGTATCAACCTAATTAACGTTCAATTATCATATCGAATTCTCAGATAATGTATCTCTCAACATTGTGAGACAAATTATACATACTCGAGGTAACAGTTCAATATCCCTCTATTTCCTCCAGATAATCATATGGTACATCGTAGCTCGAAATACATTCAAAAACCATCAGATTGCCTTGCAAAAGCAGAATAAGAGAAATGAATCGTGCTTGAAAGAAGAAACAATACAAATATGAGCTAATGCCGAGTCTCAGTGCATAGTAATGATCCAGTCAGGCTGGACCGGTCTGATAGCAATCAAATATCAATATAAAAACGTCAACAGAGGATCAACATTCACTAAAATTCCTCCTGCTCCTGGAAAAATGTACTGAAGCTGATGATGGTACCGTAGATCAAGAGACCTCCCAAAATCGACATGATCATGGCAGGGTACCCGATATAGCCGCAGTGAGCTAGGACTGTAGGGAGTGCTGTACGAACCAAGTCAGTACACACCGTATACAAAAACGCGCCAAATTGACGATGCAACTTACCTATACCCATAAGAACCAAGAAACCCGTCAAGAATCGCCCAAAGTCTACAATAGCATTTCCAGAGCTCTCAATGAAATCATCCGGATTCCCACAGTGGCTGCATATCCAATTCGGCAACGGCGCAACGACGTATGTCGCGACGACTAGTAGAGGGTGATATTTCCCCCATATAGCTGCTGATAGAATGACTAGCAGGAAACCAATGGCCAGGATCTGTGAAAGTTGTAGATGAGTATAACGTTCATTTCAGGCGCCTGCCGATCTTGCAACGAATATGGCAGGKCCACGGTCCGGATCAACTCACAAACGAGAGGACTATAATCGTCCGTAATCCTTGAGTAGGCATCCTGACTGTTTATATTTGCTGGTGTGTTATTTGAGCGATTGCGAAGAGTGCGCAGCTCCGAGGCCGGCCGTTAAAGATCAGGTCGCAAGAGTTCCGTGTGATGCCGTCTGTGTCGGAAGAATATTTTAGTCGTGAATCAAATCTATATGAAGGTAGGATGTAGTGCGAGTTCGTACGCCACGAAATCAAGAAACGCAGTGAGGACGTTGTAGATCGAAGCTGAGCTTGACGGTTGGTAGTCGCTGCCTTCGAGCTTGAGGGCTGGAGACGTTGCGGATGCCGAAGCTTGGCGCGGGTCATCCGATGCTGCAAACAAAGCAAACCTCCACTAAAGATTCACTTGCAACATCTCACCAACTTCTTTCCCAGAGCTCTTCTTGCTAATACAATCACATAGCTTGTACTCAAATTAGAGCTCGACGATGGAGCAGGCACAAGATGTCCATCTCGAAGAAGTCTTCTGGCGATCGCCGCAACATGTGCAAATGATGGGGGGATTCCTCCATTCAAATAACAGTAAGAACAACCCAGCTACAGGCGCATCACATCAAGCTGATTTGAGGAATGTCAGTTCTCTTCTACTTTGCTGAATCGCCCTTCTTCGATGCAACCTCCAACAACGCCTCACTAGCCATCCAAGCAAACTACAATGAAGCCTTTCGTCACTTCCTCGAAACGCGCGATGTGTTTGAAGGCAGACTCAAGACAATGCAGGGGCTAGAATTCATGGTCGCATATGATCCATTACAAGCTGCAGCTCAGTCAGACACACAATTTGCCCATGAGCCGTCGAACATATGGATTATTCGCAAACAAATGCGACAGAAGCGGCCGGGAATGGAGGATGATGTTGTGGTGCTTTCGACGTTTTATATTGTTGGTGATTCGGTTTACATGGCGCCTGCCGTGTCCAGCGTTATTGGGAATCGAATAGTGAGTATATCCACCGGGTTCAAAGGATCATTTCTAACATTGTATAATCTAGCTTTCTGCCGTCACATCGCTCACCAAACTCATGAATGTCGCCTCCCCTCTCCCGATCTTCACACCTTCATACGGACATACATACATGCCGCCAGGCCCCAAAGCAGCAGATGCTCCACACGCAGCTGCATCTCAACAGACTCAACAAAGCAAAGAGTCAACGCCTATGCCTGATTCTCAGGCTACCGTCAAGGCTTCCTTATCCACCGCCAACGTCAAAGATACCTCGTACCAGGATACGCGAAACCTGATGGAAGCAATGAACCTTCTTTCGAGGTATGGAGACGAGTACATGGACGAAACTCCCCTGACTGGCGAGCCAGGCTCTTTTATTTTGTCAAAGGCCACAGAGACTGCAGGTACTTCGCGGCGGTCTGGGGGTTCCAAGGCTATGCATGCGCCTGCTGTTCCGAGGAGGCTCGGCACTCCAGCAGTCACTGACATGGCGACTCCTTCGAGAGGTGGAGAGTAGATGTAAGCATTTTTTCGTTTTGGAGTAGTTTAAATGATACCCGGGATTTTCCCATGTTATGCTTGATCTATTTCTTCTTTTTTCCAGGCGACCTGGATATATCTGAAATATCCATACCATTTAAGAGAGCCTCTACTCTTGCACTTCATACCTTGCTAAGCAATAGATGTTGGCTTGAAGATTTGAGCATGATCCCTTATATCAGTCTCATTGTACCCTCAACACCAAAGACCCTTATAAATCAGGGAGCAAATGCCCATTTATTCCAACTCACTTCACCGGAATCCATGTTGCTGCAGGTCCTCACGGAGACACTCTGTACTCTATATTACAAGGAATGGACATTAGTGACATCGGCCAGAAAAAGTTTTATGCTATCCGAGCCAATGAGGACGCTGGAATGCGAACATCATACATAAAATAAGACAAAATCTTTTAGTTGGAGCTACTGTCTTATGATATCTTGTATACATCTATATATACAAATATACAAGTCTAATTGGTACGTGAAGTTGAGGGTCGAGGGGAACTCCACTTTGGAGGTTGTGAGTCATGGTATCCGAAGGAAGCACGATGGAGACTACTACTTCTTTTCTGTCCACATACTGTCATATGATAAATTAAATTTCCGAGAGTATCACTTCTCGTTCAGTCTCTTAGTAGCTTGTGAGTTGCTGTGGTAATTTCCAGGTTTATCTGCACATGATTGCTGACTGAGTCATACTTACATACAGCGAGAGAGCTTCATATACGTATCAACCAGCACAAGTATAGTCAACACCTATATTTCAGAGGGACAAGAGTATAAAAACACCGCAATGAGTACTTCAACTACCAAAGACAAACCCACCGTCGTCTGCGTCTTGTATGTCTAACCCCCCAATATTCATAACCACCCACTAACCCATCCACAGCTGCGGCTCAGTCGGGGGCAACAACCCAGTACACATGCAAGCCGCCAAAGACCTAGCGCGCGCCTTCCATGAGCAGAATGTGCACCTCGTCTATGGCGGCGGCACAAATGGGCTCATGGGCCATATAGCGCGCGAACTCGTGCGTCTCTCCGGTCCCGAGGCAGTGCACGGCATCATCCCCAAGGCTCTCGTGAAGGTTGAGCCAGGATACCAGCAACAAGACGATAAACCTTCTGCTGCCAAAGATGAAGGAGCGCCCGATATCCAGACCCAAGAAGGAACTGGCAAAACTCACGAACGCGTCCTCAAGGCCGACAAGAGAACCGAGATCATTGAAGCCGAATACGGCATCACCACCATCGTACCAGACATGCACACCCGCAAACGCCTCATGGCGACCAAAGTGATCGAGGGTGGGCCCGGATCCGGGTTCGTAGCCATGGCGGGCGGATTCGGCACAATCGAAGAAGTAATGGAAATGACGACGTGGAATCAACTGGGGATCCACAAAGTTGGGATAGTGCTTCTGAATCCAGAGGGGTATTGGGATGGAGTTTTGGCGTGGATTAGGACTGCGGTTAGGGAAGGATTTATCTCAAAGGCCAATGGGGAGATATTGGTGGATGTGCACGAGGTTAAGGATGTGTTGCCCAAGTTGAGGGATTATCGGACCAGTGTTGATCGGTATCAGTTGACTTGGGGTGAGGAGTGATATCTATTTCATGGGTTTTCCATGATTGGCTTGTTATCAGGTATGCTCGAGGATTGTTGTTCGGTGGCCGGTGGTGTTTGGGTATAGATACGATAGTATGAATAATGATATATCCTATGACGATTGCTTCTCGTGATAGATTCACTACGTACTTAGTATATATGAATTCAACGTAATCCATTCGTAAAGAATCAGGTCTATTGTGAATACGACAACTAATTACTGCGTATCAACCTCCATTTCACCACCCTCAGTAGTCGCTCCATCCAACGCCTCCAACAGCGCACCAATGTCCTGCCCATCATATAGCTTAAAGTTCTCCAACTTTGTACCCTTGGAAGCCGTCGCCGCATCCTTGGGGACAAGACCCACAACTCCCACAGTGGTATTATCAATCGTCAGCTCCTTATCCTGCGAGAGAGTCTCCCTCAACGCCTTGAGGCCGTGGTTAATCAACTCCTCGCGCGAACAATCCGCAAACTCCGCCAGATTTCTTTCCAGATAGGTTCTCGCCATCTGTGACCGAGCCCCAATCGCGCACGCAAGCATCTCCTGCGTCATACCGGAGGGTTGGAACTCGAATAGATGCGGGCCCGCATCGTCAACACCTGCAACTAGAAGTCCGACACCGTATGGCCGTTTGCCGTAATGTTGTGTGTTAGTTTGTGCGCGATCGCCGATTTGGGTTACGATTCGGTCGAGCGGGATAGCGCGGCCGTATGTCATGCGCGAGCCGAGAGATTGCTGTTTCATGAAGTTGGAGAGGACGCGGGCGTCGGAGCTGAGGCCGGCGATAGCGATGCCCATGTGTGTGTCGATTTCGATGACTTTTTTCTGGTACGAGGAGAGTTCTTCTGCATTTCGCTGCGACCGTTAGCTTCTGGAAAAGTAGGAAGATGATGCTCATGATGATGGATACCTTCAATCCCACGAGAACGGCATGTGTCTTGCTCACTAATCCGACCACGACGGAACCTTGTTTGACAGCCTCTTGAGCATATTCCACCTGGAAGATACGGCCTTGCGGCGAGCTGAGAAATCATTAGCCTTTGGATCTTCATGTTTCATCATCACCAGAGCTAGATGGAGCTGATGTGAGCTGCCAGCCTCAATCAACTTACAAGGTCACCGAATCGTTATCGTAATTGTTTCTGAACATGGTTGTATGAGACCGATATCAAGATTGGAAATGTACTATAGCTGCAGTTCCAGGTTTCTGAAAAGCTGCTGTTTGTTTGATTCAAGGAAGGTCTGGCTTGTTGATGTTGATTGATAAAGAAGGTCCCAGGCAGTAGCAGCGACCCGTACGTCGTTGGTTGTTCGGAGCTCTACCAGACTAGTCCAGTTTGGGTTAGCGACTTGAGCTTGTTGTAGCCTCAGGCATCACATCTACTTCAATTCTAAATGTTGGTTAGACCTACTCGATCTGTCTTTCTGGAATACTCATGGATAATCTATTGCATGCTGGAAAATGAGATGAGGCGGTCATTCACTATACCATTAGTCATAGCTCAACAGAAATGCGAGATGAAGCCATTCTGACAAGATAGTGGATGATATAAACCCGATCACATAATCGAACCTAACTGCCAATAATACACACATAAAGTCATCCAGACGCCGCAAATAACAATTACACGTTTGCACAAAAAGTCGGCGTAGACAGAGAAAGGGGTGGTAAGTGCTCAATAACAAGGATCTATGAAGTAAACATGACGAAGAAACGAATCTGCATGCTATACAATGTACAACAATACTGATTTCGGTAGAACAACTAGTCAAGACAGCGAAACGTCCTTCTCTGAGAAACCATTCTCAAAGCTGATGTAGAGCTTAGAGGGCGAGGTTATATGTATAATCGTCCTCGATGTTCTGGGAGATCCACAGGACAATAGAGCTAAGAGCATTTTAGTGAGCGATCTATAGACTGATGATCAAAGGGACGTACCTGAGCATAACGAGGCCGTTAGCAACCACATTCGCGATGCCGAAGTATAGCGTCTGCAATGGGTAGTTCTTCATAACGTATTTGAGAACCAAGACCGTCTATACCAAAAAAATCAAGTCAGCCAATTCATTTTACATCCTTTTGAAGATCTCAACATCAAAGGGCAAGAAGGCAAGAAAAAGACTCACCACACTCCCCGCCAACCCTCCAGCCAACAACGCAAAGCCCAAAAACAGCACAAACCGCGCTTTCCACGCCACGCCAGTACCGCTGTAACTAAAACTATCGGCACTCAAACGCGACTTTTCGATGGAGTTGATGACCAACATGCCCAGCGCAGAACAAATACCGGGGATCCAGTCGACGAATTTCACATGTACATTTGAGCCGTTGCGGTCACTGGCGCTGAAGGCGGAAGCGTCGATGAGGAAGAAGAAGCCGAGTGAGAACTGCCACCACACAAGTAAGTACAATGGCTATGACTCTGAAGAGATCTATGGAAGTTGTACCAATGCGCCAGATACGTAGACGCCGGCTGTTCGGATAGTCGAATTATTGAGCCATTCGGGCTTTTGGAATCGCCAGAGACGGGTTTCCGACTCCATTTTATAAAGGTTGGATTATTTTCTTCAGGCTTCTTATATCGAGTCGAATGCGTCTTATAGAATATGTTGCGACTGATGCCCTGGTTCGTTGCGTGGTGTTGAATGTGTTCAATGTTGGTCGACAAGTTGCGGCCTGCGGAGCTCGATGTACGTCGGGGTGGAATAGGGCTAACTGGAAGCGGAATAGCGCCATATTTTTATATGTGATAATGTTCATGCTTTATCTTAATGTGAAGTACGCACTACAGATTACTGGATATGGTTATAAGAATTATATTAAGATTTGGACTTGATCTATTTTTTGTCGCGAATATGAAAATCTCATTACATGTGCCATCAGAAATAGGACGGTACTATGAAAACGCCATATTTGATTCCGAGTAGTCTCGAATGAACCCTATTCTTCTGTGACTGTACTCGGGTTTCCAGACATTGCCAGCTTCAATAGCAGTACCTAGACTATTGCTTTTTTCAAGGTACATAGGTGAGTGTCATATTCTGTACAGCCACTTCGCTTCCTTGAAGTACGAACGCTAGTCTGTTGCAGATACGTTCACTTATTCCGCAGGGTGCGAAGTGAAGCAGCGACCCGAAATATCAGGTTCATCGGAAAGTTTTTTTCCCCCCTTTACAGAGAAAATCTCAGATTGGAGCTTCTCGGAGCTTGTTTAAGATGGTGTCGATAGCCTCCATATCACCAGCGTCTACATGATCTGATGTCTTGTAGTCGGCGGGTAGATGTGAAAAGACTTCATCCATGTTGGGCTGGAAGTTGCGAACAGCAGATGAAAGTGCATATACGGATTTTCGGCGGACTTTCGAGTCTGGATCGGTCGTGGCAAGCGACACCAAGGTGGGTAGGACATTGAGGACGAGTAACTAAACAACGACTATTAGTGACCAATATCAAAAGGACGTTATAGGGCAATCAAACTCACTTTATCCTGACCCTTCTCATTATTCTGGACTGCGGTGCCTATACACCAGGCAGCCATGCGCCTCATGTCAGCTTCCTTGTGTTGAAGCAATCCCACAAGAGGCGTCCATAAACCCAGTGGTTCCATATTGTTCGCATTATCAATGTTCTCAACCAATTGCTCAAAATTATCGAATGCGACTATCTTGTTCTCCAAATCAACTTCGTCGGAGAGTAAAGCTGCCATGGATTCTTTCATAAGGTCGGCATCTGACGGACCACCCATTAAGGCCCTCAGGGCTGCTTCATTGAGGCCGTTAAGTGTAGGAGGGGGTATTGGATTCGGATTATTCGGGTCATCGTTGATGTTTGCTATTGATTGTCTTGAGGCTTCTGAGTTTTCGACACTCCATTTGAGGAGTTCGTTCAATCCGCGGTCCATGGCGAGATGAGGTGTTTGCTCAGGTGTGTTGAAAATGCGATGTTCAATACGAAAATCGTGATTCAGGAAGAATGAGTATTGTGAAGGATGTGGTGGAAAAGACTAGTTACGAATGCGTGACTTTTGTAGGTTCAAAATAGCAAGTTCTCGTGGTTGCGGCTTCTTTCCATCACTTTCTGTATTCTGACCAATCGCACGGCGTCAATCGCCGAAGAACCATGAAATGTGGCTGATCTCTGGTATCAATGACGATACATACATGGCTCCTAGAAGGTTGAAAATACAATCTGCGAGACACCTGATAAATCTTGATAGTATGAAAGTGTAATAGCCGCACACGTAGACTGTAATCCAGTTTGACACTTTGTCGATGATGAATGATGGCGACCCTCAAAGTAATGCCCCTCCAGTTGTGGCTGAAGGTCTGGAATAAGGTTATTCCGAAACATCCCCGCGGTTCGGATTTTTGATGCCTTGGAAACCTGGTGTGAATGGCGGTAAGCGGCAAGCTTTGTATCTCCCAGCCACCGTTATTCTTCGACGCCAAGTCTTAGCACACAATTTCAAGCATTTATGAAGGGAGCCTGAGATGTTGTACAGATCTCTAACATCTCCCCGCCGTCAATGGCAGCATTGTATCTACTAATGCTTTTGAATGTTAGTGTAATGGCGTGTATCTGCTCGGTAATTTGATATCTTGATGCCTGGTATTTGTACGGCCGTGACTTCCGTTAAAGCAATGATGGCAAGTGCGACGTAATCGTACTATACGCAGGAGCAGATCTGTATCATCTACTTTCTCGAATGGCAGGATGGCAAATAGCAAGATGCAACCTGCCATCCGGCCGCCACCAAGAACGAACCAGACAATGCTTTCTAACCCGCTGTCCCAACCCCCAAGTACGACGGGCTGTGATTGGAGACCATTCAACGGATGACATAGTGTGGTCGATGTGGTGCCCTTCCTATTAATAACACGAAGGTCTTATTTGGCGCCGGTCTTTGCAGGTCGAGCTGAATATGCTTATGCCTAAACGTATGACGCGGCTCTGTCTGAGATATGTCAATTTAGAATTGTACAGCCTGGAGACGCAAAAGGCATCCTTTTGTATTGTAAGTATGATCATGTAGAACAGGGAGAACTAGCGGCTGGAAGAACATGGTCTGTGGTGAGCCTGGCTCGAGGTCGTCCCTAGTGGCTCSCCGGAGTGGGCATGGGKAAGCTCAGTCAGTCCCACCAGGAGGCAGTGAAGGCTTGGAAACGCTATCACCTGGCCGCCAGTCACAGTCAACAGCAATTATCGTAGACAGACAAAGGTCAGCAGAACAGCCGGTTAGGCGTCTGTGTTTCATCTATGTAGATGAGGCTTTCTGCAGCGTTGAGTTGTAAGAAGACTATTGTTTGTGTTGCGTTGTTGGTTAGTTAGTTGGCGACTTAGCTAGTCTAGCTGCGTATGTATTTCATGTAATCCCTCGTACGCGTATTGTGGACATCCTCGCCGAACAGTGCGTTTGCCCCGTAACTTACCAGACCAGACTAGTACCGGCGAAACACACTCAGCCATCTCCACCTGGCTGGTGCTCGCTGCTTCTTCTCGCTTCCCACCTCTTTGCTTCCTTATCATCCATTCCACTCCTCCTACCCAAACATCTCGCAACGTCGTTTTCCTGACATCCCTATATCCACCCTCCCCAATCCATCTCCCAATTCCCCTTCAATCCTCTTTTCCATTTCTTCTCCTTCGCCCTTTTTTTCTTTAGTTACATACACACACATCCTTCATCATGGAAGGTAGGTTACTCCTCGTCAACAACCACACCGTTTGTTTTTGGACACCTCACCGGGTTCTGCCCGCACAACCCTTTCCCCCTTCCCCTCCTTTTCCACGCCGCCACCTCCTCGCGCGCTGCCTTACACTTTCATCATAGTCCTGAATGCTAATTAAATTTCTCGTCTACAGAGGAAGTCGCTGCTCTCGTTATTGACAATGGGTATGTTGTTTACCAAGCCATTTCCAGCATCTCCTGAATCCTGGGGTTCCGAGCGCTGGTCGTCGTAAATCGGCTGCCTACCATACAATCTGTTTCGCGCCACGATACCGATGCCAGCGATCATTCAACCCCAAATATTCAACGGAATTAAGAAAGTAATGATGGAATTGATACTGATTCGTCGTGTTTAGTTCGGGTATGTGCAAGGCCGGTTTCGCCGGTGATGACGCACCCCGAGCTGTGTTCCGTAAGTCAACACGATCCTGCCGAGTCACGATGGTGATAGCGCCGGATGCCCTTGCATCCAGGCATATCGCCAGACTCGTTTTCATGAAAACGTGGCATACTAATCATAATCATAGCTTCGATCGTTGGTCGCCCCCGTCACCATGGGTAAGTCTCCGCCGTGTCATCCCTAATTGCTGTCCATGCGGGGTTTGACTACGCCAAGAAAACAATCTCAGGTCTAATCAAATTAAATGTAGTATCATGATTGGTATGGGTCAAAAGGACTCCTACGTCGGTGATGAAGCACAGTCCAAGCGTGGTATCCTCACCTTGAGATACCCCATCGAGCACGGTGTCGTCACCAACTGGGACGACATGGAGAAGATTTGGCACCACACCTTCTATAACGAACTTCGTGTTGCTCCTGAGGAGCACCCCGTTCTTTTGACCGAGGCTCCCATCAACCCCAAGTCGAACCGAGAGAAGATGACCCAGATTGTCTTCGAGACCTTCAATGCTCCCGCCTTCTATGTCTCCATCCAGGCCGTTTTGTCCTTGTACGCTTCCGGTCGTACCACCGGTATCGTCCTTGACTCCGGTGACGGTGTCACTCACGTTGTCCCCATTTACGAGGGTTTCGCTCTTCCTCACGCTATCTCTCGTGTTGACATGGCTGGCCGTGATTTGACCGACTATCTCATGAAGATCCTTGCTGAGCGTGGTTACTCTTTCTCCACCACCGCCGAACGTGAAATCGTCCGTGACATCAAGGAGAAGCTCTGCTACGTTGCTCTTGACTTTGAACAAGAAATCCAGACCGCTTCCCAGAGCTCCAGCTTGGAGAAGTCCTATGAGTTGCCCGACGGACAGGTCATCACCATTGGCAACGAGCGATTCCGTGCTCCTGAGGCTCTCTTCCAGCCTTCCGTCATCGGTCTCGAAAGCGGTGGTATCCACGTCACTACCTACAACTCCATCATCAAGTGTGATGTCGATGTTCGTAAGGACTTGTACGGAAACATTGTCATGGTGAGTTTTTTTAGCTTTTTTACATGTGTCACTTCATACTAACCGAATCTAGTCTGGTGGTACTACTATGTACCCTGGTATCTCCGACCGTATGCAGAAGGAAATTACCGCCCTTGCGCCATCCTCCATGAAGATTAAGATCATTGCTCCTCCTGAGCGTAAATACTCTGTCTGGATCGGTGGTTCCATTCTTGCTTCCCTCTCTACCTTCCAGCAGATGTGGGTCTCCAAGCAGGAGTACGATGAGAGCGGTCCTTCCATTGTCCACCGCAAGTGTTTCTAAGGTATGCACTATTCCGTCTTCCCGAGGCACGGAGGTATGCTCATTGTCAACAGTTAGTCGTTAGCAAATTTGTCAAATTCTTACTCGGGTGCTGTCATGTTTGTTCTTCCTAGCTTGGTGTACGAAAATATGATACGAAATTGCGGTGGGTGGATTTGATATTATTCTTTTCTACGAGTATGGTAAACCACCTCTTGAGCGTTTAGCACTAAGGGGAAAATGCTGGTGAAAGTATGCGTGTGGGTGAGCAGGCAAGGACAAGTCTACAAGAGGTTGGAATTAGAGCAGGGAAATTTGGTGCGAAAGAAGAGAGAGGGAAAAGAATTGCTCCTTCCCCTCTTTTAGTATTTTTCAATTTTTCCTGCTTTAGATCCCTTGAAATTGTACGAGACTGCTCTTTTGAGAATTGTTGTTTCTATGCTGAATAAACCTCCTCTGGACACTGATCAACTTAATCGATATTTTACAATTCATTTTCCATCTTTCGCGTCCATGGTTATCCTTTTCAACCCAAAATTTGAACTCTTTGGTATCCCATCATCCAGAGACTGGATCAAGAAATGGTAACTTTTGCATTGGGTTCTACAAATATGATATATCCACGACCTTTCAGAAAAAAAGAATTTGACAAAACGAACAAATCTTCATGAGAAACAACGGTTTTAGTTATCCCAAGTATCCAACCCAGACAAAACACAACCCTCATCATTCTCACCTCCCCTAACCTTCAACTCACCAATCGTATAAACCGTCTCCCCATCCTGTTCTAGCGATTGCTTAACGGCATCAACGCAGTCACTGTCCACGACGAGAATCATGCCAACACCACAATTGAAAGCGCGCGACATTTCGTGGCTGGACACGTTTCCGGTTTGTTTAAGCCATTGGAAAACGGGTGGTAAAGTCCAGGCTCGTACGTCGATATGTGCGCTGAGCGTGGGCGGGAGCATACGAGGGACGTTTTCAATCAAGCCGCCGCCGGTGATGTGTGCCATTCCCTTGATGGCGGCTGTGGATGTGGTGTGTTGCGATGAAGGGATGTTGAGGGCTTTGAGGAGGGGTTTGACGTAGATTCTGGTTGGGGTGAGGAGGGCTGTGCCTAGAGTTTGGGGTTTTGTGGATAGAGATGAAGAAGCGGGGGCGGAGAAGGTGAAGGGTATTTTGTCGTTGTAGGTTAGACCAGAATGGTCGACGATTTTGCGGACGAGGGAGAAGCCGTTGGAGTGCACGCCAGCGGAGGCAAGGGCAAGGAGGGTGTCGCCTGGTTTCATGGAAGAGGTGTCTGGGAGAAGGGTGCGCGCGTTGGGCCCGTTGGTGTTGATGGCTCCGATGGCGGCGCCGACTGCATCGTAGGCGTCGTCGAGGAAGAGGCCGGGCATTTCGGCGGTTTCTCCACCGATGAGTGCGCAGCCGGCTTGGTAGCATCCTTCTGCGACACCGGTGACGAAAGCTGCGGCTGTCTGGACGTCGAGGTGGCCACATGAGTAGCAGTCCAAGAAGAAAAGAGGCTCGGCGCCCTGGACGACAAGGTCGTTGACATTCATGGCGACTAGGTCAATTCCGACTGTGTCGTGGATACCAACGGCGTGTGCGATCTTGAGCTTGGTGCCCACGCCATCGATAGCACCGATTATCGTCGGTGACTCTGGGTGGTAGGAGGGATTAGCTGCTGCTAGAGAGAAAATACCACCGAATCCACCAATGACTGCGTCAGTACCCGGTCGACGAGTGCGCGCAACAGATGCCTTGATCTTGTTGACGAGGTCGTTACCGGCGTCAATAGAAACTCCAGCACTGGCATATGTGAAACCCTCTTCGGTCTTCTTTGAGGAGTCACGGAATGCGCGGTGGGCAATATCCTTGCGGTAGTGCATACCGTCGAAGTGAATGGTGGAGATACCGACGTAGCTTCGTCGAACTGCCTCTTCTAATGTGGATGCAATAGATGTGGCGGCGATGACACGGCCACCAGCGGTTTGAAGGACATTGTCGACGAGAGATGTTCCAGCGTGGAATATCAAGGTATCTTCTGGCGTGGCATCTAACGTGATTGGAGTACCCTTTGCGTATGAGCCGGGGTAACCTCCTGCCACGCCAATGACGGTTGCAGAGAAGTTGGGTTCGATGGCAATCGATACACCGTCCAACCAGTGTTCTGTGCATGCGACCATGACCTCTGCCAGATCGGTATCCTTGCTCAAAAGAGGAAGTAGGGTTTGTGTTTCAGGGTCGCCTCCGCGAACATTATACTCGAGGACCTTAGGGCCGTTCTTGGTCATCATTAATCCTGTGAAAAGTATACCGACAAATGGAAATCCTGACATCAAAGTCAGCTTTTAGTAACCATTTGAGTGTGATAAGTGAACGAACCTTCTCTTCTCATTCCGTTGATCGATGGCTGAACAATGTCCCGATCAATTTTCTCCAAAACATCCTTGGAGGCAATACGCGTTGGCGCATAACAACCCATGCCACCAGTATTTGGACCTTGATCACCATCAAAAACACGCTTATGGTCTTGTGCTGGTGGAAGGGACTTGATAGAATAACCGTCACTGAAAGTGAGGATACTAAGTTCGTCTCCCTCAAGGAACTCCTCAATGACAACCTCATCTCCGGCAGCTCCGAACTGACGATCCAGCATAATCTCACGAAGAGCTGAGTGTGCCTCCTGCTTTGTAGTGGGTATAATCACACCTTTTCCTGCTGCTAATCCACTTGCCTTGATGACAACATTGTGGGTCACGGAATCGAGGTATCTGCGTGCGGCTTCGTAGTCGGTAAAGTTCTCGTATGCGGCCGTGGGAATATTGTGTCGTTTCATAAAGTCTTTACTGAATGCTTTGGATCCTTCCATCCGGGCTGCAGCCTTGGTAGGGCCGAAACATCTGATGCCAACTGGTCACAAATCTCAATTAGAATCGTTGCTTGATCGTGCAGGGCACGGAGATGATAAGGGCATACCGGCTTGGAAGTATCCCTGAATACCATCAACCAAAGGTGCCTCGGGTCCAGGAACGACCAGGTTGATATTGTTTTTCTGAGCGTGGGCGACAAGGCCGGGGTAGTCATCCGACTTTACTGCGACATTGACAATCTTTGACGATGCGCCTAAACCGGTGCCACCGTTTCCAGGTGCAACGTAGACGACGTCCACAGAAGGCGACTGGCTCAATTTCCAAGCGAAAGCATGTTCACGACCGCCATTACCGACGACGAGAACGCGCAACCTTTCTTGGAGCATATTGAATGTGCCCGGGGGCTATCTGTGTATGAGTCAGACGGTTCTTGACTGAATGATCCTGCACGGTAACGTTGAGAAACGAATTTCGGAACAAAAATTAATCAAAAAGAGAAAATGACTGAGATGTCATTGTAAAGAACAACAGTCAAAAAGTCAAGTCGAGTCGTCAATTGAGCGATTTTTCTGCTTCGTAACTGATGGAGGGGTATGCCGATAGTGGAAGTAAAATCCTCCAGAAACCAAAATTGCAAGAGCAGGGATCACCAAATCTGAAAACAAACCATCCGACAGGTTAACATACCTTCTCAAAATGAAAATCAGTCACTGAATCGCTCAGCAACACTCAAAAACGCGATGTTTGAATGATTGGAAGTTGCCCGCATCTGGAAACTTTTTTTTCCATCCAAAAGTAGGACGGTTAAAGTGTTTCTCCGACCCCGCATTGTCTATAGTTGACGGCCGGATTTCCGCTTTGATTCCTGCAACACAGTTTTTCTAGAAAGGCAGTCGCACTTCCTTGAAAAAAACATGACCCGAAAATGCAGGATACTTGATTGAGATATTTCATGACAGGCAGAAGATCACGAATGGAAGTTTTCTTGCCCGCCGCCTACGAAACCGAACCCGAACCCGAACAATTCTCCCTCTTGATACCGTCGCATTCGGGGCATTGACCAGCCAAACCGGTCTTCCTTCGACGCCATTGATATGTATATTTGCGCTGAGAAATGCATGGATATTGGCGATGAGCAGGAAACCGTGACCAATCAGGTCTTCATCGCCCCCCTTGTCTAGGCTCTATGGAGATGCAGATTGCCCGTATCCACATCGTCTGAACGTTGGTTTTCCCAGGACAAGCTATATGCTTCAAGTATGCAAGCGACCACCGTATATCGCTGCTGTTATTGAACAGTATCGCAAAGGTAAGTGTATTGATGTAGAGAAACAAGGGATCGCTAGATGTCGAGGAAGTAGGATTCTCTGAGGTCTTGCCGGCATTTCGTTCAGACAACCTAAGGGAGCAGGCGTCAGCTCTTGCACGAATCAGCAGTATCCTCACAACACCGAATATAGACAAAGATGTTCTGGGCAAAGTAAACAAATCGTAAAGCTTCGAGCAATTACTGTGAAATAAAACAGCAGGCGGTGTGCCAAGGAGTAATGGCGCCGGCGGCAGAAAAAGTGCCTTAGATCAACTTTGCCAAATGTTCGCCGCGAAAACCTCTAGCTGTCGACATTTTTCAATTGGGTGTCTCTTTTCTGAAATCAGTATTGACAGAGCCTCTCCCGGGGATCTTATGTCAATAGAGGGTCGTGACTACGTTCCTGGATGTTGCGCACATCGTTAGGGTCTGCTTCAGGCCCTGGTCGCTCTCGTGCATGCGCATCTTGCCTCATAGCTTCGCGAAAACATGTGAGAAACCGGCGATACTATGCAACACCGGCCAAGGACGATGAAAATAATACCAAGGAAGATTTATCTGGTATTTCTGATATTTTAAAAATTAACAGGGTTCTGTCAAAGGTGAAGAAGAAGGTGAGATCTTCGGTTATCATTCCCGTGACACAAATGCTGACTGAAAATGGTTCACCTTAGTTGAGTTCTTCGTCAACGCCCAGCGGAGATTCCACTGCTGATGCGGATGCATCGAAGAAACCGCCAACCAAACCACCAACCTCGGACATTATCAGTTTCGTCACAGGTCACTCAAGGACAACCCCCGGCGATCGTTCCGCTCCTGATGCGGATGGGAAGATACTACCAACCTCAGACAAGATTAGTCTCCAGAGAGTCTACACAAGAGACATATTCAAAGCGACGAATCCTACAAACCCCGAAGAACAGCAGAAGAAGCCAAAGAATGCAGGGCGCCAAAGGGTCAAAAGGAGGAAGATATCAAAGAAAGTGGAGGAAGGAAAACAAGCGGGAGGCCAGGAAGGCAAGACTAATTCATCGAAGAGTATAGAGGAAGGAAAACAGGAAGGTGAAACAGGAGAGGATAAACCAGCAACGAAGAAACCAACAAAGAAACCGAAAAAGCCAAACGAAACAAAATCACGGATCAAAAGAGTACCAGTAGCACCGGCCGTGCCATCAACAACACGGAGAGTGGCAACAACACCACGTGCAAAGCCTCCGACATTGACAGCGCGGCAGGCTGGAAAAAGGTCATCGAGAGGTAACCTGGTGAGGAAGCCCATTGGGCCACCGAAGCCTTTGAATATTGAGGTTGAAAGCACCATTGTCGACGGTTTGAAGAAGGAGGACATCGACTTCAAAGGTAAGAACAGCATTTCTACAAGAATTTCGAAGATGTGAGTGAGAAGCTAATTTTATTTGTTGTATTAGCCCTTGACTACGATACACCACCAGTACCTACTCTGTCGTTTGGCCTGGACAGAGTGCTGTTCAAGTAAGTCTATCTTGTTGATGGTCTACTGTACTCCGCTAATTGTCTGCCAGTCCTGGTGTATATCACCTTCGAGATCCCAGGTCCCGAGTCTACAACTTTGACCCTGATCTAGGGACTATTATGCCTGTCACCGAGTTCGATTTCAAGACCCTGAAGGAGTATATAACGTCGTCCAAAGATGAGACACTTATTGCACTCGCCCGAAAGGCAGGTAAAAAATATGTTGGCTCATCATCGAGCATGACCGGGGTGCTGTCACATTTCCATTACTTGCTGTCGAATTGGCGACCACTTAGGCAAGATATAATTTCAAGGGGGTTTGAGGATAGCGACCGTCAATTTACAAGGCTTTTGAGAGGCCCTTCTGCGATGTTTCTACATTACAAGGACGGTGTTTATGCAATTGATGCGGACAAGGAGTTTGACTCGGCCAACATCCTCATGAATCTCGGTAAATCAATGGAGAAACAACTCACAATGCCGAAGGAGCAGTTCGAGAGATATCGCCGATCTTCTCCAAATAAAATCACACAAGAGGAGGAGAATGCAATTCCCGAATCCTACCATTACTCGACTCTGGGTGACTTTGTTATGCGATCACAATTGGATGCCTACGATCCGCGACTTCCAGGAAGCGGCATGTTTGATCTCAAGACTCGTGCTGTGGTTTCAATTCGTATGAGTGTGCAAGACTATGAGCAAGGGCTAGGTTACGAAATCCGCAACCGATTCGGGGCCTTTGAGTCGTTTGAGCGAGAGTACTACGACATGATCCGAGCCGCGTTTCTCAAATACTCTCTCCAGGTCCGCATAGGCCGCATGGATGGTATTTTTGTTGCATTCCACAACATTGAACGTATCTTCGGGTTTCAGTATGTACCTCTTTCGGAGATGGACTATGCACTGCACGGGCAGTCAGATACAGCGTTGGGTGATTTAGAGTTTCAGTACAGTGTCAAGCTGTGGAACAAGATTCTGGATAAGGCTACGGCCAAGTTTCCGAAGCAGTCTCTTCGTCTTCATTTTGAGACTATGGAGAGTCGGCCGGCGAGAATGATGGTATTCGCGCAGCCAGTGACAGATGATGAGATCCGCGCGATACAGGAGAAGAACAAGGAGCAGATTGAGAAAGCTCAGCAGCAGATGCTCTACCCGGATACTGTGACTCCGGAGGAAGAACTTGATCTTGATGATGCTGTCGAGTCTGAGACTGTTGAAGCTACAATCAAGCCTGAGAGTGCTGCCACTACGACTGGAATAATCCAAAGTCAACCCGTGCACGAAACCGAGACCAAATCAAGCACAGTCTCCACACCAGAAGTCACATCACCTAACCATGACCTGCTCAATGCCGTCACCAAATATATCAACAACCACCGCACCATCATCGAAGACAGCATGGACTACATCGACGATATTATCGTCACCGTCACCGCCCTCAAAGACCCTTACACACCCCTCGACCCAATCGACGCCCTCACCCTAAAACTCGAAATAGCCCGCAAAGCCACGAAATCCGTCAAATCAAAAATCAACCACATCGTCTCCGAGCGCGAAGCAGTCTCTCAACTCCCCAAGCTGTTCGGAATGGAAATCAGCATTGAGAACATGGTCCGCAACCGCGTCGCCGATCGCCCGACCAACTTCAACAAGAACATCGACTGGAAGGTAGTCTACACAATCAACGAATTCAAGACGGGCAGCAATGCGCTGTGGACCCAGTTCCTGCACATGAAGAACCGGCGCGAAAAGGCGTTGTCATTCGAGAAGAAGAAGAATTCGGATGATTTCTTTATCCTAAATTTGAGGCGCTTGGCGAAACAAGGCAAAAAGTTTAGGGAGGAGCAGGATCGGATTGATGCGGAGAAAGGGATTGTGGTTTATGAGGAGTTGAATGGGGCTACTGGCTCTGGCGCTTCCAGCAGTTCTGGCAATGAGTCCTCTGGGTCGGTGTGAAGATAGCGCTACTGGGATTGGACTGGATTGGGTTGGTTTTGAGTTCCACTATATTTTTACATTCGTGTCTGTATAATAGTATATATATTAGGGCTATGGTTGCATATGCGGTTAAATCTTGGAGTTTTCGTCTTTCCTAGGAGGAAGCGTTAATCCCACCCGTTTCTAAAAAAGATTCATACACATTCGTTGCTATAAAATTACACAGCTTCCCTACCTAGGTATGTGTGTTAATTCTACGTCAAGCCTTTCAATTGACTTCCCATGTACCCCCTGCAGTGAAGTCTATTATGAGGCTTCGTAGCCCCTATAGTAGGCCTGCGTAGTGACCGACCGTAGTTTTCCCCGTGGTGATCCCCCCATAGGTCGAATTTTGGATGCATAGAGAAGCAGCGAATACTAAATGGTAATGGACGTGTAGAGTTTTTTTTTTTATTTCTTAAATACTTATTTCTTAAATACGGGTGGGATAAACGGTTCCTATCGTAGGTACATATCCTCTTGAATCTACGTAAATATGACAAGAGCGACGAATTGCAATGGTATGACTTATTACAAGCCCTTATACAAGGCCTATAGGTACACATCTCAGCAACAATACAACGCCTCAAAGACGGCGGCGAGGCACGACATACATGACCACCAAAAAGGAAAAAAAGCGATAGACAAACGGCGACAAGAAAAACGAGATTGGTATCATAAAATTTTTGGAATGATAAACGCCGTGTGATGGATGGTTTTCGATTGGCTGGATATCGAATGCGGACAATGATGGTGACTTTGACTGGTAGGAAAGATAGGAATGGAACGAAGGGAGGCAATAAGCAACGCAGTGTTGACGCTCACTCTGATGCTCATACATATGCATGTGCGGCTGGAATAGAAAACAAAATTGAAACAACGTCTATTTGCTTCTGTCGACATATCGGATAAAATCGATCTGTGGTCTTGGTATAGTAGAATGTTGGCTGGCGACAAAGTCGGCAGCATGCAGGAGTAAAGAAAATTCGTCGGTTTGAACAAAGTCGTCATTCATGATTAAAGATCAAGGTTAGGAGGTGACCAAATAATCTTCGGGGGCTCTTCAGATGTGGTCAATCCGCTTGTTGAGCCCGTTTTTGAGCTATTACCGCTACCATGTCCACCGCTAATCTGACGCATTCCTCTCATGGCAGAAGACGGTCGACTTGAAAGGAGTTTTCGTAGTGAAGATGCACTCAACGAGCTTGTGCCGCCTGTGCTTCGGAAGCTGGGTGCTCGAGGTGCCGTGCTCGTCGTCGACATGTTGCTCGAACTGGCAATGCTTCGGATACTAGCAGGAGTGCTGTCGTTTTTGATAGATGGAGGAGGCGGAACTTTGATTATTGCTGGTACCGGGAGAGATGATTGTGGAGCTGATGATGTAGAAGCAGAGTATTCTTTCAAACCTGCCAAAGGCTTATTTTCTGATGCGCTTGATGCTAGAGAAAGAGGGCGTAGTGAATCCATCAACTTGAGTGATTCGATTGTGGGCGTGGATTGGACACTAGACATGGTCACTACTGGAGATGTGCTGCCGGAGCTGTTATCCAGTATCATCAGGGGGAGTGCGTCTCGTTCGCTATCGGTCGAATGACCGGAATTGCCGGAGCTTGACTGAAAGACGTTTTGCATTGTCATCTCGCCCATTGAGTTGATGTCAAGCCTCTCAAATTCACCGATCGGGAGTCCAACACTGGCAGATGTGGGCGGACGAGAAACATCTGCTGAATCGGTTTCTTCAACTGCATCCAAGCCCTGGTATCCGTCTGCATCCCACGGAATGCCGTTTTGTGTGCAATAATTTCTGTATAGATATTGACGCAATCTGTCGACCTCAATATCCCATTTTCTGTTCAATGACTGAAGTGTAGCTTCGACTTCTTGGTCTAGTGGCTCAGCTGAAGGCTCGGACAACTGGGCCGCTTCTTTTGACCGAGCAGCCAGATTCGATTTAGCAAGTTTATGGCCGCCAGAAGGCTGGCCAATTGTCATAGCAGCGTGAATCGAGCGGCGGATAGAGCTAGGACCTGATTGATGAGACGAAGTGTCGCGTTTGACATTGACGAATTCTCGGCGAACTCTTTCCAAAGATTGGTGGCGATCCGTATTCATCACAGGAAGCAATGTAACSGAGCCGTTATGTTGCAGGCCATTTACCAATACAGTGAATGATTGCAGATTCATGTCATTGTTCTCGCAATAGATCTCTCGTAGACTCGTGTTCTCTTCAAGGACAGACGCAAGCGTGTTGGCGCCTTGTAATCCGAGCTTTTGATGCTCGATCCTGAGTACCTTCAAAGATTTGTTCTTTTTCAATCCGGTAAGTGCTTGATTTAACCCAATACCGAACCGGGCGACATCCAGATGCGCATGTTCACCACTGATATCCAATTCCTCCAATGTCTCATTTTCTTCAAACATCAACTGCAACGCCTCGCAAGTTTCTGGGCCGGCATCATAAGGGAGCGAAGCCCCCGAGACATCCAAATATTTCAACGTCGTATTCTTCCTCATTGCCTCAATCAGCTCCCTAAAGTGGTCCTCTTTCTTAAAGTCGATCATGCGCATGGACAAGTGGGTGGGGGTATTATTGTCGGCAATAGCGTTGAACAGAAGACTGTAATTTGTATCCAAGTGGTTCTCGCTGACGTGAAGATGCATGTCGCGTGGCTTATCGGCCGGACGGGTCATGCAACGAAGAAAGGTAGCAACATCACCACCCGTCAGACCACATTGATCGATTCGTAGAATTCGAAGACATGAGGAACGGTCACTAGCTAAATAGGCTGCCAAGGACTCCACAGTCTCTTTATTAACTGCCGTTTGGCTGAGTGAAAGCTCCTCAAGACGCCAGTTCAATAAAGTCTCTGGTGCAATGAGCGGTTCTGTTCCTGAAGTTCTAGCGACGCGGGTGAGGTTGATTTTACGTATCTGTCCAAAGTATCCGATTTGCTGCTGAAACAATTCCGGACTGAGACGCCCCTGGACTCCAGATATATTGACGGCCTCTAGAGTCGTTTCCTGGGCAGTCAGTGTCGACAAAACAAGGTCCAAATCATGAACTGAAAGGCCACACTCTCCAACCTCTAGCGCTCGAAGACGGCTATTTCTCTGCGAAGCGGCGTCAACAATGTAATCCAGATCCGAGTCGCCCAACTTGATTCCATTGAGTACTATCCAATCGACATTGGTTAACTGGCGACGGCAAAGAGGGAAGATGGCTTCTGGGATACCACAGCCGGGGTCTCGTGAGCCTCGATCTGAAATAGGGGTTCGCGATAGACAAAAGGAAAAGTCGAGTCTTCTGAGGCGTTTATTCTTCAGAGCCAAAGCACGAATTTCCTGCGACAGTAGAGACAATCGATCCTGGCCGGCAATAGTCACCTGAGCACCAGCTCGGGTCAAAAAAGCATTCCAATCAATTCCAAAGCGGTCTCGGCAATTCTGCAGAACATCAAGACTGACACCGCTGAATGAAATCGAAACAAAAAACTCATTGTATCGCAGGGCACGCATCAATGCCAAAAGTTCCAGGGCGTTGTATTGACTGCGTCGTTTCGAAGCAGGTGGAAGAAGTTTAAAGCAAGGTGCATCTTCACATTCAAGATCGATTGCGTAACGAATGTTGGAAGTATCGATACCGTAGCTAGCTGAGTATGCAACGAGAGTTCTGTCAAAACAGCCAAAATCTTCAACGAGTTCTGTAGATGAGATTGTTTCATCGGCAACTTCTGATGGTGCAATAAGATCATATGGTTGATGTAGCCAGAGCGGACGCAGGAATTCTGTGCGTTGTCGAACCCATAAGGCGATGTCTAGCGAGTGGACAGACGCAAGATTCACTACCGTGGCACTTTGTAATGGCACGCTATAGCATCAAGTTAGCATGAAAATGTGTAACAAATTTAGAAATTGAATATACCGAAAAGATAATTGGAACCGATCATCACCAGAATGCACCATCAACGAAGTCAATGCCATCAATCCAAGCGATGCGCCTAGGTCAATCTCGCTGAGAGAAACCAAAGACGAGCGGCTCGAACCTCTGTGCAGAGGAATCAGGTGGATTCTATGTAGACCGATTGCAAGATAGCACATGGTTGCCGACAGCTTTCCGAAATCATCCGTCGAAGACCTCATATTCTGCTTGGTTGGAGACCTTTGGATAACACGGAAAAGGTTGAAATTCTCAGGATCATAGTCACGGTCTTGTTCCAAAATTCGAACAACATATTCAATGGTCTTCGTCTCGAAAGGAAATGGTTCGTTGTTGCGAGCAGATTGGGCGGCAGAACGAATGCCAATCAGCCAGAGATGTTGCTCTTCCGGATCTGTCAGCTGAATTGCCATAAAAGCAGCTTTGTTGGTTCGATCGTCCAGATAGGACAGCTCAATGGTCGTTTGATTTTGACTGTGATTGTTTCGTCCATCTTCAACACCACTAACGGAAACAATGCTGTTCAAGGCGATCGCTGCAACATCACTATTATATGAAGAAACAGAATGATCCTGTATCGAAGCTACTGAAACGACGGATTGGCGGTTCACTGGTGTTGCCCGACCGGAGGATATATTGATGGTGGGGAACAAATCTGCTGCTTTGTGTTGACTCTTGAAGCGAACTAAATGAGTATCAGTCAACACCAAATAATGGTTTCTCTTCCTCCACATCGTTCCTGCAGTTTGGACTTCGCCGTGATGCAAAACTACGTGGCCTAGCGCTCTTTTCGCGTGACCCAGCGACGAAGCTACCAAATCGTTCTCATCAATTGAGGCACCTCGAGATCGCTGGCCTGCCAGCTCATCCTCCATCGATTGTAAGGAACGAAAGGACCCAAACATCGAGACGCGTTTCGAAGGCTGCAGCGACTTGCGCTTTTGCTTGGACTCATCTGGCGCCATGCCAAACATCACTTCCGATTCGGACGTCTGCGGGCGGTGTAGAACATTTGCTGTTGTACCCTTCGGACTAGGATCACGGCTCCCAAAGAAACCCGAGTTTCGACGAGCTCGTTTCAGTGTCGACACTCCATCCGACGCTGATCTGTCATGCGAGGTCGAGACGGATGGGGCTGTTGTAGTGACAGGAGCTGAGAGCTGGTGTGAGTGGTGAAAGAAGGTGAAGCTCTTTCTTCGTTCTCTTTTCCCTGGTAGTGTCGCCATTGTGACTAGAGGCTCGGCGAATGGGCCACAACTAAGTAGAAAGTTGCAGAGACTGATTGGGGGTGGCCGCAGCTATGACGAATGTATGTGACGATAGTGTCATTGATCTGTTACACAGGTTGACACCAGTTAATAAAGAGGTATTCTCAGCCAACCAGGGCTTGGGCAAGAAAAAGCAAATCACAAGACCTCCAGCAATATCATAAAGAACTGGCGGGAAAATGATATACAAGTATGAGGGACAAAGAGGATAGACCTACTGGAGATTTAGAGAGCCATGGATATGGCATGCACCATTCACAATAGCTGTGATCTGGTAGAGCAGAAAGAAGGTATGTGGCAACCTGTGCTAAAGCCACCTGACTGACTGCAAGTGTGAAACTATTACTGCAGACGGATACAGACGTCCTCCAAACGATGGGTCGATGTTTGGTCGTTGTACTAGGAAGGGACTCCGGTCTCCGAATGGGGAGATTTTGCTTTGCTTGTTTCTAGATTGGTCCGAAGAACCGGTGTAAAACAAAGCTTTGTTTGTATTGAGGAATCAGACCAGTGCAGGGAAGGAAGGGTTCAACTCGATTCTGGGATAATCTGCAGGAAGAAAAAAAATAAAATGCCGAATGCGGATCTGCCAAGATGCAAAGGGGACGGTAGCAGAAATGGGATGATGTGTGTGTATATCTCTGATAGGAAGTGAGTACGGAGGACAACACAGTAGCATATATTTCTTTTTCTCCTTCCTCTTGAGCAAGAAAAAAAAGAAACGAGGAAAGTATTGGAACAGGTACAGGGAAAGGAAAGCGTGGCTGCAACGATCAGCAGCAGTGCGGAGATAAGCAGATAGGACAGGCCGAAAGCGATAGATAATGAATTAGCCGGAAATGGAGATTAAATGTTGGTTGGTATGTACTGATGCAGCGAATTTTTATTCTGTATGTATGCAGTGTTGATTGCAGTGGTGAATGCAGTAGCAGATGGATGGATTGACAGTTCTGGGACGTCAGGTCATGTCAGGTCGGTCAGGTACGAGGTGGGAGTATGATGTCAAGCTTCTGCAAACGGAACGGAGGAGAGATCTGCGGAGGATTCTGATTGGAGGATGGGGTATTGAAAAGCGTCACTGTCGGCCGGCGAGAGGAAGAAGAGAAAAGTCGAGTATTTGACTTGCAATGGAGAAGATTAAAATGAGGTTGAAGAATTGAAACAGAACGAACTCAAGCGAGACAAGCGGAAAGAGCGAAGGAAAGCAAGCAAGAAGAAGCTTCCATGAGGTGCCTGGGAAGTGGAGCTCCGGCTGCTACTTTTCTGGCCTGTGGTTGGCTGGTCACCCAGCGCTAGTCCCGCTGCGGCTAAGTGTGGCGCTTACGCTGGACGTGATTGGCTGGGAAACGTGGAGCTACTCAAATCTTACTGAGACACGCCTTGGCCATCTGAGCTTCACAATCGCTACATAATTTGCACATGTTTGACTGTGGTGGGCAATGTACCCGGTATACACCCTTATGGTTGTCTAACATTTATATTAAGAAGGCGTCCATAATATGCTCATATAACCAATATTATACCTTGACTCACTCCGCACCGACTCATCTCATCCCAATTCAGCTAAGAAGCTATTCAAGCTCTGCACGACACCACACTAGCATGCTAGCTAGCACCCAACATCTGGAACAACTTACGAGTAAAATGACGAGGCAGAAACACGCGCTTGTGCACCGTACTTCGGAAACGGCATTCATTCGATGTCCGCTTTCCAATTCGGATTTTAGACTCTTTGAAAAAAGTCATAAGTGGCTAAATGCGCCAAGAATACTCGGATCTGTAACTTTGTTAGATTAACACACAGCCCTACATAGTAGAGGCCCAAACAGTTCGAAAATACGATATACGAATGGTACTAAGAAACTCTCGATAAAAATTTAACGAACAATTCGTCGAATGCAACAATCTGCCATCATGAATTCAATTTCAAACGCCACAGATGAGCACTTTAAGTGTATCCATTACCAATCATTTTCTATATGGATTGGCTGATCTGCCAAAACTAGTTTATGCGTTGGTCGATTTCGCGCTAAAATGACGACAACTCATATAACGATCAACGACATGACGGGGTATTTACTCTTTTGTCCAGTATGGGGGTTGATGAATGAATAGCAAAAGGGAAAAAGCAAGCAAGCTCGGTATTACAATGTACATCCATCGATGATCAATATACTGACATCAGGTGATCTACTTGCTACTTATTTGAAGATGGAGCCGGGGAAGAGTGACACAGGCCCAGTAACGAGCACAGAGGTTCATCAATGCAAACGCAATTTGTGTAACACGATGAATATTTGCGGAGATTCAGGACGGAGAGTCACTGGAAATAATCTCCAAGGCGACCGATAGCTTGTTTACGCTTGGATTTAAGCTTTCAGACACCTTTTATTGTTTTTGTTCTGTACTACGTATACATGCATTGTATACTGTACACCGAGATCCCTGGATCCTTGGATTGTCGGATGATCGATGCGTCACATCCATATTGACAATCTGTACATGGAATCACTACACACGTGCAGTCGACTTTTGTGAGTCGTATGCGGCCATGCCCTCGGTGTTCTTGATAAAGCAGGAACTGCCAGCACCGTACCAAGCTTCCTTATTATTATACATTGCGAAATTGACGCCGATATTCAAATTCACAAACGACGGCACAAACCTAATCAATCCATCTATTGTTCACCAGCGGCTTTACGTTCTGCCCGTCGAAGTCTTCGCAGCGCATGTAGATACTCATTCMCCCGCCTCTCAGCCCATATAGTTCCACCAAGCGTCATAGCCGCGATCTGAAGGAAGATCTTGAACTGCGGAGTTAGTCCGCGGTAGATGCGAGATAGAGGCCCGATACTTTCCGACAGGGACGTGAGCGGTCTGTAGAGGAATGTATTCCGGACGCCAGCGGCCGATAACCGTGACGACGGCGACGGCGACGATCCAGTCGTAGTAGGTGCGGCGGCAGATGCTGCATTATCGAACTTGAATGGATGAGGCATGCTCAGTATCATGTGTGCGAGAATGGATACGGAGCCAAACTATATTCACGCGCATCCTAGTCTGTTAGTCTCTGCAGCATTTCCTAGCCTTCAAAAGCCGAGCACTTCCAGAAGACAAGTCGGTAGAGTTACCAACCCGTAATGCACCAACAGCAAATCCCTTGACCGCTTCTGTCGTGACCTGCTCGGGCGGCTCAACCTGAGCTCGTTGACTTGGTGGTGGTGGCATGGCTTATTGAGATATGTGAGGGGCGGCTGGCGTTGAGCTGCACGAGGAACAATAGCTAGATGCTTGGCTACAGTAGTTCTCTTTGAGCTAGGGCTGTATAAGACAGGTGTCAATTGTGCATTCKTCCAGCGGCAAATATCGCGAGCCGCTTTCGATAGATCTGATGATCGGTATTGCGGTCAACAGGAGTGTAGAAGCGGCCGGAGGCTTCGGGCAGTTTTGCGTGTATAAGTATTTCCTCGAGAGATAATTGTAAATGGACCAGCCAAATTGGATAATCAATTGAAGAAGAACAATATCAAAAGATCAGTCAGAAGGAAAAAAGAGGAAGTTGAGATAATTCCGCATTCCGTCATGACCGAATGCCGACCAATGGGAACTTGTCCGATGTCGCCCAATCAGAGAGCTGCCATTCGGCATTCTTTTGTATGGGGAAATTTTATCAAACCTCACTTTTTCATACTCAAGATAAATATTCAACCGCGCTATTCATTACATTTCTGCCCGAACCTAGACGGAGAAGCCAGCAAACCCGAATTTAACCAATCACTCAATTTTAGACATCACAATGGCCCTCGCCCGCCGCACAGTGTCCATTTCCCGCATCACCAACGAGACCAAAATCCAAGTCTCCCTCTCTCTCGATGGCGGCGTCCTACTCCCTTTTGAAGAAAGCGACCACTTCCCCGCCCCCGAATCCGCCGAAGATAAGGCCGCTGCGAAAAAGGGCGTGCTTCCAGAAAAAGATGCCCCGCACGCCACACAGTTCACATCTAGTCAACAGATAACTATCAATACCGGGATTGGGTTTCTGGATCATATGCTGCATGCTTTGGCTAAACATTCGGGGTGGAGTTTGGCGATCCGCGCCAAGGGGGATTTATTCAGTGCGTTTTGTTTCCTCAATTTCGCGTCAACAGTGGATAAGAGAAGACTAATTTTGTAGTTGACGACCATCACACCACCGAAGACACCATGCTCGGCCTCGGAACAGCATTCACAAAAGCCCTCGGCGCACGCACATCTCTCGCCCGCTTCGGCCGCGGCGATGCCCCTCTTGACGAAGCCCTCTCCTGGGCCGTCATCGACCTCTCGAACAGGCCCTACGCAGTCATTGATCTGGGCTTCAAGCGCGAAAAGATTGGCGACCTCAGCACGGAGATGATCACGCACGGCTTGGAGAGTTTTGCGCAGGCTGCGGGTGTTACATTGCATATTGGGTGTTCGTATGGATCGAATGATCATCATCGTGCTGAGAGTGCGTTTAAGGCGCTGGCTGTTGCTATTCGCACTGCGTGCGCGAGGAGGAGTGCTGGCGAAGTGGGTGCGGGAGATGTGGTTTCTACCAAGGGTGTATTATAAATAGATCTGTATGATATGATATTTGCCTGAAGTTTCGGCCGGACTGCCTTGTTCGTAAAGGCCTGAGCCTGAGTGATGGCCATTAGGAGTACTTTCGACGGATACCTCAATAAGAAATTGAGATTAGGGCTGGCTCTGGCACGGGACCTTGATACTACGAGCCAGCCTTGCATTAAAGGCTACCTGTAAACTCGGCATATTAAGTTCAAGAAACACTGGCTGGCTCAAGACATTGAAAAAGAATAATCCAAAATTCGGTACGCCCTATCCGTTACCCATGCTAGCATGCCTGACGACTTCCAGCTGATGCCCTTAACTACATAACTCCAGCCCATCATCCCAAAAAACCAAAAAACTTTTCAAGACAAACAACATGCCTTCAAGAAGAACCAACACCAAGCGCCTCCACAGCCCTACTCCAATACGCCTTCCTATCATCCGTCACCGTCGTTCCCACACACCCACTAATATACCCTTCCCACCCTTCCTCGGACCCCGTCTGCAACGCCTGTCGCACACTGTCACTACACTGGGTCGTCAGAAACCATGCCGCGGACCCAAAATCATACTTTTCGTCGGACAGCAACAGATTCAAAATAGCAGCCACGTCGCCTGTAGAGGAGGCGTAGTCGTCACTTAGTTCGGGAATTGAGGAGGCGTATTTGTCGTTGTAGCTTGGAGATTGCATATTTCGCGCTTTTCACTCATAAGTCAGCTCTACATTCTCTACCTAGGTGTACTCTCTATGATCTGAAAGCAGATAGAAAGTAAGCAATGGAAAAGGGGGAACATACTGCCCTGCCCAGCAACCCCAGGGAAATGATTTCGATTATACTTGAAATCGAGCGTCTCAAACGCCATCAACCCAATCAGTGCAGCCTGTTCGGCGACATTGTCAACCCCGTACGTCGTGAACGAGTCGCTGATATATGGCGCTGCTTGATCGGCAGTTGCGCATTCGCCCTCGGCAGGTGGATTGTCGCAGGTTGATGAGGTGGGTGCGATGGCGAGGATTTGGGCGGACGTTATTTCTACTGCTGCTGCTCTAACAGTCCCAGCATCGGAGCGCGCCGAGAGGTAGGGTTTGAGATGGAAGTCTCGTGTTGGTGATGCCGTGGCCAGCACGGCAAAGAGCGTTGCGAGAGGGATTTGACTATACATTTGATGTATTAATTTCTTAGAAAATAACAAATGATAAAATATTACAAAAAGAAAAATTAAAAATAGAGCAGAATCCATCAAACTAATACGTAAATAAATAATGTTGACCCTAGATTCCAGTGCCAAAACCGTTTCGTGCAGATCTCCTGCTAGCCCTAACTCCGGTTGAACGAACCATTGACTCATTGCCATGAAACATTCTTGAAACATTCAAGAACAACGCTCTTGTTCCAACCCCAATGAAGGATTGAGTATTTATTGGTACAAATTGTCCGAGCTACAATTTTATACTATAGTTTGAGCTGAGAATACAGCATTTATCAGCCTATACTTTAATGTTGTGTGATCGTTGTAGTGACATGCCGTCAATTAGCAGCGAAACTGGTATGCAGACTAGATAACCAACAGCGGACGATCGAGGTATGTGTACATACTTGTCACCTAGAAATGTACTAGGAATGACATCAGTCATATCGAAATTAAAGTAGATGCAGCTCGCGTATATGAATCATGAGCGGAGAACCTATAACAATGCAAGAGCAAGAGCATAACCACTTTCTTTCCATCCCCGGTCATATAAAATCCACTACGATACGCGGCCTTGCCAGGTAGTTAGATAGGCTAGGTATGATTATATTACGCCAAAAGAAAAAGTTCAGATGTGTAAAATATGACTTATATTCCCAAAAGCGCCATTCATTGACCCAGCAGCAGCAAAATATATACATCACAGTCAACAGCCAGACGACAAAAACAAATTTAAAACACACTAAATATGTATTATAATCCAACAGTAGAGTAGAAGCGAAGAGCAAAGGCCGTGAAATCCGTGGCAACAGAAAATGATGATGAAATGCTGCTGGGTCATGGTATGCAAATGCTGAAGAGCAGGCAGGCAAGCAGACGCATTCGAGTCCTTGACCAAATCAGTAACGCGCTGTTCTATCGTTATTTATAAGCGTAATGAAGCGCAGAAATCTTATTATATTCATTGATGTAATCATTCAGAGTAGGCGCCCTCTTTGCGGCCGAGTTCTTCGTCTGAGGATATCGACGAAGCGCTTATGCGTCGGAAGAAACTGGGGACTATGGTAAAGGGTCGTCGGCGGATTTTGGACATTGAAAGAGAGCTAGATGCAACTCTTGTGTAGCGGTAGCGGTGTCCGAGTAATAACAAACGGCCGTATACTACCCACATGCAGAATCCGACGCAGCCAGCGATTGTGAAACCGGCGACTGTCAGCAAGACCCAGTAGCGACACATCTGCCAAGTCAGTACAGAAACTTAAGTCCGTGAAAACAGAGACATACCCAGAAAATCAATTGCGCGTCGGCTCCGTGCCAGCTATTTCCGACGTTGTGGGTGAAGAAACTCCAGGGATATCCGTTATATTCGTCTGGCATCAAAACACGGACCCTGTCCATGCCAAATGACTGGGGCATGTACTCCTTCCAAATCACAGACAAGAACAACGGGCCGGTCGAGTACATAACTGTAATGTATGGCAAGAACCAATGCCTATCGTATGCCTGTAAAGACTCCATGGTCTTCAAGAAGAAATTATGTTGAGGGATAGAGCCCATCGCGTCGTTTGAGATTCCGGTTGGCTTCGTTCGGCGAACCCACGCTGGGTAAGCAAGAAGGGGATCGAGACGACGTTGGCAACCCTGTGTGGTCAGTAGGCAATACTCTTAAAATGTGAAGGAATACACACATCATCCAGATCGAGATAGATACCGCCGTAATGGGCAAGTACAAAGTAACGGATAGCGTCCGCTCGTTGAATAGGGTACTTGTAGCCATCGAAGGTGTCCAAAAACCATGGATATTCCTCGGCGATGAAATCTCTCGACTTTTCATTCGTCCACAACTATCGTTCTGTTAGTTATTTCCATCGCCATATCTTCGTACATAGTGGCCAACCTTGTATTCGTAGTCAGGGTGAAGATCAATGCATGACCGTTGAGGCTCAAGCCATCGATCGGGGATCGACTCGTTTATATAAGTTTGGTGAATGATCTTGGGTATAAGTTGAGGTCTGGTCTCAATCAAACTCGAGTTCGGCGAGGGAATGTCGGATCGGTGTATAGCGTCCGCTGAGGCATCCTCAACCAGCAACGTCAGGAGTGTGAAGACGCTCCTGACGAGGAAGCCGAGGATTAGGACATTGACAAGAATGAAGATGATTACTCCGCGCCGCATTTTGGCTGTGAGATATTGCGTTTCAGAACGTGATTTGTTCCGAACGGGCGGGTAGGAGGCGAGAGGGAGGTGTAATATGCCCGCACCGCACTTGTATTAGGATAACGAGGATTGACTGTCGTTTGTGAACATTAGGTATGACAGTGAGGCGGAAATACTGCAATCGAGTGAGGTTCGAGTGATAAGGGACAACGTCGCGAGGCGAATCGTATGTTTATATCCCGGTATGGTGAAAACGTAAACGTCGAAGGGTCACACGCTCTGCCTTGGATAGTGACCCGGTAGATATTGATTATCTCGTCGACTTGACTTTTAGGATAAACGTCCAGCCCAAGCACACGACGAACTCGAAAGGTGTAGTCACAGAGGCAGAAGATTAAAGGTAGTAGTAGTTGCAAACAAAATAAGGCGAAAGGTGGTCCAGAAACAAAATGTATTCGCCTCACAAGAAACGTGAAGAAAGATGGCGAGAAGAACGTTTTGCTTTGTAGTAGGCAATGGGGAAATGCGACGCCATCAGAAAGGCTCTTAATTAAAGTCTGAAGGCTCAAACCGTGGATAAGGTCGAGCTGGGGCATCCACCCAGGGGTCAACAGACCACTGACGGTAATTTACTTGGCGTTATCACTAACTTACTAGTACGGTACCACTAATGGCTACGCCGCCCGCCGCGTTAAGCCTGAACGGGCGGGCAATGCGGCGGACCCACGTAAGATATGTATTATAGGTCTTGGCGCTTCTTGCTATTGAAAAAGAAAGAAAAGCAAAGCCGAAGAATCCGGGTTGAGGATAATGCAAATATGCATAAGTATAAAGTAGGATGTTCAACATCCGTGTCAGCTTGTCGCAAGGGCGCAACTTGATGGATGCAGGCATCTGTACGGACTACGGATGAATTTCGTTGGGACTGGGTCTGGCCCGTAATTAAACAGGCCAAGACGTATTATATAGAGTAGAGTAGCTTGGGGACTGATCGCCCTTGGCTCTTTTTGACTCTTGAGGCTTTCCCTACTGGGAGTGCGACTACGAATACGCGCCTTTACTCGTCGCACGTTCCGTATTCGTACTGTGTACGGCTTGAAGTTTCAATGCGCAAATCCCTAGCCACGATTTTGGCGCTGACTTTGAGAGCAGAGCGCCAAGAAGTTTCGAATTTGTGACAACTAAAGTCTTGGACTCTTGGACTCTTGGACAACGCGCGTTTGAACGAGGAAACGTTGACGGGACAAATACCGAATACCGAATACAGCAGACGGTATTGGATGCTATCTCCCCAGCAGTGGGCCGTTTAATCTTGCACTATCCCTGATTGGGTGGTTTTTTTGCGACAAATCGCTCGTGCAAATTTTCGATTAGAGTATGGTCTGAGCTTCCAATACGAATACGTACGTATTGAGCATCGAGACATGTACTCGACATTGGAGTCTACAAAGTATACAAATCAAGTCCACGTCTCCTCACATGCTGCTCCGTAGGTCTCGAAACTTGGAATAGAAACGATGCGGCATGCAAGATGGATAAAGTCAGATGGAGCCGATGACCAATGACATGACAAAGCACTTGCAACCAAGAACGGCTACCCCATACTCTGTAACTTACCATACCAGAGTGCACCGGGCATCACAATTACTGGAATGGGACTACGGTCCCAAGAAACAGCGAACTCTCTGGATCAAGTTATCAACTGACAAGTCCTTGTTTGAGTTCATATATGGCGTCTTGTGACGGTGAATGGGCCTCTGATAGCTATGCGGCGGTTGTTGATGATAAGAGGTGGCGGTGGCTATCTGCTGACTTGAGGGACGATATGACGAAGTTGCAAGCTCAGCCACCACGTACGTAGTATCATATAGCTAGGGAGCAGATGATAGAAGATGAAAGCTGTAGTCTCGTGCGTCAGTGGATGTTTTTCAACGGCCATTGTTAATGCCTAAACCCGCAGGCATCACGGCAACATATTCCTCCGTTTGCCCGTCGCCGACCATGCCGTACCGTAGAACTCGTACTCCGTAATACTATGTATGTAGGAGCGGAGTGTAGACGAAAGTCTATGACTCGGCAACTCCAATACTACTGCGAATGGCAAGTTCGGCGCTCGGTTCACGCTGTCCCTCATCTCCCCACTAAACTAGCTATCTTCCGTTCGTATTCGTTCGACTTACCCCAAATGGCGCTGATGGAGCCACTGTCCACGCGGCCTTTTATTCCCATGGTCACGTGATCTCCCACACAGCCTGTCCATCGATTTGGTTCAATATGGCTTCGCTCTCCTACGTACGTATGAATGAAGTATCTACGTATGTTCATGGTATGTTACAAAGCTGCCAAGATATATTAATATCGCGGAAATTACATAGTACGTTCATATTAATGACATTAGGGATTTAAAATCCAATCAGATTTCCTCACGGCTTATCAGCGAACCAATTAGCGACACGACATGATATAATCGTGCAGAGGGGACGCGTGGCCGTCAAGCCACTCACTATCTGTGCTCATGTAATACCGTACGAAATGAAATACCTTACAGTACGTAGTTTGTAAGTGGTAGTACGTATCATACGGATCTGATAAGCGAGTCCGCTATTTCTCGTATCTCCGCTATCACTCGCTGATCGCAGACAATTATTCTTGGAGCTGAATGGCGATCTGGGGCTAAGCCACTGAACCAGTCAACATATGCGTCGATGTCATGGATGCCATGATCCGATATCACTACGTAGTTTACTGTACGAGGGAAGTATGAAACTATCTTGAATATTCGATAATGATGTTGTGATCATGGTGGTGCAGGTTAAGATACTCTTCGTTTCACTCAATGTTCTTCATTTTAAATTTCTGGATGCATCATCTGACTATGTTTTGAGTGGTGGATAGCTTACATTATTAAATGTAGAATCAATAATTATTTATATCTTTTCAATGTTCGTATAGCTAAAATTCTATGATACAGATGCTAAAAAGACCTAGTAACCTTGATAGCGTAATTGAATACAGTGATGAGAGCAGCTGACACCAGCACAAATACTCGTAGCGATGATGATATCGATGAATTAGGAGGTCGTAAAGGTGACCTCCGAGAGATTATAGACCGGTCGATGTGACCCTATGATCAGAGCAGGAATAGATGCAGATATTGCGGTTGCACTACCACAAAAATTGCTCAAAGATGCCATGGAATCTGGATTGGGTATTTTAAGACTGCTAATCCGTTCCAGATCTCAGCTTCATCAGTCGTCAGTCGAGAAAGAGCAGATTCCGCTGCTGTCAATGTGTTTGCGTCCAGAGATACCTTGTTCCTGGACATTTGAGGCTAAATTTACCATAATCCATAACCTATGACAGACTTATATTCGAGCTGTATGGACCCACGAAAATGCCCCAGTCGTTGATATACTCTTTCCCAGAAAGAGGAGGCTGGTATTCCTCCTCGAGCGACATGTCCCGCATGCGCCAGACTTTCTGAATAACTGATCTCGTTCGTGCAATATTGGACAAAGACGATTTCTCCATGGCTTCCAGCATTTCCAAAACCAGTCGTCTCCCGCTAAGCGGCTCACCATGTTTCCCGTTATGGAAAAGTTGATCATCTGTCGGGTGCAGCTCTACTGCGGCGACAAAGATTGGAAACGCCAGCCCAGCGGCGAACCCAGCTTGGACAAGCTCGCATGTCTCTTCTAGAATCTCTCTCTTCAACTGACAAACAAACGGCGTCGATGGGCCCGCATCGTACAGAACGCAGTGATGATATAAGAGCACAGATTTGCGCTTGAGCTCTGCAGCCAAAACCAAAGCATTGTCGGTGTGACTTATCTCCGTCCGGAGCCGCATAGCTTCTAGCCGCTGCTCTAGCTCCGCAGATTCTGTCTCGAGAACGTTGAGAGATATATGATCCCGGGTCTTTAATCGACTTATTTCAGCAGTGCGGCACAGGATACTCACTAGGGACGGACTGCAGCCCATCCAGGAGTCGATATCTTCTGGTTGACTGCCTTCGTCCCAATACTCAACCCCAAAGAGGGCCGAGTTTCCGCAAGCTGTTCTGCTGATGACATCTTGGAAGGCGAAGAAACGTTCTGTGAATTCAGTTAGACCGCCGAGGAGATCCGCTTTGCGTCGCTTTGTTTTGTCGAGCTGCCTGCTTCGTCGGATGACTTCTTTACTGGCGCGGAGGTGAATCACCCAACGGTGGTCACAATTGTCGACGATCTCGTAAAGACATAGGAACATCATCATAACGAGAATCTGTGGGTCCCACGTCGAGTCCGGGCTGCCCGCAGCGAGGATTCTATTACGGAGAGAAGTAATGACACCACCCTTCAGCGTCATGGCGGACCGAGACCACTGCGCGTCGCTGACACTCCTGTGTCGAGCTGACAATGCTAGAACAGCCTGGAGGACATCTTCCTGGCCGGGGATGCTGAAAAGGGGGACAACAAGTTGAGCAAAAGGCGAGGGGTTACGGCGAGATGAGGTGGTAAGTGGGCAAAGCCGGGTCAGATAATATTCCAGCAGACGACCATCGATGTTGGCAAGATGAGGATAGACACTTGGCGATGAAAGGATTCGCCCAGCTGCCCGAGCACCAACCACGCTAGTATCGCTTGTACCTTCAATGCCCACATCACATTCCTGGCCCGAATCGATGTCGTCAAAATCACCATAGTCAAAATTGATAAAGTGATGGAACTGCACCAATGGAAAGCTGCACCACTGCATCGCCGAGTCAGCGACCATGGCCTCTATCGTAGCATCAGATGGCGGTGTCCGGCTTTTAGTCCATCTGCCCTGCCGGCCAAAAGCCAAACCGCGACTTTCGAATTCCTGCTCCCATTTTAACTGGACACTATTGTCACACGCAAGACCCCGTTGCATGCAGTTCTGGCACCGGGGCTTGCTCTCGTCGCACTTGACTCTCCGTGCGCGGCAGGTTTTACAGCCCGTGCGGACCCTCCGCTTAACGCTCCGCCCTTGGGGCCGGTGTCGTGGCATTCTGAGCGACTGATGTGGTGCTCCGATACGAAAAGAGATATCTACTTCTGGTTCACAGGACAGACGCCCATGTTAAGTTGGTCAAATTGAGATGAGCCGGTACCGGACTAGATAGACTGGCTGGATCAGAAGACATTAATAAACCTTAAGTGTGAGGTGAGAGTATCTAGCGCTAAACCCCGCATGAAAGAGTCAAAGAGCCTAGAAGCTTCAAAGTTCAAAGTAAACCCTAAAGTTGATGGCTTGAATTATGATTGCTCGTCATTCAACTGTACAATATTGAGGCTGCTAAAGAAGAAGTGCATAAGAAAAGGTAAAAGAGGAACACACTAATCTTGACTTTTACAACTTCGATTTGAAGTCTACGTCTTGCACGCCTAAAACACTTCTAAGATCCTTCACCTCAGTCCCCGGCCTGGTGACATTTCTTATCTCTTTCCGACCACCATACCTCCACTCCTTCTTCAACCCACGCTCCGAGCCCTCCAGTGCATCTGCAATATAGTCGCCAATGATGGGGAGCATTTTGAAAGCATGACCGCTGTCACCTGTTGCCAAAAGCAGGCTTGGGTGATTGGGATGGTTATCAATGAGATAATGTGAATCGGGCGAATCGGTACACCAGCAAACACGAGCTTGTACGAGGGGACGATCTGAGAACTGCGGCATGACAGCCGCGATGAAGCGTTTAATTCCTTCTGTGGCTTCGGCGGGGATGCCGTCTTCGGGGTGGTCACTGGCATAGCGTGGCACGGAGAAAATGGTCTTCTTGCCGGTCTCAGGATTGGTGTACTCACCCTGGAGGCACTGATAGCCAGGAAAGGCGTTGCAAATCTTCATAAGTCCTGAGATCAATTCATTCAGCATGGCATCTGCACCCAGCGCGAGGATAGCTAAGCTTACTGGTTTCTGGATCGGGCTCGAATGTAAATCCCAATTCCATATTATCGATGACTGGGATGCCTTTCCATTGCTCAACCTCTTCAGCAGTTAGTTCAATATGGGCAAGGGTCCAGCACTTTGACCAAAGTTGGCTTGATAAAATGTCGGGCAACAATCCCGGAGATGCTGCTCCGGTCGATAGAATGTACCGATCAGCCTTGATTATGTCTCCCGATGCGACTTGTATTCCAAGCAGGGTGTTTTTGGCATCAAGTTCTAATCCAGTCATCGTCCCTTTGGGACCGGATACGAACTTGACGCCCATTTTCTCTGATTCTGACGCCAGCTTCTCCAGCCCCTTGCGGGCGTGGGCCCAGCCAGCCTCGCTATTCCAGAGGCCCTTCCACTCATCAAGACCTGGTGCGCTTGCCAGCTGAGGGCAGTACTTCGCGATCTGTTCTTTGCCTTCGACAAATTCGATGGAGGCAGCTGCGCCAGCCCTTTGCAGATTCTCGTATGATTCCTTTAAATTCTCTGCAGCCTCTCGATCCCCGCTCGTCGTTGTTATCCGACCCTATGCAAGCATTAGAGTCATAATTTAATCCGTCCTTGTTCTCGACAGGCCAGCATACCGTCTCATGGAAGATACCATTCCACATGGGCTGTCGCCAGGCACGTAGAGCCTCAAGCGCCAGTTCGGTGTAGAGCTCTTCTTCATACTCTGTACGGATGATTTTATTGAGATCGTAGCCAGCTGAGTCTGCACTGGGCCAGCGGTGTCGGTCAATGCATTTGATATCGGTATAGCCACGCTTCGCCAGGTGATAAGCTGTGCTGATACCGAAAGTTCCGCTACACAAAGATCATCTGGTGAGTTGGAATGCACAATGTACGGTCGATGAGATATGATTAACTACTTACGCGCCAATAATCACAATTGAAGAGTGTTTAGAGAGTGTCATGATTTCGATTACCGTCTTATTAGGATTTTCTGGTGCAGATAGTGCCAATTGTAGGTATCCGTTGGGTTAACGGTCCTTTTATTGCTGTTATAGCGTTGGCTACATATCTGGTCATTGGGTATGGCGGAGTGAAGCGACGGCAGGTGATATCCAGAATGTGTCTATTCAGAAATATCCATCGCGATGATCGTGATTCGCTCGCCTGGACCTTCTCAGGCCCACAGTACCCTTAGTGGCGGAGGTCTATCTCTAATTTCTCCACGTCGGCTTGGACCTTCCACCCTGTTGGAGCACGAGATACCTATCTCACAAGTCAAAACATCAATTGCGTTTATTTGTCTTGATAATTGCCGATATGGTCGCGTGGACATTGGCTCGGTCTAGTGCGTCCAACTTAGATAAGGCCGGCTTGGATGGATACCCTTACCTACCTATTTAGGTAATCCATGCTGGCTGGGGTTCCACTATATATAGAGAGGGATATCCGGGGTCAAATTGATGTTGTCGCATGCTTCTGATAATACGCAGAGGGGACTCAGTACATCACATTGCGTTTTGCCTTTGTTGATCACTTCGTTTATAACATGCAATGGCTGCAGACGGAAGCCAGAAAATGGGAGTTGAAATAAAGGGCGCTAGCCAGGAAGGAGATGATCCTTCCCTGCGTGCACTGGATGACCTCGAGGCGAGTCCTGGGGAAAAACCCATCGACACTGCCATTGGTAGCGTCGAGGATGTGTACACCATCGACAGCGACAACTCGCCTTTCCCTGAGGTTCGCGCCAATGTGCCCAACACAGACGATCCATCGACGCCCGTCAACACGCTACGCATGTGGCTCGTGGGAATCGTCTTCACCATGGTCGGGACTGGCATCAACCAATTCTTCAGTATGCGGTATCCCTCAGTAACCATTTCCTCGCTCGTGGCCCAGTTGCTCGCCTTCCCCGTCGGTACTGCCCTCGCTCGCATCCTGCCGCTTAAGACAGTTCGTCTTTTTGGCCGTTGGGATGTGACCATCAACCCAGACCATTACTTCAATATCAAGGAGCACTGTGTCGTTACCATCATGTCGAATCTGGCGTTTGGACCCTCATGGGCCACAGATATCATCCAGGCCCAAGTCGCGCCGGCATTCTTCGATATGAAGAATCCAGTCTCATACCAGTTTCTCCTTGGTCTCACAATGCAGCTATTTGGCTTAGGCATGGCGGGTCTCTCCTACCGCTTCATCGTTGAGCCCCCTCAAATGATTTGGCCGTCGACTCTGGCGAATGCCGCGTTGTTTCAAACTCTGCATTCAAGGTTGAATCCCCAAGCTAATGGGTGGAAAATTTCAAGATACCGTTTCTTTGCCATTGTCTTTTGTGTCTCCTTTTGCTGGGTAGGTAATTTGGAATCACATATAATTTTTACTCATGCTGATGCCGATACAGTACTGGCTCCCCGGCTTCCTTTTCACGGGCCTTAGTACTTTTGCTTTCATCTGCTGGGCTGCGCCAAGTGAGTTATTGTTATATGGTTCTTACATAGCACACAACTAACCGTTGCGACAAATAGACAACACAGTAGTCAATAACCTTTTCGGGATGTCAACTGGGCTTGCTTATCTGCCTCTCACGTTCGACTGGTCCCAAGTTGCCTACAACGGCTCACCTTTGGTGGTTCCTTTCTGGGCGCAGGCCAATGTCTTTGCTGGATGGGTGGCCATATTCGCCTTCACAGCCCCCATCCTCTATTACACTAATACCTGGTACTCGGCGTATCTGCCCTTTTCCGGAACCTCAACTTACGACAACACCGGCCAGATATACAACGCAACCCGCATTGTCGACCAGCATGGTAATTTTCTCGAGGCGGCATACCAGGCTTATAGCCCAATCTACATGCCGGTGACTTTTGCTATCTCGTACGGCTGCTCCTTTGCAGTCATGTCTTGCGTGCCCATCTTTATATTTCTCAATTACTGGCGCGACATTTTTGGTGCCCTGAAACCTGACCGGAAAAAAGACATCCACGTCCGTCTGATCGAGCAATACCGCGACGTGCCATCATGGTGGTACGCCGTTCTGACCGTCATCGTCCTCGCACTCACCATAATGGTACAGGAGGTGTATCACACCGAGATGCCTGTCTGGGGAATCTTCCTAGCATTCGGGATGGCTCTGGTGTATCTTATCCCAACGGGTTCCGTATACGCAGTAGCAAACCTGAACAGCAATGTCTTGACGGTGCTCGGCGAGATCATTTCTGGATATCTCATTCCAGGCAAGCCCGTCGTGCTGCTCATCTTCAAGTTCTACGCGTACACAGGATTGAGTCAGGCAATGCTTTTCGCAAGCGACATGAAGCTGGGTCTATATCTCAAGATTCCGCGCCGCACACTCTTCACAGCCCAGTTGATCGCATGCATTCTCGGCTCGCTGACACAAAATGCAGTCCTGCTCTGGATGCTGCATCACGTTGAGGACATCTGTAGTCCTGACCAGTCGAACGGGTACACGTGTCCACAGGGCAGCGTCAACTTCTCGTCGAGCGTCATCTGGGGCGCTGTCGGACCATCACGACTGTACAGCGTAGGCAAAATATACTCCGGCTTGCTACATCTGTTCTGGATCGGAGCTCTGTTGCCCATTGTGACCTTTTTCGCCAAGAAGAGATGGCCGGAAAATAAGTTCTTGAGAAATGTACACTGGCCGATTTTCTTCGCGGGAACCGGTAACGTGCCTCCCGCAACGGGGATCAATTACACGTCGGCGTTGGTGGTCTCGCTCATCTTCAATAAATGGATCAAGGGCAAGTACTCGCAGTGGTGGGCCAAAGTAAGTCGTATCTCCCTTCCTCTTCCAAGGTTGTTTCGCAACTGATTGTTCTTCAAGTATAATTATGTTCTATCCGCCGCACTGGACTCGGGGCTGGCCATCTCTGCTGTGATCATCTTCTTTGCTGTCATCTTCCCTGGAGTCTCGGTGAATTGGTGGGGGAACACTGTCCAGAGCACCACGATTGACGGCAAAGGCACACCATGGAAACCCATCCCAGCAAATGGGACATTTGGGCCAGCAGCTTGGTCGTGAGCCTGATTCGAAGAGGGTGGTACATATCTGAGAAGACCCCAAGAATGTTACTTGATTGTAACATTAGCAAAGGGGCAGCGGACATTTTCAAAGAATCGCTTGGTAGTTTTATAACAATGGAGCTGTAGCAATGCACTTGAATGGCGATTTATCATAGGTAGTCTTGAATTTCCTCAACTTATTGTATGGGCGTATCTGTCTCCGTCAATAGCTACCATAAGAATACACCTGACATCAGAAACAGTTGTCACAAATATTGCACCAAGTAGCATCTGACGGTTTATACTAGTCATGTTGCAAGAAGCACATTCGCATCGCACCAATGGCAATAGGGGCAAATATTCCACCTACTCTTCTATAAGCTAGATCCGTATACGAGGATGCCAGAATGGACGTAGAGCTAGCCCAAAAAAAAAGAAAAGAGAATCTGATAATGCAATTTATTGCCCAGGTGTATTATCTGTCAACATAAAGAATTTGGAGAGATTATTTACTGGATATACTTGAAATTCTACCTAATTTACCTGTGCTGTAGATATAGATACATACCACCCTCGACTAGAAAACACTCAGTCTAATCCGAAGAGAAAAACAACCAAAAATTCAATATCGACTCGCAAATATCATACAAGAAAACGCATAACATGCTGCTTTTCGCCAATGAGAACTGATGAGAAATCCTGCAAATGAGATGAAGAACGATAAAGACGAAAAAGAAAAAAAACACAAAACAAACTCCTGCTCTTTGTTCTGCCAACATTGGTATCAAACCCGACACGAAAACACCTCAAGAATATGCAAGTAAGGAAAGAAAGAAAGAATAACATATTAAGAGCTTAGATGAATCAATGTACTATATCATCGCACCTCAGGTGCAGCCGCCGCCGCAAAATCTTGATTGATATTGGCAGCCTGCGTGTCATCCGCCTCGCGCTCATCGCGAATAGCATTTGTCGTCGGCCTCGTACTCCCCCCCTCAAATATCCTTCTCCACCAACCCGGCGGATCTAGAGGTCGATGACCGTCATGCAACGACGGATAGACATCCGAGAAGAAGTACCACACATGCCCTACAATCACACCACAGATATCATCCTTGGGCACAGTGCCATGAACCAAGAAATGAAACGCCATTAGCACCCACGGCAAGTACGGCGCTGTGAATACCAGTAGCCCCAAGAAGCTGAGTCTTGTGTCCGGGTTGCGGCGACTCCAGATGTAGACTAGAGTTGAGGAGAGGGCTTGGCCGAGGTATGGTAAGGACACAAAAGGGGAGAGCATGAGGAGAGAACTCATGGCGTAGAATAGTAGCCAGGAGAAATGAGCCGGGGAGCGGCCCGAGGATTCTTCGAGAAGACGGGAGTAGCGTTGGAGGAAGAAGACGTGGAATAAGAGATCGAGGTTGAGGGGACCGAAGTATAAAAATGTGGTGATTATACGCCAGTACTGTCACGATTGTTAGCTTGAATCAAGTCTGAGAGAAAAGATGGTGGTGATGTACCTGCGATCGTACATATACAGCAGGTAAACTATAATAAAGCTGCATCGACGACACAACCTCACACTGCACCAGCACAGACGTTGCCACGGTGGCAGCGGTCCACCATCGTGTACAGGGAGGCATTTCGTAGAACCATTGCTCAAGTGGAAATTGGCCTCCTTGGCCACCATTGCCGAATACTCCGGCCATGATAGCTGACTGATGTCTCTTTGTTATATAGACGATATATCGACACCGATGCGGGTAAACGCGACAATGACGTGGGATGCCAATCGATGCTTCTGATGGGCAATAAGAGGGAGTAAAATCGCTTCTTGACGTGCTCACGCGATTGTACGTGTGGTGTTTGTGTGACTGAGTAGAAGCACTCAGTTGTAAAGAAAGATGGAAGCAATGAGGTGGCCTCAATGCTGTTGATTAGGTCAACTACCGGTACTTATCATCGGATTTAGCGGAAACGTTCCATTGGTGGAGCAATTTAATGAGTGCTCAGCCAATCAACAACTCTACCCGCATTGTCCATAACCCTAGCACCAGCCCTAACTCGAAATTTCAATCATTAATCTCATTGACAATACTGTCGCTGAATTTAAATTTATATTCGACTATCTAGTCTAATAATTTATCGTGATCCTGAGCTGATTCTCCTTGACGATTGTATCGCTCTTCGCAATGAGTTCGGGCATGTCCCAGGTGACGTTGATGAATCTGCCGCCCACCCAGGGTCTCTTCTCTGAGGTCAAGAAAGCCAATGTATTTCCGCAGAGTTCTGGGGTGTCTATAAAAACTGCAACTCAAAGTTAGAATGGATCCATAGAGCTCAAGACTAGAAGGACGACGAACTATGTTTGAACTCCGGAGCCTGATCAACCCCAAAAGTAGTCGCCATATCCGTAATGACGTTACCCGGATGAACGCTAAACGAAAGTATTCCCTTCTCGGAGTACTCCTCATTGATAAATTCTGCGAGTCTAGTAGCAGCCGTCTTGGAGATTTGATATGCGCTAAGTGTTTTATGCGTCAGGAGCGCACCAGCACTCGAAACGTTGACCACGTACGCATCGCCCGTCTTGAGCATCAGTGGAATAAGTGCTCGGGTGATGAGATATGGACCGCGGACATTCACCTCGAAGACATTGGTCCACATATCAGGATCATAGTCTTGAAGCAAGTGAAAGCCGCCGAATATGCCGGCATTATTGACGACAATATCGCATCGGCCAAACTCCTTCTCAAAGTCCGCGGCCGCTTTCTCCACGCTTTCTCGACTTGACATGTCGACTGTAAGTGGCAGATACTTTGGAGGAGGCCGGTTTGCGGATATTGCTGCTTCCTCGACTGCGGCTGCCAGGTCGGCGGTGCCTGAGCGAGCACCGGCAGCGATGAATGATGCTCCTGCTTTGGCGTATGCGAGGACTATTGCGCGCCCGATTCCGCGTGATCCTCCTGTGATGAGAACAGCTTTTCCAGAGAGGTCAAGTTTGGAAGGGTCGATATCAGGATAGGTGTCGCTGTGGACAGTGGGGGTGACGTCGTAATCACCTATATGATATGAGAACCTTTTGTTATGCTCCGTTGGTGTCTCACTTACCGGGAGCTTCGAGCACATTTGGGGCTCCTCTTGGTGGCGGCATTGTAGCGAGAGCGGATAATGGTTTCAATTTATTTTCTCGCTGTACCTCTTCACAGGCAATAGACAGTCTTGGCTTATTTGTAGAGCAAGAGGATACGGCGGACTTTATAATTCTCGCAACCTTGCTGAGCTGCCGGCTTAGAAATCCAACAGTCACATGTCGCATCCCGATGCAATTTATATCATGTAACACAAGACAAACTGTCTGCAAGCACGCCGAAATGGTCGTCCAGTGGATACATCGTTAAAGTCCATCAACAAATGAGAAGGTGTACGAGCTGCGCCGTTTCAAACAACGCATTTTGAGCGAGGCATGTCCATCTCCATGCTGCACGTTAGGGCAAGCTACTGTATCCCTCCTGTAGTGAGTGCAGCGACTAATGTAAGCAGTCCATGCGAAATCGCGGGTATAAGCTACTTAGTAAGTATTTAGCATCCAATTGCCTCTTGAGAAGTAGAGAGTTGTATGCAAGATGCAGTAGTTGTCTCATCGATCATTGGTCAGATGCATTGTCCTGCAGTCGGATGAACAAAGAAATTGTTAAGATTGGCAGCATGAGGTGTTATGATTCGTCGTTGTATTAAGACGACTCGTACACATTCCGTGTACGAAGAGACAAGAGAGAGAAGAAGCATTTTTGACTCGATAAAACCGTACTCTTTTGACACTCGATGATATACTAACCGCTTTTGGAAAGAAAGCAATATATCCTATTCGGGACTAGTACAGACACGCCCGCGAAAAGAGGAGGCTGGGGAATCTAGCTTCAACATTTCATGATTCGTTTTTCCCTCATTCTTTTGTGTGTCCTTTCTTTTCTCTTATTGTCTTAATACTACTAAACCATATTATAAACCACCTTTTCACTCTTCCACGCGTGCTCAATTTACTTTCTTCTTCCACAACACTCGAGCTTCAGACAGCTACATCCACCTAAGCTTTGCGACCCGCTATAACTCGACCAGCGTCCTTCGACAGGGAACTCAATCGGGACTGAAATAGCACACCTTATTTCATCTCGCGACCACATCGGTAAAAAGGGACAGAATGCCACCTAAAACAGGTCGGGGCCGCCCGTCCAAGGCCACCGCCACAACCAGCGCTCCAACCTCTCCACGCGCAAGCAGAGCTGGCCCATCATCCATTCAACCCCAAGAAGAAGGGGAAACCACATCAAGTCCCATCACAAGCCCAAGATCGCCGAAAACTGCCAGAAAAACAAAGCCCAAGTCTCCAACGGCGACAAAAACAGCGCCAAAGACAACAAATCGAATAACTAAGCGACCAGCCGGCAAGGGCCCGCGAGCATCAAACATACAACGTAAGCTACAAAACCCCCCTCTCTCTCATCGCACATGCTAACACAATAAATTCAGCCGGCGACCCAACGCCCACCGGTAAACGCCGCCGCTACAAACCCGGCACCGTCGCGCTCAAAGAAATCCGCAAATACCAACGCTCCTTCGACCTGCTGATCAGCAAACTGCCCTTTGCTCGCTTAGTCCGCGAAGTCGCACTCGATTTGTTGCCCGCCGAAGTAGGCGCCGAGCTCAGATGGCAATCGCACGCAATCATGGCGCTTCAAGAAGCCGCCGAGGCATTTTTGGTGCATCTGTTTGAGGATACGAATCTATGCGCGATTCATGCGAAGAGGGTTACGATTATGCAGAAGGATATTCAGCTTGCGCGACGGATCAGGGGAATGTGGGGTGGTTTGGGTTAGTCCTTAAGGAACAGGGAGAAAAAGAGAGGGGGCATTTTTCAAGAGATATATGGCGGTCTTATTATTCGTTTGTGGTGTTTGGGTTGCATTTACGGCGTGGTGTTTGTGGGAGTCATTAACGGTAATTCGCTCTGCGAGGTATATCGAATGTGCCTTGCTTTTCATTTTAATTTCTTGTGTGTGTCAGTGGGATACATTTTATTTGTTTGTTAATACTACCTGGTTTCGAACAGCTCGGCCAGGTTATGGAGGTCAAGAGTCACTGAGCTTCTATATCAGCATCAGCTATGCAGGGATCATAGTTAATATCTATTCAGTCATGTCACGAGCATAGATCATGGGACAGCCAAAAAAGGCATATTCTAGTCCAAGTAGAGCGACTTCTTATCATTAGATTTCATACATATAGTGGTTCTTAATCAGTCCCTGGATATCAATCATTAACCGAAGCAAACGAAAATGATTAGGCATCAAACGCCGTTGCCGATTATACATAACACCTCCATGCTAGTATACCTTGATGGTATATGTCCGATCCATGAGGAAAGGGGGGTGGGGAGATCACAGATACTCTGTCCGTTTCAGCGCCGCTGGTAGACCCATCAACAACCTGCCTGCTTCTTCTCTCACACCACGAGCTTCATCTGCTTTACCCTGTCTATCCAGCGTCTCGGCCAACATCTGATCCGTAACGCTAACCCACAGACGATCATTGGCTTTTTTGGCCATGGCGCGGCCTGCGCGCGCACTCTTTTCCGACTGTTCACCGACCACGCCACGGAAGTATTTCCAGCTCATGAAGGTCAGGGTCATGCAGGTGATTTGGCTGTTGTTGATGCCCGTGGCGGATTGGAGGGCTTGTTGAAGGTATTGTTTTGTCTGAATCGTGGATTCGCTGTACACTGTAGCGCAGACCAGGTAGTAGGCGGCCTGGATATACTTGTTGGAGCTGCTGAGGCATTGCGGTTCAACGAGAGCTAGGACCTGGTCGAGGCGGGAATGGGAGGGGKGTGAGGGTTCGCGGAGGATGAGGATCGTGTTGAGGCCTGCGAGAATCGCTGTGTCGCGGCGAGGATCGTTGCGCATTGTTCGATTTGTCGAGGATGAGAGTGAGAGAAGGGGGGAATCGTATGCGGCCAATGCCGCTACTAGATCGCCATTGCCTTGTGCGATGACGCCCGCGGCATATTCCATGAGGCAGGAGATTGATTCCGGCAATGCGCTGCCCAATTCTTCAGAGGAGCTGCGGAGCTCCTTAAGTGTTTGACTGGCGCTTTCCCAGTCGCTTCTTGCGCATGCCAAGAATGTAAGATGTAGCAGTATATTACAGTACAGAATTCGTCGCCATTCTAGTCGTTTGCTAGCCGCCACGACAGACTCTTTGACTTCTTCAGGCGCTTTGAAGTTCCCTATATGGTATGTCAGCGATGCACGCCAATCTGTAAGAATTTGAATACTTACCACGGACCATACGCAAGCCCTCTTGCAAATACTTCTCAGCCTTACGACCATCATGTGAATTTCTGGCAGCTAATGTCATGGAGCTCAAAAAGTAGCAGAGGCCATATAGGTCATGTTGCGGAAGCCAATGCAATGTCAAGCACAGTTTACCATTCTCGACGCGCAGAATGTCACCTATTTCAGTCGGCTTGGGAGGCGTTTGCGTGTTCAAAGGAACAAGAAAAGAGCCATCCTCACGCCATCGTGAGTCGTGGATTCGCTGATCCATCATGCTTTGCATTATTTGTAGTTTTTGCGAGGCTTGATTCAGATCGTATTCAAGCAAGCTGCATGATATATCGACCATCTGAAGCATCGAGCCGATTTGAGGTATTTCCTGCACACGAGGATCCAGCTGGTGACTTCGTGCTACCGCCACCGCATGTTGAGCTTGTTCAACGGAATCAGGGCTTGTAGACTGTTGTAAATGTGCGAGTGCCTCGATCAATGCAGCGACAACGACCACAAGCTTATCGCCATTGCGAGTAGCCAGGTTGGTCAGTTTCTGCAGATTATGAATGGCAATAACAAAGTCTTGATGAGTTGAAGACGATAGCGCAAGGCTGATTCTGAGTAAACGAAACGCGTATTCCCAAGGAGTGTGTTTATACCTAAAACCGTCAGCTCTTTTTGTCCCACTGATACTGTTGAAAAAATACACACGTTTCAACATCCTCAATCATCTTGTCAACAGCCTTCGCTGCTGCCTTGGGGTTAGATTTATGAAGCATTCGAGCAAGCAGTTGCTGCATTGTATACTTGAGATCTAAAAGCTTGTTCTGATGGAAGTTAGTTCTGATCTAAAAGACGTAGAAGGGACCACTAACTCGTTCGCATATTTCAATCTGCCAAAAGTTAGCAATGATACACCCAGACGCCTAAACGTAACTTACCCCTTTGCTCAATGCCGTCTCCGCTAATATATCATTATCAGTTTCCTCGATGAGTATGCGTGCATAGCGCAACCGTGTCAAAGCCTCCGTAAGCGGCGGCATTCGAAAGTTCTGTTTTAGAATTAGTCTAGAAACATACCTCATAAACCGAGAATAGACGAACCGTTTGTGCTGCCTGCAAACACCCAAGTCCAGTGGCTACCAGCTTGTAGTATTCCTTTAGATCCAACTCGTTGTTTGAAAGAGCAATGACTGTTCCCTTGCTATGGGCTGCATTCAAGTACTCATCTGCAAGGGCCAATAGTAGAGTTTGGTAGTCCACATCACCATCAGCGGGGACAGACTTTTGAGGTTTCTGCACCTTGTGAGGTGCTACCATTGGCGTTTTGGCGGGTGTTTTGGCAGGCGTCTTGTTTGACGACCTTTGAACGTCTGCTAAAGATGGAATGACAACTTGCGGTATTTGAACTAGGGGTGAAGCCGATTGCCCTGATGTCTTTCTATGTTGGCTAGCTGGTCGAGACGGAGTCATCGTGACCTCGTTTGAAGGAGGTATTGATGGTGCCAGTGGGGTAGATTTGGGCGGCTCTTGTTTGATGTGAACTTGATTAGGGGTAACCTTGATCGGTACAGCTGGTTGAGATACAGTCGTTGCGGGTGCTGTGACTGCAGGCAAGGTGCTTTGCTGCGGGGCACTGGGCGCGGTGAAAGAGGGCTCCGTCTGTTTGTTTAATGAGGGGGCAGCACTGGCCACTATATCAAAAGAGAACGTCGGTCTTATTGGTTCTGTGAATGTATCACTTGGATTCACAAACAGTATGGGCGGATCTTGAAAAGCAGGTTGAGGTGATGGAGGGCGTATGGAGTGCAAGTTATTTTGGTGCTGTGGTGACTGCGGATGAATGATATGTAAGATGTTTTGATGTTGTTGCGGCGAAGGCTGAGGCGGGGGTTTTGGTGAAGGCTTTGTTGGTTGTTGCTGTACGATCCGACGCTGTTGAACTACTGGTGGGTTGGGCTGCGGGGGTTTTTGTTGTTGCTGTTGCTGTGGTGGTGGTTGTGGTTGCTGAGTTTGTTGTGGTGAGGGCAGAACTACAGGCTGAGGCGAGGGTTGAGACGGTGGTCGTGGAGAAGGTTGTGGCAAGTGTTGATTTTGATTCTGGTGAGAAGATGGTTGTGGCAGAGGCTGTGGTACATGTTGGCTCTGGTGCTGCTGAAGTTGTTGATGCAGTTGGATCGTCGGAGAACTGTATTGCTGCTGCCGTTGAGGGACTTGCACAGGCTGCGGTGACGGCTGGGATCTGGGCTGCGGCGAAGGATGCAGGGGTTGAAGTTGATGTTGTTGTATAGTCGGAGACACATATTGCTGCTGCCGTTGCGAGTGTTGATTCAACTGCGGCAATGGCTGAGGTACAGCTTGTGGAGAAGGATGCGACACGGATTGGTGTTGATGTTGCTGAATAATTGGCGAGCCAAATTGCTGCTGAACTACCGAAGAGCCATATTGCTGTCGCTGTAAATGTAGATTCTGCTGCGGTGAGGGTTGCGGTTGAAGCTGCGGCGAAGACTGCGATAGATGTTGCTGCAAATGTTGATGCTGTTGTATCACCGGGGAATTATACTGCTGCTGCCGTTGCTGTTGCTGATACAGATATTGCTGCTGCTGTTGTTGCTGCTGAGGTGATTGAGGAGGCGCCAATCCTCGCTGTTGTCCCAAAGTTTGCGACGGCGAAGGTTGTCCATAACCCTGAACGTAAGATGGTACTGAAATTGGAGAATAACCAAACGAGTTCGTATAGTTCATATACTGCACGTTATTTCCAACGTTGTATTGCGGCTGCGAATGAGGCACCGTTACGGGAGATCGAGCAAACGCGGCATTCTGAGGAATCTGTTGCACGTACTGCGAGGGATACTGCGGAGGAGGATATTGCCCGTTATCGTTGTTGTATGGCGGTGGGTAACTCATTGCCTTTGAATGGATATCCGAATGATGCGTATGGTCGGGAAGATTGTCCCGATATCATGAGGATATCATCCGATCTGCCATGGAGACAAGACTATTCGACGCGTTATCAAAAGGATAGTGTAGTATAAAATAAAATGCTGGATGATGCGCGCGTTAGGCCATGCTCTGCGGAGATCGGAACGGAGAAACTACGCTCCATGGCAATATATCGCGGATCATCGCTATGTCGCCGACTTCATCAATTGTATTTATCTTTGCTTCCACGCTGGCCTTTTATATTCCGATCTTGGATTTTCATTTGTTAATACTAATATAGACAGCTAGATTGAAGAGACTGCTTGAGCAATAATTTGTGACAAGAACGCCTTACTAGCCAGTAACCAACTATCTATCCTGCGGCTAACCCAGAAACTCCTAATATACGCCATAGTTGACAAGATGTGATCACATAGCAACACCCGCTAACACGCAGATATATTCCAAAAACTCAACGAATATCATTTATACTCTCCATGAAAAGAAGAGGCTGACTCCCTATGCCTGCGCAAGATGCAGCGAAGTGTACATCTGATTTGCGAAATGTGCACTGTTGTCCTCCAGCGCCGGCTGCAAGATGTCATTGCCGAGAGAAGGCGCATGACTCGGCGGCGGATGCATCCAAATCGTCCAGGGGCAGCTCTTTATACTAATATATGGATTAATCGGATGGATTCTTTGCGCCGCAAATTCTGCGTCGGGCATCGCCGTAGAGTTACCTAGACATCTCAGTGTCCAGAAAAAGTACGTCGCTTTATCGGCTTCGGGAGAGATATGGGCCCGTCGGTTTGGACATTTCAGTACCGTGCCGCAAGTCCTGCAAGTTGATATCTGCTTACACGCCGAGCAGAATGTGTCGTGTCGGTGGCAGTAGATTGCTTGACATACACTAGACAGCCACAGATCCATCGACCGATGAGCGCAGCCAAAGCGGGGTGAGATATGTTGCTGTTTTCCGAGTGTGTGCGGTGCCGTGCTCATCCGATACTCCGTTCGAATCATCAGTTGTTCTGCATCGTTGAGCTCAGGGTAAATATCAATTTTGAATTCGGTTGATCCGTATGTCACTGTGCACGAGTGCCACAAGTATCTTTCGTCGTAGCCGCGGCTTCCGAATATGGCCGATGGCATCTTGCTCAAAACCTCCCGGTCTTTCAATTCTTTAACCAGCTTCACTTTGTCTTGAAACGTCAGTTTTATACATGGACACAAGTCGACCAATCCTGCCGATTCGCCTAGGTTGCAAACTCGTGCGGTAGGTGAAGATCTGAATTCTTTCGCAGGAAACGCCATCCGCGGATGAAGCTTGAGGCACTTGGAGCAAGCAAGCCATCTTCTATCCTCAAGCCTTTCGATCAACTTCCAGCGCTCGCTAGCATAGGTCTGAGAATCACGGTAGTGGTGTAACAAGGGTGCAAAATCTTTTTTGAATCGTAGACAATCGGAGCGGAAGGACTTTCCGGAAATCAGCAGTAATCGTTTGCATGTCATTGCCAGGCATGCTTCGGAGAGAGGATCCAGCTCTGCGGATATGAGGGCTAACAGCTCAGTAGGGAGGTCCATAATGTAGCATTGCTTGTCTTGCTGCTGACTGAGGATCTCAGTGTCTTTTTGCGTTTCCACTTCCTGTTCTTCACTGCTCGAGGTCTCCTTGATCGGGTTGGAGACCTTGAGCCTCGCGAAGAAGCCCAAGGAACGGATACGCATGTTGTAGATTGAGTGATACGTAGTGCTTTGTGGTTTGTTCCAAAGTAGATATCGATCACTACTTCTTCATGGTAGCAGATGTCGAAGAATTAGTAATTTTTCAAGCATTCAAAATATTATTATATCCTTCCAAATGATAACGATCGCTGAAAGTAGTCGATCACCGTATTTATATGCACTGGATATGTGAAGGCAGATTCAAAGTCAGGCGAGGCTTCCACGAGGTACTATTAGTATTTAAATACAAACAAAAAGACAGACAGGAAAACTATACAAAAGTATACGAAAGCGGAAGATGACGGTAAGTATGCCTGAATCAGGATGACATCCATCTTATCTTATTTTGCAGGTGGAAGCCTTGGGAGGTTCAAATGTTATTTCTCTGGTAACGAACTGTAACGCAACACACCGGTTCTGGCCTCTTACATTACTCGGCCGATGTAGTTGCCTGAATCTAACGGCACCGTAAGTCAGTCGCTTGAGACAGCTGATAGAATCACGCTAGCACGTCTTAGATCTTGTCAGTAGGTAGTTTTTTCTGAATATGGTGGGGATGATCCTGGCGATTAGGGCTTCCGCAAACGGAAATCGACAAGTATGGCTCGTGGCAGCTAAGATCACCACAAACGGTTCTATGTGCAGCTATAGAGGCTATCTGATAAAATATGGTAGTACGTTTATGTCGAAACCAAATCTTTTGAGCGTTTGCTTTGTTTCAAGGCGTGTTGAAGCAATCAAGCGACGGTCACATGCAGATCTGCTCGATAAGAAAGGCACCAAACGGGTCCTTGTGACCTGTATGTCGGTGTATGACGAGCCCACACTCTGAGAGAACTCAGCAATTTTAACCTAGTGGGGACCCCAGGTAGTCTAACTTTGCCTAGTCTTAGCAAACATAACATTGATGACAATAAATGAACAGACTAATAGCAAGGCATAGAAAACGTAGAGAAATGTTTGCTTAGTGCACCTCTTATCGTCCTTATCGGCTTATCGGTCTTATCATGTCAGATCGCGGCATCTGATTGGCCGGGCCACCTACCCAATCAGGCTATGATGCCGAGGTTGATGCTAAAAAAGAATCCAGGCACTCCCTTCAAAGAAAAATAAAATATCTTTGTTGGCTGCACAGCGCTCTTTTTTATCCTCAAACATTCTTTCTGCCTTTCCGTATTATCGAATTTGACGGTGCATCTTGCTATTTCCATCATTTTGGCTGCCAATTACATTGCCTGACGTCATCAGCTCGATCAGACATGAGTGTTTTCTCAAAGTTCTCTCCGCAAGCCAAAGTTTCATTGGTTCACTGCGAAGACAATCAGGTGCTCCTCACACCAAAAGATGCTTCTGCACCTGATAAAGCAACCGCATCAGAGAAAGAACAGATTCAACTCATAGATCTCGTCCGCGAAGCTACCCCTTCGACATGCAAACTCAACCCTTTCCTCTTCAACGGCCACCTCCAGACCGGCTACACAACAATCAAAGAAACTAACGAAATCCCCATCTACTACAAGCGCAAGATCTTCGAGCAGGAAATTCCTTCTCTCGCGGGCCAATTCGCCGTTGACTTTGTCGTGCCGGCATACCCCAAGACGACCGACCCCGAAGCTACCGATGAAGCTAGGAAATATACCCTCCCCTCGGGACTCCCGGCACGAACCACTTTCTTCTCAAAAGACGAGCTCGCCGCGCTGCCATCGAATGATTCCAAACCTATGCTGGTGGCGCTACATGGATTGACCGGTGGATCGCATGAGGTGTACCTGAGAGCTGCTCTTGCACCGCTCGTGCTAGATGAAAACAGTGGATGGGAGGCATGTGTTGTCAACGGTCGAGGATGCGCGCAGATGAAAATCAGCACCCCATTACTATTCAATGCGCGCGCAACATGGGACGTTCGCCAAGTCGTGAAATGGCTTCGAAAGACGTTTCCGAATCGGCCGTTGTTCGGCATTGGGTTTTCGCTGGGTGCGAATATTTTGACTAATGTATGTCGCCTGTCTTTTTTGCTGATTATATGCAGAGATCTGATTTTTTGAACAGTATCTTGGTGAAGAAGGCGAAAACTGTCTTTTGAATGCTGCCGTTGTTTGTGCTAATCCATGGAACTTGGATGTGACCAATGTCGCTCTTCGGAATACATGGATAGGTGCTGAAGTCTACTCATCGCATATGGCCATCAGTCTCGTAAAGCTTTTTAACCAGTACGTCTTCTATGGCTATCGAGTTGACGGTGCTGACTGAGTACAGACATGTTGATGAATTAACGCATCATCCGCGCTTGAACGTCAATGATATGGAGAATGTTAAGTACATCCATGAGTTTGACAGGTATGTTCCACTTCATAGGACGAGATATAACATTATACTGATATGAGCAGAGCCGTGCAATGCGCATTATGGGGCTACCCGACTGAAGGAGCCTACCATCGTGATGCATCCTCTACAGACTCCCTACTAGCAATACGCATCCCATTCTTGGCCATAAATGCGGAAGATGATCCAGTAAGTAGACTTTGTTTGATATTTACATATTTCACGGCAGACAACTAATTCGTAGCGATAGATCTCCGTCAAACAAGCAATTCCATATGACGAATTCAAACAGACACCATACGGCGTCTTATTGACCACTTCCTGGGGCGGCCATCTCGGCTGGTTTGAATTGGGAGGTTGTCGGTGGTTCACCAAACCGGTATGTCCACCCTTCAGAACATGCTCAATGAATCAATCCGCTGACCTGCTCTTTCGTAGGCCGCCAACTTCTTGGACCGTATGGCAAAAACCATCGATCTTTCCGTCACACCCAAACCCCAGAAGGATAAAGAAGGGCTGTACGGAGAACAACTCGCGAACGGTAGCATTCACAAACCGTCCCATGCATCGGTCTTTTATCCCGTGAACCGCAAGCTATCCATGACCATCGATAATTAGAGACGAGACCTCAAAAAGACATGTTCGATTTTCCCGAATTTCGTTCTTCGTGATACCTGACACTTGATCGAATTCACCCTCGCATTCGCCTCTAACGCCGACCCTGATCATGACCGAAACCCCCACAAGGAATCATTCCATCAAAACGAATAATGACCACCAATGCATGCATAGATAGCGCACATAGAGATAGATATACAAAGATCCGCTCAATTAATCAGAAAAGAATTGAAAATTCAAGCAAACGAGACACTCTTCCGCTTCTCCCTTTTGAAGCTGGATTTCTTATCTTCTGTAGGACCGTCGCTTGATCTTCTCTTTTTCTTGTTTCGTAGTTCATCTTTGACGCTCTCCTAAAATCAATATTAGCATTTGACCAATTGTCATCAATTGTAGCGAGCGGAGAGTGTAAAAACGTACCAACTTTGATTTCTTCTTCTCAGCTCTTGCCTCTGCTTCTTTCCTTTTCGCCTCTCTAATCTCCTCCATTTGTCGCGCCTTGATCATCTTAGACTCAATCTGCCCTTCCTTTTCCGCATTGACAATCGCCAGAATAGTCATCATACTCTCCTACATCCAACAGTCAGCCATCTCTCCCTCACCTAGCCACACATGCAATTCAAGAAAGAAAGAAAGACAAACCTGATCATCAACAAAAACCTTGCCCTTCTTCTTGCCCCTCGGCGTCTGCACACCAACAGGCGTAATCATATTCAAAGATGGTAAATCCAATTCCTTCTCCGTATATTCCCTCGTCTTAGTTTTCTTTTGCTGTTTGGGAGCGCTGCGGGATTGCGATTTGACTTCTTTCGGAGGTGGGCGTTTGCCTTTGGATGATTTGGAGGATTTGCTGACTTTGAAGGAGGAGGTTTTGGCTCCTTTTGAGGATGAGTTCTTGGAGGGACCCTTGGAGGGGCCTTTGGAGGTTGTTGGTGCCATTGCGTTGGCTTTTGGCTTAATATCGTTGTAAAAAGTAAGGCGGAAATGTTCGGAGCCGGCGTATTTTGGTCGATTGAAATGATCCTCGTGAAATCAAATAAATAACCACGCAACCAAACGAAGAACGAAATTTGACTGGAATCAAAACTTCCTCAAGTCTCAATCAGACCTAGAAGATATCGAATGAAAATTTTCTGAAACGGCAGGCGGTGAAAGCTTACTAGACGCACTAGACCAGATATAGTATAGACCACTTCTCCGAGCCCGCCGGCACGGGCAAGCCGCAAGACGAGAACAACCTCAACTCTCCACCTCGAACACCGATACGAACTGTGTTTGCGACCGGCATAGCCAAATCTTTCCTCGCATTCTCGCCGGTCAGGAAGATTCAATATCTGCGTCATGACGATCAATCCCACATATCTCGCGCAGCGGACGCGCACGTGTATGTTATATCACAATCCTTGTAACGGGCGTGATGCAACGACGGTCCTTTTCGTTGTATAAAGCCGTTCGTTGACTGTCAATTGAGTCACGGTGCTGACGAATTGGATGTGGAAATAGCTGTCAACTGGGCCGAAGCCAAAGCCAGAGTTCGCAAGTCCTACCGAGAATGGCTCCGAGCGGTTCGTCTCCCACCAGCATGCCTATGTCATTATCATGATCAATTGAAGTACTTGAGCGAATTGTAAACAAGGCAACTAATAATGAAACGTTGCAGTCCCCCGAAATCCAAACAATGTACAGCCTCAATGTCCCCGTGTCCGCCATCCGCACCAAGATCCGTCAACAATTCGAGAAGCATCGCTACGTCAGTCAGATCAATGTCGTTGATGTATTGCTGTACAAGAGCCATGCCGAGTTCCAGGTCCGCTTTCCCTCTGGATTACGTGCGAGAATATTGGCTTGCTGATCCTTGTGCGTTGTTAGGAAACATTGAACTACTGGAAACAATTATCCCATGTCATGAAGTATTTCCGCGTGGAGGAGGAGCCTGCTGCTAGACTGCCGCCTAACTTTATCACCGGGTTCTTGGAGGTAAGCTTTTTTTTTCTTTTGGAGGGTATGTGATACCAGAGCTAATGTTGATGACTGCAGGGCCGTAACTGAGCAAATGCAAATGAAATGTGACAATATCAAAGTTTGTTGTTCGTTGTTTGAAGGTCTCGGAGAATAGATCCAATTTCTAGCATTTTATGAAGTGGTTTTTTTTTTTCGAGGCAGTGTTGTATATAAATATGTTTTAGACAAAATGCGGTTCTGTGATAAATCTGCCGTCTACTTGGACAATGTAAGCGTGCTTACAAGTACGTACATAGTAATTTTATCTCAGCCGTGTAGCGTGAACTGGAAAGAACCTTTAAAATAGTTCAAAAGAATATTTGAATACACCCAAACGCCATCTATCCAAGATAATGCATACAATATAATATCAAAAGACTTCGTCATCGACGGACAAGTCTAATCCTAAGTCCGTCCTTTGCTGTCCAATCCACTCATTTTGACTTAAGCAGTCATCTGATTTCCCTGCTCAGCAACAAACGCATCTCTCGCAACCGTAAATTTGTCAGAGACCACATCACACAAATCCATAAGATCATTCAATCCTTTTTCTAGCGCTTCAATGGCCGTCGTATCATCTATTTCAAACATCAGCACCGAAGCCACCAAACGTTTCACTCAAGCGAAAGAAAATCGGGAGCAAGAGAGAGAAGAAGAAGGGGGATTACCGTATGTCTGAATACGAATATTCATCTTCGCCTCCGAAGGATGCGGGATTGTGTAGCCGCAGAACTCGACTTTGGGGCTTTGCAGGCGTTAGCTTCATCACCAACCTATATAGCTCAACCAAAGAATGGAGGAGGATGGAGTACTTTTTCATAATGACATATCGAAGCGCGTTGCCCAAGGTGTGACCTTCTTCTTTGAATTGGAAAGAGGCTGCTGTGTCGGAGGCGCCAGGTAACTATAATCAGTCAGTCAGGAGCTGCTTTTTTTTTCTTTTTGTACTTATTCCGAAGCCTTGAGAGAGGGTGCTGCATACAATTGTGATTCTGTTTTCGCCGACTTCAATGACCTCGCCGTTTTCTTGCTGGGCGTCAACGTCGACCATAGACTGGTCTTGGTCTTCGTGCACTGAGGCAGGCATTTTATGTTTTATGTTTTAGTATGCTCTTTCTGCAAAGTGCTTATCCTGGTATTATGCAATATGTTGCGCAAGGCTGATATAGAAAGTCTGTGTTGGCGATTTGATCTTGAAAAATCGCATATAAAAAAATGTTATCGATAAAGAACTTGGGGAAAGGCGGCGTTTGGCTGTAAAGAATTTAATTGGTTGAAAATAGCGGAAGTGGGTCAATAATATTTGGTCCTTTACTACCACATTCGTAATAATACTATATTGTATAATCAGTTAGTATTAAATTATTGAAGACTAGTAGACGTACACAGCTTACTTTACACCCACTAGCTCTTTGCTGTCCAACGAGTAGAGCTGCGTAAACAGAAAGAAATAGCAGTCAAAGCTGATATCACCGTCGTCCATCTCCTCCTACTAGTCTTCGTGAGGATTCAACGTCAACTCAGAGAGAAACCATGGCACGCCACCATAAAACTACACCAGAAATACTCTTTCTTGGTTTAATTTATAATATAAAGGCACGATTATACCCCCAGTCTTGATTTGTAGTTTTTTCTCTTCGCTGATATTATCGTTGAGGGCTCTCTATAACGAAGCCTGAAGATCCTCATCAGTCAGGTCCCTCAACGGGCCCATCACCCGGAAGACATGCGACTTTCTCTGGCTCTCAGAAGGAGGGGAGCCGCTTATTATTCGATGCTGATAGATTAATCATTCTTATCAGATCGTTCCAATTAGCTTAGATATAAAGTTTAAATTTAATAATCCATATATATATATTGTATAATTAGAGGTGTTCAATATAACGTTCTTTTTACCAAGAGGTAACAAGTACTCTAACCGCCTAGAATTGTAGTGACGAAGTTACCGGGCTGGACCAGAGTAGCTCCTTGATACCAAAGGTTCGATCTAGTATGTAAAAATGATAATATAACCGTGTTCTGTGTCTCCTCAATCATCCGGTATTCTTTAGTCTCTAGATGTTGAGGAGTTTTTCTAATCTTTTTGGATTTGACGAGCTTACGTGTCCTACACGTAGAATATGGAGCTGACCGCGGAATAACGGACTAGATGTGTCATTTAGCCGTGTAAGATGTTACCCCGCAAGTAATCTGGATATTCACCATACGTACACGCTTTGGGCGACTAGACTCTATTCGTGGCAAAACTCATCATGTAAACAAAACACCAGAGGGTGCACAACCCTTCCGTCCAGGAGCTAGACATCCGTTATTATCTGTGTATCAGGTAAATTGATTTGAATGTACTCTGACAGATAGTTCGGCTGTCCCGCTCCTCTACGTAGGTGAAAGCTGAACTCATGATGCAGACGTGGATGATGAAGATCAGGCAAACGTTGTTCATTTAGCCAACCGGCAAAATGTGCTTATTCATGCTGATGAGCAAGGTCTTCTCGTCTGGATAGAGAACACTGGAGGCATATGAAGTAGGAGGTAAGGCTCACCAAGAAATTAGCCAGTATTGGGACATGCCTACCTCAACTTTTTCGAGGCCCTGAAGCCCCAGAAAGAAAAGCATAAATTGAAGATGAATCCCCCCTGATTTGCTTACTGAAGAAGTCCAGTCAATCAGAGAGAATCACAAAACCAAATAACATGGTGTCTTTATCATCTCTTGTCCTTAGCCTCTCTGTTCTAGCAGGCGCCTTTGCCCTGCCAGGCGAGTCGCATTCCGAGCTTTTAGAGCGTCAAACCATCACTACAAGCGAAACTGGCACAAATAACGGCTTTTACTATTCATTCTGGACCAACGGTGATGGGACCGTCTCCTACACGAACGGCGATGCCGGAGAGTACAGCGTGACTTGGGCAAATGAAAATGGCGGAGACTTTACCTGCGGAAAGGGGTGGAATCCAGGTAGTGCACAGTAAGTCGTACACATTTCTTACTCATGCCCAGGAAGCTGTTCTCACTGAACAATATTCAGGGACATCACCTACTCCGGCACCTTCAGCCCCAGCGGAAATGCCTACCTTGCAGTCTACGGTTGGACCACCAGCCCTCTAGTTGAATACTACATTCTCGAAAACTATGGAACCTACAACCCCGGATCCAGCATGACCCACATGGGCACTGTCACCAGCGACGGTGCTACCTATGATATCTATGAGCACCAGCAAGTCGACCAGCCTTCTATCGTCGGCACATCAACCTTTAACCAATACTGGTCCATCCGCCAGAGCACGCGGTCTAGCGGAACTGTCACTACAGCGAATCATTTCAATGCCTGGGCTGCATTGGGTATGAGCCTAGGCACCCATAATTACCAGATCGTGTCTACAGAGGGGTATGAGAGTAGTGGAACTTCGACTATTACTGTTTCTGCAGGTGGTTCATCCTCCTCCTCCTCCTCCTCCTCCTCTACTACCAGCACCAGCAGCAGTACAACGACCTCATCGGGCAGCACTTCTACTAGCACAAGTGTAAGTTCATTGAGTGCCATTTGGAAACAAGGATTTGGAACTAATACCTTCGGTAGTGCTCTGCGCTGTATGGGCAGTGTGGTGGATCAGGCTGGACTGGTCCTACTTGTTGTTCTTCGGGCACTTGCAAGTATTCCAACGCTTGGTACTCTCAGTGCCTCTAGGGCATCTATTCAGTAGCTTTATAGCACAACAGTGAAAGAGAACTCCGGACGTCATGTCTGTGTTTTCGCTGGGATTGCCTACTTTTTCCCATGCAATTTTGTGGTGAGCGGTGTCGTGAAGCCAACCAATTTTTTCCTCTTCTTAAAGGTTTGAAAATACAGTGAAGTCCCAAAATCTGTGGAGTCACCACCCATGAAGCTAGTTATATCTAAAACGGATCGAAGATGTAAGCAGCGTGATTGAATATGAACCATGAGGGCACTACTGACCATATACCTCTGGCTTCTCTCCTAGTAGCACCATCTCAATTCGTCTTCCACATTCTCCTCATGGCCAGTCTTAAACGTATCATCTGGCGAGATAGTGGTTCCACTATCTCAGATGAATCCTAATTTTCTCTGCTTGAGGTTGATTTATTGGCAAATTTGCCTCTGCTTCTTGATTACTGATTCCTTTGCTATCCTTGGCAAAATACTTTCCCTTGTAGCTCTCCTGGACAACTCTGTTTGGTCGACCAATGATGGCGCTGCGGCTTGCAAGATCACGTTCCTGTCAGTCATATAGTATCATCATCTGACTTTGCTCGTTTGCTGAGCGTTCTGGATCCTTCCTAACCTTACTACAGAGCTTCTACGATTTCTAAAAATAAGAAGGACCCTTGTTATTCAGAATAGCTATCTAAATAGCTCTCTGGAGCAGCTGGAATCCTTGCGAAATGCTGCTATTATCGAATATGGCGTTGTCTAGATCTATGACATCTCTGCTTGCTTTCCGAGCCTAGTGGTACCTTTCTCCGTGCTTTGACTGTGTAAATCTCCGTTGCCAGACTCGATTCCGCCCTGCGGTGTGGTTTCTGATACAACGGGATCGGGACGGATCTGCGTGGGTTGTATAACTTGCAAGTTGAGGTGCAATAGGCGTGTAAACCAGGTGATTGATCCCCCATGGCGGGAGTGCCAGATCATAGATAGCAAAGAGAGAGAGACTTGAGAAATTTGTGTCCTGTCATGTCTGATAGTGACTCTACATGCACACGTCGCCTAATATATCGATAGAAGGTAATGTTTTCTACACTATGATTAACTTCAGCAATGAGTCGCAGATCGTCCACCAAGTCATACTATATTCTTCAAATATTTTTCAATTTGATGTCTTTAATGTTCGGACTTCCTGTACCCCGCATTGTGTGGAGAGGCAGCAACAACTCTCATAATCCAGAATGCCATTCAATTTCAGATATAGATCTAGATCAGTGTAGCAGGTGCAAAAACAAGGCATTAAGGACAACCGATGTTTCATCTTCTGCATTGTCTGGAGAGTCTGAGATTCTCTTCGGCTTCGCACAATAACTCTCATCATTACCATAATGAGAATATCAGCTCGGATGCTGAATAAGCCAGAGAAGAAGAACAAGATCATCACTTGAACCACTGCTTTTAGTATCTTTTTCAGGGAATAATGTGTGCGGCAGACGATACCATGGAGCCTTCTTTCGTCTCTGAGATGACCGACCTGTCATGAACGCCAACCTTTAGCTTTGGAAAAGTACCAGCATTTTCATCTTGTATATCAACATCGAACGCTTGGCATGTGAGTATCAACATGCAGAGTCCATCCAAGCCTAGAACAATATTCAAGTACTGTCAAGACAAGCATACCCGGCATGTTGCAACAAGTATGACCTGACAATGTCACGGTATCGCATGTCGAGTATGTTCATTGCGGCTTTTGTGCAACTTGCTCGATCGGGCGACGCATTTACCTAGGCTCATCAGAGAGAAGGTTTGAAATTAATATACTCGTAACCCGGCATAACGACTGAGCAGTAACACCAGCAGTATATAAGAGGCTGCTATATTAATGAAGTGGTCCTGAATATGACGAAAGTTAAAATTGTCTGCATGGTAATAACGGAGCATTTATTACAGCCAGGGTTAGGGTTGTTGATTGATACGGTACCAACTGCTACTACGTACGTAGTAGTACATTCTACATACATGGTACGTATGGAAAAGATGAAACGAACCGGAATCAGGTGGGGCGCTGCTCGAACTATTGATTTTGCTCCATTTAGCTTGCGACTAGCCATGCTCGATACGAAGAATGCCAGGATTCAAACAGGACTGACAACTTACTATGTATCCAGAGTAAGCAGTGAAGGATCGTTGCTGCTGTATCGGGTAATAAATAATAAAAAGTTGGCGTTGTTCTATTACGTAGCGAAATGTGGAACATGCAGGTGAATCGTGGTGAATGTGGTGTATCGTTGATATGGCGATAAGAAGATAGTAGATTATAAAGTTATCATTATCATACTATGATCTCCCACACGATAGCAGGACTCTTTGTCAGTACATAGGACTATGTAGTACGTACTCAATATACTATGTGCATGAATTAGTTAACTAGTACGTTCGTAGTCGTAATTACGAAATCAACTAATCGGCGACCTCTGTTCTTTATTACCTCCTGTTTCAGCCAAGGACGAATCGCAGGGCCAGACGCCGGGTTAGCCGTCTCAGATGTCGCCCGGACCACTCGCCTTGTCTTCCAGGAGGAACGACATCCACCAATGACCTTGCATTTTGCGTCGCTTTTGTGTACTCCGTACACAGTAGATTCGATTTGAGATGGTACGCAGATGTATCTCCTGTATCTGTCTGTGTCCGCCAGGATTGCAATCCTCGCCACCCGACCATGTTGAGCTCCGTGCTTGTGCTTGACTGCAGTCGACCACCAGATAAGTAGTCCGGCAGAGAATTTATTCCACATCAAGAAAAGTAATTCAGAACGTTGATAGTATGTGTATGTTCACGTGAAGTAAGATTGCACGAGGCCGTATGGATCGTCACGTGTAATGTATCGGTACGGTCACGGTCTCGACCATTACTCGCGTCGGCCACTTACGTGGTAAGCGCCCGCGAGCTGCTCCTTCTGCTGCTCAAATACTCCCTGTTATTTTATACTCCTACCTACGTTGGTTTCCAGACGTTGACAACATGAGAGGACTAGTTGTATTTATCTCATAGTCTCTGACACCATCATTCTCTTTTTCCCGCTCTTTTTTGCCCTCGTCTATCGCACATTGCCAATCTTGAAGGCGTGTGCAGCCCCTCGGCCCCAAAGATCCTGTCCAATCACGCCGCCTGCCCGAGCGCTGACTGCTTCCTGCTCTGAAAGTCTGAGACAGCTAGAGGTGTCAGAATAAAACCCAGCTCCCAACGACCAAACAATCCTGTTGCAGCCACTTCCACTCCAGGGTCGAGACCCGCTCGGACTACTTACCCTGAGACATTAGGCGCCCACCTCTTTTTGCTAGGTTTGCTCGGCGACCAGTGTGCAGGCTGAGCAAGCGCTGAGACTTGCAGTCTCTGAGTAAATTACAGAGAGGACATTCGTTTTTCTTTCTTTCTACTTGACTCTCTTTTTTATTTCTGCTTTGTTGTTTTGGAGGGGAACATTCTCTGTATTGCCCAGAGTAGTTCGTTCGCACGGCGTCTAATTTCGTGCCCGCTGTCCGCCTTGTCGGCAACCACGAACCAACTCAACATTTGAGAATCTGACACATCAGATAATTGGAAAGGTCCTTGGAAATCATCTCAATCAACATCGGCTACCATAGCCAGTCCCTCGGGACGTCGTCCCAAATCGTCTCTCTCTCGTTCTTATATACATCGTCTTGAACAAAATCGCCTCGACGGAACCAGTTATACGAGGTGATCCCCAACAAATATACAGCAAAATGTCTACTGCGGTTGCGCCTGCGACGGCGGCACCTTTGACATCTTCTCATGTGGATAGAGCACCAAGTCCGAAGAGTCATCACTCGCTCTCGGCGATGCCGGCCTCTCGAATGCCCTCCGGTCCTCAAGAAGGAGCTCCAGGAAAGTCAAGCCCGGAAGGGAAGAAGACTCCTAACTCGTAAGTTTTGCTTTTGGATTTGCTGCTCCTCTGTGCAGCTGTGTTTATGCTCGAAATTTCTTTTGGCTAATAGACTACAATATAGAAATGCCGCACCCAAGATCGTCGTGAAGAAAGAACCTCCCTCCTCCCCCACAATGTCCTCTCAAATGAGGCCCCGGCCCAGAAAACTAGATCTCTCTGCTAGCACATTATCAGTTCGCGGCCCAGCAGGTCCGATGACTGCTCGCGACGGATTGGCGCTGCACGATGTCGGACTAGCATGCTTATCACCCGGCTTTCAGACACACGATCCCGAACGACAAGAACAATTACAGCGCAGTATCGCAGTACGCGAGCAGCAGAGATCTATAATCGAATCAAGACTACAAAAATCCGCAAAAGGCGACGGTAGCGATTCGAACAAATCATCCGAGTCAAATCCTTTTGGCTCTTTAAAGATTGCCAAGAAGCGTCCTCCTCCTGGCCTCTCTATCGTCCCTCCCTCAGCCTCTCAATTTGCGAACGAACGAATTGTGCAGTCCGCCCCTTTACACAAGACATTTACTGGTCGCCATGACCCGATGCCTATAACCCGTCACCTCATTGGCCACACTCCCAACCTTCCATCGCCTTCTCATATCCACCATGTACCGGCTCAACAAACGAACAACCGTCTACCACCTCTTTCAGATGTCTTTGGCTCTGACTTGAATTCCAGAGAACGAGAGCGGGAACGCAATGGAATGTTCCCCGCCTCTAGTATTTCCTCACAATCCAACACTACTGCATCGACGATTCCCCCATTCTCGTCCTCTCCCGGTCACAATGGAACCTCTCAACAACGGCCACGAGAGTACCGATCCGCCGAGGAGGCTGTGCAAGAACTTGCTGGCGGTCGGGAAGAACTTTTGCCTCGTATCGTTCACTATAGCGGCCACCAGCAACCGGCCACTCCACCTTCACCATATGGCAATGGCAACGTAGGTGCCACATCCACGCAGCAGCCGTATGCACCGCCTCCAAGCCTGGGAACTTCTCGTCGTCGGACTAGAGATGAGTACGAGCAGGACAACGGCAGTCCTCCATTAGGCACCGGACCGGATATGAGATTCCGCAACGGACCAGGCCCAGCGGTATCTTCATATGGACCTTTCGGAGCCGGTCGCGATTCACCGGAGACTCAGAGGAAAAAGAAGGAAGAGTTCTTGTCTCTTTGTGCGCGAGCATGGGACCTCTTCCATTCATAAGAAAACTTACAGCATTTCATACTTATGATACCAAGATAACAGCATTCGTCATCACAGCAACTCATTTTGGCTTTGCGACATTGAATATTATTCAACCGACAGATTTGTCCGCCCGAATTTTGTTTTCAGCTGAGATATCCAGTTCTCTTCTTACCCCTCATCACGAGGATTCTTGCGTTAAGCCGGGTGGTTCATCGAGTACTTTCAGTGTTTGCATACGCCTTCGACTCGGTATTTTATATACTATATACAAATAAATCTCAACTTGTGTGAATTTCTTGCAATGAATGAACAAATGAGGCATGAAAGGGAATTAATATTTGGGATTGGCGAATTTCTTCTTTTGCCCTGGTTGGCCTCTTTTTTTTCCTGCTCTTTCAAAACCTATACCATGTATTTCGTCTTTCGCTCGACTTACGACGGCATATTTTCATTTTCGTATTTTTATGACTTGGGCGCTTCGTCCTTTCTTCTTTGTGGTCGTCTTTTTGAAACTTGTTGATATCCCTGATGCATCGCAATACATCTTGTTGCGATACTCTTTCTATTTTTTTCGATTACTTATTTCTCTTCTCTTTCAGTGTCGATGACGGAGTAGGTAGATAATGGAACTTTTCATATCTTCTCGTGATCCAGATATCCTTATATACAAGCCATACATAAATACTTTTATAGACAAAGTAATTTAATTCTCCATCCCCCTCCTCGCCCACGGCAAATCCTTCTTCTCCTTTGACGCAACCTTCTTCCTCCTCCTCTCCAACGCCTTCGCCCGCTCCTTCGACCCCATACTCTCATACTTCTTCTTGAGCACCTCCCTCTTCAACTCCGACTTCTTTAGGAAGTAAGGCTGACTCTTCTTCCCTTCCTTGATGAGTTGTTTTTCTTTTTTCTTGTGTTCCTGCAACACCTCCTGCTCCCGTTTCCGATTCTCAAGCGCCCGCTGTCGATCCGTCGCGGATGTTATTGCGCGCTTGAGCTCTTCCTTTTGAGTCACATCCTTGGTCTTGGCGAGTTGTTCTTTGAGTTGTTTGATTTCCGAAGCGCGGTATTCGTCTAAAAATGCATATGCGTTTTCGGCTGACGGGTTGTTGCTGCGTCGTGCTGAAGAAGATGATTTTACGACTGTGGGATCGAAGCGAGGGTCTCGCGACTTTGTGGTTGTGGGTTCGATGATGGTGCGTTTGCGTGAGACGGCGATTCTGGAGGATTGGACTGCGGGCGCGTGTTTGGAGCTTCGTGGTGGTGGCTTTGGTTTGTTGTATCCGTTGTTAGTTTGAGTATTGTTGTTGGTAGTAGTACTGGTGTGAAGGCCGAGTTTTCGTTCGCGTGCTATACGTAGTCGTTCTCTTATATCGTCTAGTGTAGATGATGGCTTTTTCTGGTCTGTTTCGTCATCTGGTTTGTCTTCTACGCCTCGTTTTCGTTTCTTGCCAATGGATTTTTGTGCTTTGGCAAGCGCGCCGAATGATATTTGACGGAATTCGGATTGTATTGCTTCTCTGTCGTTGGCAGACTGGACTGATTGAGTGTCGCTTATATCTGAATTATCGTCATTTTCATCATCCTCTGCCTCATCGTCTTGTGATTCTTCGGCATCGGAATTGGAGTTGTCCTCTTCCTCGTCAGAATCGCTTCCGGCGTCCTTTTCAATGTCCTCCACCTCGTCTGATAGAATCTCGTCGTCAAACTCATCTTCCTCTTCATCGCGCCGAGCGCGCAGCCGCTTGTTCAATGAGTCTGAGATTGCCATGTTGTATTCTCTTCTGGATATAGAATTGTAGAGGTGCCATGCTTATCAGGCGGAGTAAATACTTTTTTCCAAATTCTGCCCACCCCATAAAGCGGTGAGTTTATAACAAGTTCTGATTCGCTAGCCGCCCGATAAACTTTATCTCCTATCGGCTGGCTTCCAAAAAACTTAATGCTTTAATTCCTACTTCGACGTCGCAATTGCTCTTTTCTCGTTTGTAATTCTCTCGCTCTCTCGGTTTGTTCGTTTTCTTTTTTTTTGGGCACTCACATTATTCGAGTACCTCGTTGCTTGTCGATACCTGTGCTAAATGTGGCAATATGTGCCGAAACCGCCACTAAGCTCGAATTCAGCCCTATATAGTCCATATGCTGTTTTAAGTAGAGGTGGACGTTCGGCCTCATGTCGACGGAGCGGTAAGGTATCACTCTTCGAGAAATCCGGCTTTCAGTTTCTGTAGTTTTGAAACTAATGCGCGACTCACAGCGAACGATTCACTCGCTTCCAATGGCAGAAGAGATCAAGGATGTGGCTCAATCGACGCTGCCTGATGGACATCGTGCTATCCCCTCGTTTCATGGTGGAATGACCTACGAGAGCGCCGAAAATGCTCAGTCCAAGAAAGTAACCGGACAAGGCCAATGGAGCAGTTCACAACAATCCAGACGGTCACAGCGGATCCAGCAACCGACAGAACAAAATACTTGGAATAATAACCAGCAGACGGTATATAATACCAGCCATCAGATGGCCTATAGCACCAATAATTCTTCAGCTGCATATTCCTTCGCACCATACAACAACATGAGCAACACGACGTTGAACCCATACATGGCAAATACTGGAACGATTCCTCAAAATCCGATCAACAACACATCAAACTTCGGCTGGGGCGCCATTTATGCCACGTCTACTACTTCTCACCAAACACCCACAGCTCCTGTGATGCAACCACTGTGGCTACAAATGCAATCTGCGCAACAAATGATGATGCCTCAACCGACGATAGGAGGGTTCGGTAGTGGCCAATCGTTTTTCACCAATTCGAATGGCATGCACCGGCAGCAGATACGTCATATGTCTACTGAAACCTCGCCCGCGAAGGGGAGATACGAATACATAAGTGGACTTCGAAGGAAAATGTACCACTGTCTCCCTGCCAAGTACAAGACCGATGAATTTCTCGAGCCAGTTCAACGGCCACTGCCTATCGAAGACTCGGATTTAGAGTCGGTCCATCCGATAACCCAGATCAGGAGAGATGTATGGCTCGCCGTTCCTGAAAGATACAAAACGGATGAACTTCAGAGGCTGTTCAATTCGGCACGACTTAATTCGTCTCAAGACGGAAACTCAGTCAAGTCTACATCACTTCAGAAAGAAACCCACAGGCTCCTGTATCTCGTACGTGCAGCGCGTATAAGAGAATGTGAAAATTTACCAAAGGAGGAGAAATATCGGCCAACCCATCCAGAATCTAATAGTCTAGAAACGATGGAGAAACGTCAGTACGTTCGTGCCACAAGTCAACCGCCGGTGCCTCTCCCTTCAATACTCGGTGCCGCCAATTCGAGAAACGAAGGCTCATCAGCATCGGGGAATATAAAATATGTCCATACCAAAGTCGAACCACCAATGACCCCCTTGCCCTTGAAGTCATACTTGGAGCAAGCAGCCAAAGAACCGATAGACTTGCAGTTCACGCAACCGCTTCTCGTCATTCTAGATCTGAACGGAACACTTTTGTACCGCAGGCGCAAAGTTTTCCCACCAAAATTCACCCGACGACCAGCACTCAACTACTTTCTCGAACGACTTACGACTCGACATGAGGTTATGGTATGGTCAAGTTCTCGACCAGATACCGTGGATGCGATCTGCAACGAAATTTTTTCCACGGGTCAGAAAGAAAAACTAGTAGCAAGATGGAGTAGGGACCATCTTGACCTGAACAAAGAGCAATTCAACAGCAAAGTCCAGGTCTACAAAGTACTTGAAAAGGTATGGGCCGATAAAGACATCCAGGCGAAATTCCCAACCAAAAAAGACCTATCTGGGAAAGCAGCGTTCAACGCAATCCGCTACACACCCGGTCTCGACAAAGAGACCGAAATGACAGGCTTCCTGAATAAACGCTGGGACCAATCAAACACCGTCTTAATTGACGATAGCACCCTCAAAGCCGCCGCAAATCCGTATAACATCATCCAAGTCCCCGAATTCACAAACGTGCCTAACGAGAACGACACCACGGTCCTGAAAGAACTACTCCTCAAGATCCGTGTACTCGCAAAATCGAACGACGTCAGCCGTCGTCTCCGCTCCCTAGGGTCAGAGGGCATCCAAATCCGTCGCGAAGAGGTATTAGCATCCGTCTCTGAATCGGAGTCAGAAGCTCAGCATATCAAGCAGCAAGAAAAGATAGATGAAGGAAATGGCGAGAAAGTCGTGGGATCGACTGAAGTCTTTGAAACAGACAACAAAATTGTGCCCATTTCGTTACCTCCTCAACCGACGTCTGGATCTGGATCTAAAAGGGCGAGAGCCAAAGCGGAGAAGGCGGCACGGAAGGCGAAGAAGAAGCAGGTGAAGAAGCAGGCCTTGCCTGATGCGTCGAGGGAGGTAGAGGGTGGACCTTCAACACTTTAGATGTTAAAATGAAGAGACTTTTCCGTCGTGTCCATGTATCATTTCATGTCGAATTGGTACATTATATACCTACCGCTCAATTTGATATTTACCTGAACTCGAGCTTTACGAATTAAGTGATCTACTAGTACGAGAAATAGCGACCCAACACTTAGATCATGACATCAATTGATGACAGTTTGTATGTTGATTCATTAAMAAGCCATAACCATCACCGTCTCATCACATCACATATCACATAAATTCTTTTACTGCTTCTCGTCTTCTTCTCATGAGGGGACATAGGAAAATCATATGAATTCTAAACGTGGGCATCAAGGAGGGAGAATGCTATCTCTGGTGAAAGTAGTCCTGAGAATAGTCCGTCCCGTTTTGGTATATTAGGAAACAAGAGCGTGGGGAGGAATAAAGAGAGAAGAGAGGGCGACTGAAGAATGCTTTGATTTGACTTCGGTTTCGTCGTTTATTTGAAGACGTGGCCGTCAACGTGGGGCCATTCCTTGCCCTCACGGACGACAGGGACGTCCCAGGCCCAGAGGTCTTCGATCAACTTGCGGTCTTCCTCGCTGGTGTGGTCGAGCTTCTTGAACTCGTAGCTCTCCCAGTCAGGGGCGACGTCGAAAGCAGGGATGTGCTCCTGGCCGCGGACCAAGAAGGCACCACGGATGAGGCACTTGTAGTTCTCGCCATAGACGGAAGCAGCACCGAAGAGGTACTTGCGAGAGGCCTCGAGACGAGCGAAGAAACCACCAATCAAGTTGTTGGCCATGAAGGTGAGCTTGAGCTCATCGTTATATTTGTAGTCAACAAGCCAGAGAGAGTACTCTTCAGGCTTGTAGTTCTGCCAGAACCAAGGCATAGCGACAGGGCGGGTATCATTGTTAGAGTATTGACGCTTCCACTCGTCAAGAATCAAAGTGGGCTTGCCAAGGGCCTCAAGAGGGTGCTTGGCCTTGGGCTCAGGCTTCACATCAGGCTCCTCCTCGTCTTCTTCCTTAGCAGCAGGCTTGGGGGCCTCCTTCTTAGGCTTCTCCTCCTTCTTGGGAGGGGTGTACTTGACGGCCTCATCAATCAAGGTAGACTCAGGAATGACATCCTTCCAGTAACCCTGGTTGACAACGGTGTTGAACCAACGGGTGACGGCGACGAACTCAGAGCGGGCCTTCTTGTCAAGGACAGTGGCGAATGCGCGACGGATAATACCGGCAGTGAAAATATCAGCGAGGGTGATACGCTCACCGACGAGGAAGGTGTTGGCAGTGAGGTGAGTCTCCAAGACCTTAAGAGCAGCGCGGGATGCAGTGGCGTTGTCCTCAACGGTCTTCTTGTTGTAGGGGTTAACGCCAACGAGAGGGAGGTACCAGGAGCTAAGGCGGTTGATGAGGTCGGTGTTGGCGAACGAGATCCAGCGAAGGATGGAAGCATAGTCCTGCTTGGTGGTGCCCAAGAGGGTGGTCTTCTCGTTCTGGGAGGTGACTGTTTCGAATTAGCCAATGAACAAGTGTCCTTTGTCGAGCATCTCAACAGATTTCAAAAACAAAAGGTAATCGCAATCAGAGTTGGTGGGTTATCAACACAAATGAGATCTTCCGTGATTTGTTTGGAGACTCTTTCTGACAGGGATAACAAGTAATCATCATAAAGCGAAGGGAAGCGAAACGAAGAGCAGAAAAGAAAATTCAAGTGGGGTGCAAAAAACGTACTGTAGATGGCGATGGCAACGGCCTCGGTCAGGACAAAGCCATTAGCACCAACGAAGGCAGGAATCTTGCCAAGAGGGTTGATCTCAAGAGGAGTCTTGCCGCCAACAGTCTCAACGACTTCGAGGTCGAGTCCATTAGCCTTAGCAGCGACGACTGAGGGGATAGTACGGCCGTGGCCCTGAGAGACACGCATTAGTTATATGACGAAGTAGACATCGCTGGAATAGCAGATTATAACACTTACGGTAGAGCCGTAGATCTTTCCGAAAGACATCTTGAAACCTGTAGCGACTTCTTGACGGAGATGGAAATGGGAGAGGGAATAGTAGAGTGAGGAGGAAGAGCAAAGAAGAGGAAAAAATAAAGAAGGTGGGCGGGGAGGGGCTAAGGAAAAGGGAGGCGGGAGAAAGAGAGTCAGAGCTTTGCCTGAAAATTTGTGCGAATCACGACACACCTTGAGGCATTAAGGCGCTAAGGCAACAAGGCTCCCAGCGTCGGCGGCGGATAATCTTTTTTGTCCATTGCTTCAGCCACGTGACCTGCGTCCGCCGACGCCAAAATATTCTGCGGAATCACCACGGAGGTTAGTATTCAGGACAATATCGGCATTTTTCTCCACGACTTTACAATTGCGCCAACTGTAAGGCCAATTGATCCCCATCAATTACTGGAAAGCAATATTCAGGGGACAATGGCCTTGCAAAGGTCGACATGCCTCGCGCGGGCTGCGCAGGGTGCCTACGGAGCTGTTCAACGACCTTCACTATCTCACACTTCTACTTCGCCTATTCTCCGAGCCACATCGCAATCTGCTTCTACGAAGAAGTATCAAAATAATTTCTCTACCTCCATCAGACGACATGCCGAAGGACTCGAGTTGTCTCGGGCAGCCCCAGAAATCGATTTCAAGAACTTCGTCATTCGTCCGGCACGTATAGTCCCTGCCTCGCCGGCATACTTTTCCGGAAGTCCAAAGTTCATCGACCATCAGATCAAGCTAGAACGACTTTTAGAAAAGTACGGACAGTTACCGACTTTAGAGGGCAGCGAAGCGCCTCGAATGGCGTGGTTCAAACTGGCACAATTTCGAGACTTGTTAGGCGAACCCATTCCCGCAAAGAAATACAAGAACTTCCAAAAAGTCTTGCAACGACTCAACAAAATCCAGACAGACTTGTTGCCTGAAGAGGTCCGAGAGGCATTGTATAGCTACGTTCGTCCCGGTAACCCCTATGCCAACAAACCGGCTCCAAAGGAGGTGGATGAATTCGGCCGAGCGCGCGGAAAGGGAAAAAGAAAGGAATCTTCTGCCGTGGTCTACCTTGTGGAGGGAGAGGGAGAGGTGCTTGTGAATGACAAAAATATTGTGGATGCTTTCCCTCGAGTACATGACCGAGAAAGTGCGCTCTGGGCGTTACGATGCACGCAAAGACTTGATAAATATAATGTCTGGGCCAAGGTGTCTGGTGGAGGAGTAACAGGACAGGCGGAAGCCATTACATTGGCCGTTGCTCGCGCTCTGATGGTTCATGAGCCAGCGCTCAAACCAGTTTTGCGACAAGGTATGTTTTCTGGCATTTCTTTTTTGGGTTGTAACATTACTAACATTCTGCTCAGCCGGTGTCATCACAGTCGACGCCCGTCGTGTTGAGAGGAAGAAGCCTGGTCATGTCAAGGCAAGAAAAATGCCTACCTGGGTCAAGCGATGAGGGATGCTTGGGACCGTGTCAATACTATTATATCTTTTCTTATCGTGTATTATATCAGCAATCCATGGCGATCATGATGTTCAATCAACCTTTACCTATTCATTCTTCACTTGAGGCATGCGCACATTTACTATGGTGTATCACCGTGTCCATCCAACATTATGATTTAGCCATATTCGGGACTCCGTGAGTTGTCGACATGCCATATCAAGATGGACGAATTCGGCATATATCATCAAATCTGTCGCCCTCTCACTTCGCTCCTACTAGTAGTCTGTTGACTCTGTTCTAGCTTTCGAGATTCTCCCCTTGTGGACCAACACCAAACTCGTGAGCTGAATTTCTATGATTGGTGCAGCAAACATAACGCTTTACGCATTGACGTTTTCAGCTGATTAGACTTATGTACCAACATCGATAATCACAGCAATCTATGCCTGAATGGGCCAAGTAGTAGATGTTGATTTTCAGCTGAAATCCTAACACACGTTGAATTGGTAAGAAGATTGCTGACCAAGTTGATAGACCATTTGAAGCTGTCGATACCTATATATCTGTCATTCCTTCACCACCAAACAATACATTTTATACTCATCTGAAACTCAACTTGATTATACTTAACAATATAGAGTCTCCGACTCTTTTAACCGTATATTATTTAGGTATATTCTGGACAATGTCAGCAACTACATACGATTACATTATCATTGGAGGTGGAATTGCCGGCTGCACTCTAGCTAGCAGGCTTCATGAGAGAAATGATTCTATCAAAATTCTCATTATCGAGGCAGGCCCAGATGTCGCAGACCATCCTCTAACCCAGTCACCCTTGGCATGTTTTGGAGCTCATTTCTCACCCCTGGACTGGGCCTTCAAAACCGTACCCCAGGCCCACCTCGACAATCGAGAATGCTACAACAGTGCCGCCAGAGCTCTCGGTGGTGGCTCAGCTATCAACTATGGAACGTGGACGCGCGGGAGTGCTGCAGACTACAATCGCTGGGGAGAGTTAGTGAAGGACCGGCAATGGAGCTATGAAGGCCTACTGCCTTACTTCAGGAAGACCGAGACTCACTTCAAAACTACACATGCGGATTTGACTGTTCACGGTGTCGAGGGTCCGATCCACAATGTGTCTATTTCGCAAAGCAGCCCGGATCGCAAGTATCCCTTGCGGGAACCTCTAAGAGCTGCTTGGAATAGGTTAGGCGTCGAGATTACAGAGGATGCCAATGCAGGCGTGCCTCTGGGGCTGGGAGAATTGACTGAAAACTGGCGCGATGGGCGTCGTCAGATAGCCAGCGAGGTATTCGGTATCAAACAGCTTCCTCGGCTCACCGTCCTCACAGAGACATTAGTACAGCGAGTGCTCATTGAAGATCACGAGTCTGGAACAAAAAGAGCCGTCGGAGTTGAGGTGATAGGTGGTCATGTCTATCGCGCAAATCAAGAAGTTATAGTATCCGCTGGGACTTATCGGACGCCACAAGTCTTGATGCTCTCAGGGATAGGTGCCAGGGAAGAACTCTCAAAACACGGTATCACACAAACCGTCGATGTACCTGAAGTCGGACGCAATTTTCACGACCACTTTGCCTTTGTCCAGTGGTGGAAATTGCGCCACCCAGAAAGGGGCTTGTCAATAGGCACTCCATTATGGAACAGTCCTGCGTATGCTGTGGGATTGCCTTGTGACTGGGTCGCGACTCTGCGAGCTCCACGGGACAATCTGATCCACGCGCTTGAAGAAGATAAAGAAACAGACATCGACAGACATCCTTATCTCGCTCCTGATGCGTGCCACCTGGAGACGCTCATTGTATACGCTCCAGCAGGGGCGGCTGTCTCAAAAGTCGATGTTCCTATGGATGGTACATACATAGCATCCGCCGTCTTGGGAATGGCAACGACCTCACGTGGCCGCATTACTCTAGCATCAGCCAATGCATCAGCATCACCTTTAATAGATCCGAATTACTACTCGACCGAGTTTGACCGCGCAGTCCTTCGCGCTGGAATCCGCCAGGTGACGGGTCTTTTGCTCGATACACCAGAAGGTCAAGAGATTGTCGAAAGCCAGCTGTCGTCACATCATGGTCTTGGACCTCTAAGTGCTCGGTCTACAGATGAGGAAATCGATGCTCAAGTAAGGGCTGGCGGTAATACCTTCTATCACCCAGCCGGCTCTGCAGCAATGGGGAAAGTAGTTGACTCGAATCTACGTGTTTATGGCGTGGGAAACTTGCGGGTTGTGGATGCAAGTGTGCTACCACTACCAATAACCGCACATTACCAAGCGTTGACATATGCCCTTGCTGAGAAGGCGGCTGATATTATTTCTAGCTAAACATGTAATTTCGATCATTTGATGGCAATGCAAATCGAAGTCTTGATCCTACTCTTGACAAGGTATCAGCTTACTTATTACTCGCCTTCTTGTTTTGGTATTCATTGTATAATTGAATATGTAAATGCAAGGCAAATAACTAGATCAGATGCCCCTGTGACAATTGAAACATTCTCCAATCCAAAACTCAGGTAGCAGGATGGATTCAAGGGGGTATCTTCAGCTAGACCCAAGAAGGCTATACGTACCACCAATTCAGCAAGTACAACCGTACGAATTTCAATCGAGACTGTAATGTATATACGAACGTAGCGCAAATTACAGTCAAAGACCTTATGTAGTAAAAAAAATCATTGGTCCGGTAAATATGGTAGGTTTCGTAACATGACTCATATCAAACTTTAGTACGCCTATTTTACAGATATGACAGGAGTGGAGTCCTTCTTGAGATCGGATATTGCTTTTCAATTCCGCCCCCTGGATCATGAGTTCGTCACTTCGTATACGTCCAGGGCTAGTACGTAGCGTATAAAACTATGTAGTACATTTTTCGGCTGACGACATATCATACTATATGGCAATTCTCCTTGTAGATCAAAGGTCTAGCCTGATGATGAGGTAGCGACTGGGTACCGAGTCCTGACTCCCGACCATGGCTTGGATCACTAAGGTTTATTTGCTTTTGATTCCGAGATTTTAATCCCTGTATTGTGCATATTTTAGTGCCTGGCTAGTCATACTAGCCATGTATATATATCCGGTGACTTTGTCTCTTTGACAGCAGCTACTACGGTAATCCATGTTCTGGGGGTTAAAACACACTTCATTATCCCCTTTGGGTATGGACAAAGGATTCGCATCGATGTCATTGTCTCTAGTATCATAATATCTTCATTATTTTTGAGATCGCCCGCTTTTAGCGCCGCCTTAGTCGACCTGAGACAGTCGTCGGCCTACGATATAGGCTATAAATCTATATCAGCTATACCTATGACGCGGAAGATTAGGTCCCAAAAAGAGGTCAGAGCCAGATTAGCTCCATCCATATGGAGCATCGTGCATGAAGAGGTTTCTACCCGAGTTCCCCGAATTAGACTGAGAACCTCTGCTTCATCCCTTTTTCTTGTTGGCAACTTAATCCCGTGTACCTATAGTCACAGCTGAATGTACTGTTACGTATGTACTCCGTGGTAAGACAGCCCCGACAGTCTGGTAACTCGACTCCACCTAGGTGAGATGCATATTAATATCCTATGAACTAAGAAAGTGTAATACCGCAACAAAACTACGAAGATAGGGTTACATACTGTACCCTGGCAGAATTACAGTATGATTGCTTGGCGTCTGCACAAGTCGATGGCGTTTGCGTCTGCTGGGCTTGCAATGGCGCTGAATGATACTCACTGATCGCGAGGCCCATTCTGTGGATGTCATTGACTACATCTGTCAAGCATGTAGAGTTACCTAATGCCAATGAAGCACATCTTCATCTATATGGTATCTGGTTGTTTGAATTGTGGTGATCAAGGTTGAAGGATGTATCTGACGATCTGCATCTGGATCTCGAATTCCATACATTTTCGGTGGTTCATACACGGCTATTTGAGATCTGCATAGATCCCGACGTTAGGATACATGCTATGCAGCGGTTTGACATGTGATTACTTGTTTGCTCGATCGATCCGAACTTCGACCGCGAGATCTATTTTACTGGCATCTCGGTCTGTATAAAGAGATCTAGAGCTATAGTGTACTTTGCGAATCATGTCTTATGTCGACGTTAGGGCGCACAGCTTAGTTCTGGACTTACATAGTTTATAGTTACGGAAAGTCCATTGGGCGATCGACAAAAGAGTCCAGATGCTATAATGTTGTCATAGCTGATAGGGTCTTTTTGTTTCACTACGGCCTGAGAATTTTCCATTCAATTCACTCAATTCTTTGCCTACTTTCGGTAGATCTTTTCTCGTTATGTCATATTTTCCCTTGGTTACCTCAATATCTTCTTCACCATGCATTACTTTATCACTACGGACGATGCTTTAGATGAAATAGATTGTCCGCTGCCTGGTTGAGTCAATACATAAGCTTTCTTCGTTGATGAAAGATAATTGTATCAAATATCTGAGCTATTCATGCCGGACATAAAGGTACGCTCTTGAGGCCTAATAGTCTATAGAGCTAAATTTTTCAAAAAACCCGGAACCTCCAGCCCTAACCCTAAGTAACATCGGGGAATCAATCTAAACGAACCCGTCTCTAGCAGTCATTTCGATGCTACACTACTACGTACGTGATAGTTCATCGTCTACAGACTAGTCTGTCATCAAGGCGTACTATGCCGGCACCGAACAAGGCCTACTTTTAGTTACATTATGCATCAACTTTCAAGGATGACCCAAAAATTTGGGTCGGCGCTTCTCGGGGATAATCCCATAACCAATAGTGCCTCCCTCTTAATCTATGTTCCAAGGCTACTTACCTTTAGTCTACCTTAAAGTGTCCCTACAATTATAGTAGTACACATATTATTATCAAAAAGGCGGCATGGTGTCCACCGTCCAGTAGACAGCCCCCCATTTTCCCGGATCCCCGGTGTTGGGTAACATGATCAATCTATTTTAGCGCCAATGATCTTCGATTATAGCAGATTATTTGTTATTATCATGGGTGCTAAGCGCGGAGTTTGAGGAGAAAAATAATAGAACGTGTTTTAACAGCCTATAAGCTAACTACGTACGTACTATCAAGGAAAAAGAAACGAACGAGGCGCAACTACCCTTATCCGAATTAGGTTGGTACTTGTGATCAACTATGAAGTGATGGCAGCTTTAAAGGGAGGAGCAGAACAGGGCATCGGCATTTATTACTGTCATATTAAGTAAGTTATATCTAGGCAAAATTACGCAGTAGAGTAGACCAAAATAGGAAGGTGTTATACAAAAGATCAAAGGCCAAGAAAAACATTCCAGGTAGTAGTCTATACAGATGAACCCAAACTCCACGCTTTCCCCTTCTTTTTCCCTCCCTGCCATCCTTTTTCTTTTGTGGTCCTTCATTCGAAACTTCTTTTTTTGCTGATTATGTACGTAGTAAGAACAAAAATCAAGAGGTATATCTATGTTCATCCCAATTGTCCCTAGTCCCATTCCAACCAACGTAACCCATCGGATCGCGCCGCATGATACCTAAACCCAAAAAAGTAGTATAAGTACAGCCAATAATCGTCCAAGCCAATATGTATATAAATAGAAAAAAGAACCCGATAAATGGGGTCGCATATTTGTACAGAACCGAAAAAGAAGAGTGAGGCGCCAAGGACTTCGTTCGGCCCATCTTTTGGCCTTTTAGGGCTTTGGATCGCTCGTGACAGGGTCAAGATCGACCCGGATCGCCACCCATCGTCGATGGAACACCGGAATCGTTGTTCCGTTATGAGTCTATCAAATCGAGGCATTGTCCGAGAACTGCAAGATGATGATGGCATCAGATTAGTCTCCACCCAAAAAAAAAGAAAAGAAAGATAAAAGTTGCCTGCGCCTTACTATCAAGTATCTCCTCCTCCCATATCCCCATCTGGTAATCCACAAGTCCATGTGGTTCGACCAAATCACAAAGTCGAATCAATTCTTGCCCCATTTTCTCTATTGAGTCGGCACTCAACATTGTCGCAGGTAGTAGTGATTGTAATGATTGTCGACGGCGATGGCCGCCATTGCGTAATAACGCTTCTGTTAGATCCTTTTGCTTCTGGCATAGCGATAGCCAGCAGATGTTGAATTCGTGCCACAATTGTCTATGTTTCGTGAGTGTGCTGGGATCATCTCGGAATAGACCTGTAATACAACCATATTGTCTTAGCGTGTGCAGTCCTTAGGGGCAAAAAAAGGATAAGATCTTACCCAAGTCCCGCGCATTATCAATAAGCCATGCGGATAGATCAAGCAGCAATCGACTAGCCTCGTTCAGGTGGCCTCTTTGTGTATACCCAAATACTGTAATTAACGCTTGTCGGTACTGGTTATAGGCATCTTCCAAATTCGTCATATTCTGCACAGCCTGCTGCTGCATACTTCCCATGCTCCCCGTAGGATTGAAACTAGACATCGTACTTGTATCTGTTCGTCGATTCAGGGGACTTCGTTGTTGTTGATGCTGATATTCTGCCGCAAGTTGCTCTTGTGTAGATAAATACTGAGAAACATTCTCGGCAACGTCCGCCGATGGGAAATATTGTTGTGGAACCCCAAATCGAACACCACCACTGGGCAGACCGCCAAGATTCTCTGCTAAGGATATGCCGTAAGTCATCTGTGCTGTTCCGGACTGATCGAATCCGTAGAGAAACCCCGTGTCATACTGTTGCTGCTGATAGCCAATTTGTTGTGATTGTACATGTCTCACAGACTCTGGAGAGAGGGCGCGCTGCTGAAATTGAAGTGCTACGTTCTGCTGCAATGGGTCGGCTGTTGTTGATGAGGGAGGAATGCCGTGATGTGACGCTGCGGTGCCAGAAGAACGGTGAATTCTCCGTCTGGACGATGCGCCTCCACGATTAGGTGCTTGTGCTTGTGTTTGCGGTGGTTGCTGCGCTCGGTTCCGGCGTACAGATTGAGTGGCTGACCGTCGAAAACTCTCCGGCGAGCGTGCAGGAGACATTTGCTGCTGTACTACTCGGCGTGGATGGCCAGGCACGGACGGATATTGGTAGTAGCCATGTTGTTGATGTTCCCCTTCATCCATTCCACTTTGACAATCTTCCAGCAGCCCGCCTCGCAACGGAGGCGAGTACGGAGGTGTCAGATACAGGTCCAGTTTTTCGGTTTGTGGGTTTCTGCTATCAAATATGATAACTTCTTCCCTGAAGAGCTTCGCTCTGAACCCCGACAAAATTGCCGATCTTTTCAGGTCAAGGAATCGTTGGGTATATGCAAGGAAAACCCTATTTCTTTCGCTGACTATCTCAAGGTAATTTTAGAGGCCCGTGAAAACGTGACAATTCTTTCAAAGTGCCTCTAATGCGCTGGAGCGTATCACCGGTCGCACTGCGTTTACCAATCAATCAGTCAGTCAGTCATGGTTTTCAGGGATCATCCCAGTAACGGTAAAGGTAACCTAGGCTCCGCAAACGTTCCGTAGGTCAAGAAGTTCTGAGATTGGGCAAGACATTAGATTGGGTCAACCACTCACGCAATAGAAATTAGACGGTGATGCCTGTTAATGAAACTGATGCCAGAGAGTAGATATGTAGTTGAGTAGTGTCCACAGGTGTTGATGATATGGTGAGATCGAATATTTATAGGCAAGGTGCCCTTTTTGTTGCTTTTTCAAACTGCTTCTATTCCGATCTTAGCCTCGATCAAGCATTCATTCACACTATCAAGGACAGACGGGTTTCCAAGAGGTGGGCAGGGTACATAAGCCGGCGATACGAAGGAGTTGATCGGTGGTGATTGACAAGCAGGGTTCACAACGTCATGTGCCTCTTCTGGCCGCCAAATCAAATTGGGCCTCGAGCAAGAACAGAGTAAGACCGAGAGAGAAGATATCATTATTATTATGATTTAATTGTGGCAACTCTAGATCTCGATCTAGTCCACCGAAGTTTAGCTTGTATTAGCATTGGCGGGGCTTCGAAGGGGAAAAGAAAAGAAAATTTAGGCTTACCCGAAGGAATGGTAGAATGATACTAGTGCAAGGGGAAAGATATAATAGAATGGTATCTCAGAGAGTGTAGTGTACAGAAGTGTAACGAGACGGATACAGGAATTAATTGAAGGATTTGGCACGGATCCTCCTAGCCCTGACAGTACGTACTTGGGACTAGTATGGTGGTTATCTATTTTCGTTGCTTTTGTTTCTGCCCTGTCCCAAGAAGCTGAAAAGGTCATATCCGCGGAAGAATGAAGAAACAGTAGTCAAGTGGTCACAGCGCCTATGGTTTTGAGTGCCTCATGCTCGATAAATTCAAAAGATTGTTTTTATGGGTCCTGGATCTACACTAGTCCTCGAGAGGGGAGTACGAAGAAAAAGCAAAAACAGTTACCATTTTCGGATTTGGAAAGTATGCTAAGAATCTAAGAACCTGATCTCTCTGTATGCACTTGATATTCTTCTTAAAAGGGCAAATCCGCTCTTTTCCGAGGCAATGAGCATATTCAAGATAAAGCGCAAAGTAGGGCGAGTCAAGGCAAAACAAGGCGAGACCATTGAAGATCCAAAAAGAAAAAGAATGTAGGCTTAGGTTAGCAGCCTGTGAATGATGGAACCCTTAACCCATGAAGGGCTTGGATTGATCAAATCAAGTGTCAAGAGTAAAGTAGCTCTTACGTCCTTTTGTTGGTACCCGTAAACAAGTACGTACTCTGAACTTAGTCCAGGTGGTGACTTGACTGAACAAGGAATAATCCGTTCGAGTAAGAAATAACCATCCTTTTTACTGCTTACTATCTAGTATCGTAAAACGGGGCTGCGCGGGGGGCAAGCCTATATCAGCCTGTTTTAATTTTCTTCCTCCTAGTTAGGGCTTGCAGAGAGTACCGTAGTATTTCAGCCTAGTATTTTAGTATACGTAGTAGACACAAGACTCAAAGCTACTGAGGGTATTATTAATGACCACAATAATAGTAATACAACTCTAATTAATTCCAGGGTTGTCGGAGATCGCATGGCGTAATCTTTTGGTTGGGCCTCGATGGATCGGTCGAGTTGATACCTAATAATTGCGAATTGCGGACGGAACTCGAGAGAAGCCCTAGTTCTCCATTTAATTGTATTTGACCAATGCCTTAGAAATTATTCGTATAGACTTTCCACCGAAAGAGGAAGAAAAGGAACCGGAAAAGGACAAGCGTAGTCACCCCTTTAGTTGGACAACTTGCAGTAGTCCCGCCTCATCGGAAAACGTGCTATTGGCCCCCTAGATAGCCCTAAATTCTGAGTCCTTCGGGGACCTGCAGGCCTGCAAGCCGCCGCAACCCGCGACGCATTACTATTTGTGAATTTGCCGTTGAGCAGGTGGTTGATCATTTGAGATATCATTCTTGACTGCACATTTCACAATTCATAAAAGTGTGGTAACATGAACAATTCCCTCGCAGCTGGTTGTAACCACGCGACGCCCCTGTCACGGAACCATACTTCATATGATTATGGGATGTGATTGGAGCCTCGTCAATGATGATCTACGCTCTCAGGCTCAGTGATCGGATGTTTTTATAAGCATTGCTATTGCCAATCCCGCAATGAGGCTGCACCCACTTATTCCTATTCGGGAAACCAGAGACGGAGAGAAATTACGGCGACGGAGTTTCAGGTCCTTTGCTACGCATCTATTATTAGTAGGGAGCGATCATATGTACCAATGTAAGAGCATGTTACAACGTCGTATATAACCAACAGTCGCAACCCAAATGAACTTGAAACTTCTAGACGGCATTTGGAAGCTTTCTATTTACTCATTCAAGTGAGTTTATTGTTCTTTAATCTCCACAGTATGGCCCTACGAATCTGCTTTCTGGTGCTCCTTACGTCGCGAGCCAAGGTTTCATTATCTACTTCTGTCCTCTGAAATCTTGAGTGCGAATAGAGCCGTTGAATCACTGACGTACGTCATCCGAGCTAGGGTTACAGATAAGTGGGGAGTTCTATCATTGTTGTATTTTATTAACTTGAGCATCGTGCGTATCTACGTATTTTGAATGACTCGAGCGACAACATCCCCAAACTACCCAAAATCACAAGATATAATATTCTTTGTGAGGTCAGCATTAATTCTCCAGCTCAAGGTATTTAGGCAGCAAATCTGTCCGATAAGGTACCCACTGTAAGATCATTCAGGTCGTCGCAGTCGTAAGGTCCCAGTCCAACCACCCGGAAAATATCTCATCTGAAGATGCCCAACAGTCTAGAACTCCCCTTGCCGGCTATGTCGGAACACAAAAGACAAATCTGATCAGCACATTTCCTCCCCTGCAGTCTCGCTCGGCGAAACCTCGTGTTTTGAGACTTTGAGTGCGAAAAATATACACTAGATCTCCTAGATGAAACGACAAGCGGCTTTTGGCTGCGACATATTGCGTAGATGAAATTGTTTTAGATCAGGTCTGCCGCATTATCCACAATGGAGACTGTGGGGCCGCTGCAAAGCATAATACGTATTCCGTAGGGTGATCTCAATTGAGCGATTGATTAATGCAGTCTCGGGATATTCCGTATTCGATCTCTTCCTGTACGGGGTTAAATAGTATGTTGAAGCCTGATTCCATTAGGCACACATGAGCGATGTAGAATCGTATCACAATCGACATCTCTTCCTTTGTCTAAGGCCGAGGCCCGAGGAAAAGAGAAGTAACCATTCTCAACCACATGGATGTCATAGCTTACGATAACAATACAAATCAAACAAGCAGCTTACGATCAAAGACATTCATGACATACGTAACCTCCAAGACCTCAGAGTGAGGCTAAATAGAGTTCCGGAGTAACTGCTCAATCGAGCAACAACTCATGGAATTCTTTCATCCGCTTTGAGAACGGACTAAATGCGGAAGAACTGCATGGCCGTACTACTGCCGATCGCTGCATACACTCTTAGTCTCTTTCACATTGCTGTACGGAGTATGTCTTCGTATTATTATATTATTGATACAAAATGATACAGAATTACAAATGATACAACCAGCCCTGTGGGGCTAATCGCGGATATTTACTTCCATTTTGACCAATCACACGCGCATAATTACCGGGCGCSGGGAATGCCGACGCAAGCCGTATTTCCTTATACAGTCTAGCGCCGGATTCTTTTCGGTGTTCACCAATCATATAGCTCAAGCGGATCCATCCAGCCGGCCGCCACGTGCTGTACCTGCGCCGTTGAATGTCAACCTTCTTTGTTACCGTTCTATCCTAACTTGTTCAGGGATGCTTGAAACAGTTATGCCATATGGGAGAATCGGACTAGACCGAGATTTAGAGTTTGTCATGCAAGAGTCCTTTCTCTTGAGATTAACGATCCTTCCGTACGACCGTATTGTGACTATAGTCTGGGCAGGGCTCCTGAAACGGCGCAGCTTAGAAGAACCCCAAAAATGAGATCGCTTTATAGCCGTAGACTATGTAGGAATGTAGTTCATCGAGTTTTGATGTAATAGAACTCGTAGACTTAGCACGTACGAAGTGAACTTTGCTCATTCCCAATCGATCAAGGACCATACGATGTAGGTTCTGCCTCCATCAGTGTATATGCGCGTTCTGACTTTCAGTCTAACTGCGGCGCGCACCCGCGTCTAACTGCATGTTGTAAGTTCAGCGGCATTTGATCGGTTCTACTTCGGATGCAGATCAGTAACCACCCCAGAACGGCCATGTTCTCCGATCGTTGAATTTGTGTATGTTCCAGCACAAGACCTGTTCCCTGCCGCAATTATAGCTAGTACGTAGTCGTACTTACCATTCACGAATTACTTATCAAGAGGCTAGAACACTTCGTATGACCTAGATTCCACTAAGCTGCCGCCGTTGGTGCTAATATCAGAACAAAAAAGAAAGTTTGTTCAATCGAGTGACTTTTCGGTTGGCTTGCAGGAGCATGCGATTCTGTTTTCTTCGGCTGTTTCTCGGAGACTGACTCGGTCAGTCTGGTGAGGGCGCCAGAGTGGTGAGGTAACTACTCAAACCTTATACTTATGTGCAATACAGCAATAGCCGTTGGACGGTGATGTCTGTTTTGGGTAGTGAACTTTCCTCGGCCTGATGACTCTATAGTACCAAGTATTTGAGTAATGTGCTCAAATAGATATTACTTGCATAATTGTATGCAAGAAAAGTCTTGTGGCTTCAAGCCACGAGCTGATGCAATCAAACCCTGGTCATATCTTTCATGTTGTTGACCTTTCATTGTCAATTGTTGAATTGATTAGTCAAAAATCACCATCAATTGATGGTACAAGATACCACCCTAAGGCTCTGCTGAGAATAGCAATAACACCGGCCACATTAAAAAGCTAACTTCTAGCTGATACTCCGATAAGGTTAGGGTTATCGCCCTAATAAGGGGGCTATGTAGGGGTTTCAAGTAACCCTAATCTGGCGTCATCAGCATTCTTTATGCCGGAACTTCGAGGAAGGCACTGTGTAGACTTCAAAATTATAATGCATACAAAGGTAGATAGAGTGCTCTGTAGTATGGCGTCGATGAACGGATTACCGAGTGCGGGTATCCAATCCGCATACCCGCTACAAATAGGCTATCCGCCACCTCAAGATATTATCGACATATACATTATAAATATGGAACAGAACACCTCCTGCATCAATTGCCACTCATCCCTAAAGCCAGATTTACTTCCAAGCAAACAAAATGAGAGCCGTTCAAGTCCTAGGAGACACCTCATCCCCTGAGATCGTAACCACCGACTCCATACCGGAGCCTAAACCTCAAGGATCCGAGATCCTCATCCGAGTCCACGCCGCCGGAATTACAGGCGACGAGGTGTTCTGGCCTGAACTCTACAACTGCCCTACACGCATCCCAGGACACGAGATATCCGGCGTAATTTCTGCCTTTGGGCCGGAGTACGATGGGCCGCTGATCATAAATCAAGATGTGTTTGCCTTCAAGTCAGCGGGTAAAGGGGGTCAAGGGCAGGCGGAATATGTCATTGGTAATGCCAATGAAGTCGCGCATAAGCCAGTGTCGATATCGCATGCGCAAGCTGCGGCGCTGCCGATTCCGGTTCTAACAGCTTGGGAGGCGATATTTGATCATGGAGGTGGTATCAAAGAGGCTGGTACGAGGATTCTTGTCACGGGGGCATCAGGAGCGGTTGGTCGATTCGCTGTGCAGATTGCTTCTTCGCATGGTGCGTACGTTATTGCGCTTGCTTCGAGTCGGCATCATGATACACTGAAGAAGCTTGGTGCTCATGAGGCGATTGATTATAATACGCCACGCTGGGAAAGTAGGGTCAAGGATGTGACTTTGGTTGTTGATACAGCCGGGGGTGATATATTGACTAAGGCATGGGAGACCATCAGTGAGAATGGTGGTACGATTGTCACCGTGGCCGACCCGCCACCACCATGGGCGTTTGAAAGATGTCAGGCTGCCGAGTCTGCGAAGTGGCCTAACGTCAAATACGTATATTTCATCATCTCGAGTAATGCAGAGAGACTGAGCAAGGCGGCTGAAATGATTGATGCAGGTGCTATCACGCCACTAGATGTCAAGTCGTTTCCTTTTCGTGAAGCCGAGGGAGCGTGGAGTTATGCTCGCCAGAGAGGTCGGGGACACAAGGTTGTGATAGATTTTGTGGGATGAACTCATAACGTGGTCAGTGAATGGGATAGTTGAATAATTAATAAAGGTAGACTGTAGCTTGTGTTTGAAAATCCGTTCATATTAGCAATTCATCTAAAGTTATTACCGTGACCCTCACTCATCTCGTCATGTACATCACATCCCACGTCAAAGTCAAGAATAGGAAGATTGTAAAACCCACAGAGATCCTCGATAGACTCAAGAGGAGCGATATCAAAAGTAGCTTCGTACCGCTCTTCACCAGCTGAAAGGTCTGGTACTTCACTGATAACAGAAGTGCTAGCTGTACCAGTGCTGACAGCCACCTTCGAGTCTAGTCCCAAAACGTGTTGAGCGATCGTCTGAATCTCGCGCACATTCCTCGCTATCCTGGGCCACACCTCACCCAATACCTTCAAACATCCAATAATCATCCGAATCTGTTCTCTCGCAGTCGCCAACTCTTCAGCCCTGAATACAAAATTACATGCTGACAGCAGCGCCAATGTACCTTCGCTAACCATACACGTAGTGAAAGGCGTATGGGAAAATTTCCGCACTGGCAATGTCAAAAGCCGAACTTGAGCTTCCACAGAACGAAGGACTCGCACGGTGTGGATGTTCACTAGTTCCGGTGTGGTAGTATTGATAGGCGGGTCTCTGGCGCAGCTTGAGATGCTTTCCACAGAGTTGAATTTGAGGTCTGATAATGGTCTGTGTAGACTGACAGTTGCTCTAAAAGACATCAGAATACTATCCACTTGTAGAGTAATGAAGAAGACTTGCTCACACGTGGATAAGCAGATGCGCCTGGAACATCAGCTCATCTATTTCCCCGGTTTTATTCATAATCTGCTTCCGATCCTTCGGCAATAAAAGTAGCCATCCATCAAGAGCCGAGTCGGCAGTCTGCATTATGCGCAATGAGTCTTCCTTGACTGGGGCCTTTGGCCTCGTTGACATCGCCAGTACAGCGCATCGAACAGCGCCAATGAGGTATGCAAAAGATGAGAACGAGGTTGTCTCCTCGGCAGCGAACTCACGACAGTCAAATTCTTCCATCGTCCTTGGCACGGGGATCTCCCCAGATTCATATTCACGCTCTTCACAGGGCAAATCAACAGTTGCCTCGACGTTCACAGCCTTGAATGCCTTGGTCCCCAAAGTCCCTGCATAGAATACTTCTACGATGTACAGCATCCACCACGTGCGTCTCCAGCATTCCTCCAAGACAGGATCTCCGGCTCCATGTTCAGTCGCATATTCTCGACGAAACATTCCCAGCTCAATCGCAAGTCGTGTCGCAGCCTCAATCTGCGCCGCAGCTTCTGCCTTGTAATCGTACCAAAATAGAGCAATTGAATATAGAAGTTTGCTCTGAACCATGACTGGATCTGCTGATGATGCTTCGCTGAAGCATGCCTCGAGATGATTCTTTAGCTCCATGTCCCACTTGTGGGCGCTGTAGATATGTCCCACAAAGCGCATGGTGGCAATAAGTGGTGCTAGGGAAGATTCGTTTTTTGAATCATGATGTAGCTTCACCATGTATTTCCTAGGTAAAAGGAATGAATGGAAATTGTGGAAATTCTCGTAGTATGAATTCAGCAAGCTATCGTTTTCGATGTTGGTGAGATGACTCAACGGCGGCGAGATGAATGTCACATCAGCCGCATCGAGCAGAGAGCCGTAATCAATGGTAAAGCCCTCGTCTATGGTATTATGACCATGCTGAATGTTCACTGGGGTCTGATCACTTCTAACCGGCGGAGCCGCTACAGCAAGTCTCTTGCGCCGCTCAGCTAGGGCTTCTCGAGCAAGCCCGCCTCTGCGCGATCGAGTATAGTCGCACTGCTTGGCGGCTTCGATGCAGCGACTGCAACTAGGCTTAGTTCCGTCGCATTTGATGTGTCGTGAGCGACAGGAGAGACAAGCTAAGGAGGAGCGCGTTGCTTTTTTCTTGGTAGCGTTATTCATGATGCTTGTTTGTGTGGTGTAGTCAAATGGAAAATGTCGGGAATCCGCAGCGGGTAGTTTAGCCTCTGTCTAATACGAGTCCTGTACACACTCTTTACATTGGGTTAATAATCAATTGTGCGATTCCAATAAGAATCAATGGTGATACTATCTAGCCAATCTCTTAAGACGAACCAGGTCGCTTTATGAGAATAAAAGTGTCGTAGGAATCCTCAAATCCCCAAGGCCTCAGGTCCTGCGACAACTGATCTATAAGCTCAAATCCTAATTTTTGATACATAGCCAATGCATTTGCACCCATAGCCACGAGAAATATTTCCAGCCCTAATTTGTCTGCTTGCTCAATTCCCGATCGGACAAGCCGGCTTCCTATTCCCTGGTGCTGGTAGTCTGGGCTAACGGCCAGGTAGTCAAGCTCTGGGACTTGAGATTAGAGAAATGTTCCACATATCATCTATGGATGCATCAATTGATGAATTGTATGGATATCAACTCACTGATATGTGGATTTTTGGGCTTGTGTTTCCACAACATCGCATCCAACGGATCATCGAAACCGGGCATATCATCGCGATGCGACCAATCCGCCGACACAAAAAGAGCATCAAATTCCTTTCTTTGTTCTGCTGTAACATCCTCAATCTGAGCATCAAGCCAACCGTGGCTGTGCGAAGGAGGCAAAATCCATCGCGCAAATCCCACTACCCTACCATTCGCGGCGACGTCAACGACCTTTTCGTGTCTTCGCACGGCCCGGTCTTTGACGAGATTGCGCGGCATGCGTTTAATGGCGTCGGGGATGATTGATTCTAGAGTTCTGTCGACCCAGAGCATTCTCCACCATGTTTCTCCCCAGAAGGCGGGTATGTTATTTTGCGACAGGGATGCCGATTCGTGCACGCTGCGGACCGGTTCCAGAAGGTAAGGGGGCATGGCTGTATGAAATAGCACTTTCTTGGTTCATGCAGGGAGAAATTCTACGAAGGCATCCGAAGTAGAGTGATTAAGATTGAGGCGTTAGAATAGGACAGATTGTAGACAATACCAAGCTAACAGATAACAGAATTCCGCTTTACCAGATTGATGTTAGCACTGCACAATTAATATTATGTGATGATCACACCTTATAGACTACCTATTGTCTCCAAATAAGCCTAAGTATTTTGAAACCCCTGTCAGGGTAACTTTGAATGAGGATCATGTTCTATACAAATTACAATTGATTCACGCATCGCTAGGCTTCGAGATATTCTGAACAAATAGACCATTGTGAATGGTTGATAGTAAAAAAGAGGTCCCCCTCCCCGATAGTACTGAAAATAAATCCGGTAAAAGTATTCAGTCCACCCCTTTTGCTGATATCTAGTCTTGACGAACAGAAGAGAATGGGAAAACGGGAGGGGTAAAGAAGAAACAAAGGACCTAAAGTAGAAAGAAAGTGAATTCAATGTCCGACATAGAGTATTGACTAAACGGCAGAGGGCACGGCTGTCTGTGTTACGAAGCCTGATGAGGGCGTCGGCACGTAGGATGACTCGCAGGGCGGCGGGGTTGGCACGCAGCCCGTGGTCACGGTCACGGTCGATTTGATAGTGACGGTTGTTGTTGTTAGCACGACGGGTGCTGTAGAGGTCGCCGCAGCCGTGGTAGTTGCAGCCTGAGCAGCACCATATGCCTCCGTGGTTGTCTCCGCGACATTATTGTTGGTATCGACTGTTGGGACGGCAGCAGCAGTGGTCGTGGTTGGGGCGACGTAGATAGAGGTGGATGTTGAGCTCGAAGTAGTCGTGGGAGCGACATAGATGGAGGTCGAGGTGGATGTTGTAGATGTGGTGCTCGAAGAGGAGGAGGATGAGGAGGAAGAGGAAGACGAAGATGAAGCAGCAGATGCGTAAGCACTACCAACAGAGTTTACCGCGCCGTCTGTGAGCAGGTAGCCATTGGCGACGTAGAAGTAGGAGTAGCGGGTAAGCGCAGACTGCTCATCAAGCCATGCACCGGCTTCCTGGACAAAGGAGGCAGCAGTAGCCAAATCAGTGATACCACCTTCATCCGCGCTCAAGGCCCATTCGGTAAGCCAGACTTCGGAGATACCGTGGTTGGAGGCGGTGCTGATCGCTTCGGTGATGAAAGACTGGAGCTCAGAGACAGAGTCGCCATACCAGTGGACGGCGAGAACGGATACGCCACAGTCAGTGCACTCGCTGATAAAAGACTCGAACCAAGCGAGACCTGCGGTAGTGCTCGAAGAGGAAGTGACAGCAGGGCTGACTAGCTTCGCTTTACCAGAGTAAGGGGTGAGATATTGCTTGTAGTATGTGGCGGCATCGGAGGCAGCGAGGTTGGCCTGAGAAGCCAAATCAGGCTCGTTGAAACCCATGATGTAGCTGCTGCCATCTGCAAGGGCTGCCTCGACATTTGAGGTCCATCCGTCGACGAAAAGGCTACTGGTGCCCCAGAGCATGGGCACGTACTCGACGCCAGAAGGCAAGTCGCCATCGCTGGAACTGCCCCAGTTGTAGGCCCATGAGATACCGCTAGAATCGCCGCACAAGGTCGTGACGAGAGAAGCATCGTTGTAAGCAGCACCGGCCTTGCTGCTGGACCTTTTCTGCACGGATGTAGAGCGTACTTGCTTGGTGGGAACAGCGCCTGCGGAGGCGATCAAAAGACCGGCAGCCGCCAATTTGAGAAAAGAGGCCATTTTGCTTGGAAAGACAGAAAAGGGTGGGTGTTTTTGTTGCAGTTGTTGTAAAAGAGAGTCAGGTGTCTATACAGTTGAAAAGAATGACTTTGTTGAAGAGTAAATGAATGAACTCTTTCGCAAAAGAACGAACAGCTTCAGTGCACAGCACTAAATTTGAGGGAGAGAATGTAGTTATATCGACGTCAAGTCGCTGGAAGAAAAACTCGAAGCTGAAACGAAGGAGAGATGGCTGTGAGTGCAGAGACATCGTGTTTCGAGTCCCTGAAGACCGAATATTAGAATATTGATTGCGTGGTCAGCGCTATTGCACATTGGGTTAGAGGAAGTACGAAACACTCGATAGATCTCTTTCATTTTCTTCCAATCGAAAAACATTCTACTTATCTAGACCAGTCGAAAAGGTACAAAGACGGGGCCGATTGGCGGGKCAGCATTAGCTTCAAACACCGGAAGGGGCCTTTAGGGCATCATCGGCACACCGAACGCTGTCTAGACATCCTGAACCGTATACAAGCTTTTTGGCATGGTTGTTAGGACTCAGTATGGTTCTTGTACGGGTTCAAGTTGCAAATGTCGATCGGTCTGTCATTCCGTGTTTCTATGTGAGAATCTCTATCATGAAAGAAAAATTATAAGCGCAGCTCACGATTGCAGGCAAGTAATTAAACAAAGGGTTACGCAGGCGTGCCGCGTCAGCCATTGGGAACTCCGGTCGCCACTAGCCCGAGCTTGAAGGGGCCCTTATTCGACAAAGCTAATAAAACGCTTCATAGTAAGCGCTTAAGACTTTTGTAGTAACACGGCACGAATCATCAACAGGCGCAGACTCTTGCATAGGAAATATGATACGTTTAGGCGGTGGGACAATATTAGCCCTAAGTTCCCCGAACCAGATATTTATGATGATTAAGAAAATATGATCAGTATAAGAGATACCGTGGATCCGGTCACTGTACAGAAATGAATTCGCCCATGACATGTCAGGAATCAGAGTACAACGTATTCGTTGTGCAAATACGTTGTGCAATCGACCGATGCGCTGGCTACGCTCCCCTGCCTCGGCTATCCAATGAACATACCGGTTCATAGCAAAGTGCGTGCTCTCGTCGGAGAGACCAATACTGTCAACTGGTGCCAAGTTGCCAACAGTCTGTAAAACTCAAGCAATATGCTATGAAGTCATGCACGTAGTTTATTCATACACCCGAAAGCAGGCGGTCGGTCATAAGTCATTTCACATGAGATACACCCTTCTGATAGGACTTTATAGCTGAGCATCGAAAAGAGAAACAGATCAACATAATGAAATCGGCATGCAACAGGGACAAATCTTGCAGCATCAGGAAAGTTAAATCTCATCTAGCACAACAGTCAGTAACACAGTATGATATAACCTAAGTTTCGGGAGTTGTGAACTTACTCAGCGTCATGTTCATACTAATATCCGTGTTCTCCACCATATGTTTAAACTCCTCAAAACTAATCTTTCCATCCCCGTCCTTGTCCGCCTCCATAATCGTCTTATCCACAATCTGCTGCAATTGCACATCTTTGAGATTGCTGCCCACCATCATCTTTAGCACAATGAACAGCTCGCCATTGGAGATGTAGCCGTCGCGGTCAATGTCGTAAACCTTGAAGGCGAAGTGCAGTTTCTCGTCCTTGTTGCCCTTGGAACTGAATGCGGAGAGTCCAGAGACGAATTCTTGGAAGTCGACGTCGCCGCCGCCGTCTTCGTCGAAGATTGCGATCATTCTATCAATAAAACAGCACGCGTCAGTTGATTATGGGGTACACTGGATAAAGGGCCTTTTTGGGGACGTACCGTGGAGCAAGTGGGTTGGACGAGACTTGGGGAAGTGAAAGAAACTCTTCTCGTTCGATTGTGCCGGAGTTGTCCTGCATTTCGCATAAGTCTGTGTCTCCTACACTGTATCTTTTCCCGTCATGCCTCAACATACTTTATCTAATTTCATGAATCGCTTGCGCAAGCGATCGACTTCATCGCGGTCAACTATTTTGTGACAAGGCTGTTAGTTTGACTGACGACGACAACGACGATGTCCAAGCGCCTTGCATCGAGCGCAAGAATAGTGAAAGATCTCACAGTTGGATGCAGAAATAATGCTGTCGAGAACTTGGCTGCCGCCAATAGAGCCTTGTCGCCTTCTGGTATTATACAGAGCGGCGTTGTTGACCACGTGCGAGTCCATGGCTGAGGCTCTTATCGGGGGTGGAAAAGCGATACTCGTGGGAAGAGTCGAAAGAAGAAGAGACTATCGGCAAGAATTTTCGAATGTATCCAGGACTATGAGGTACAGAGTATCGTAGTTGGCGGTGATAGTTGATCAACAATAAACTAAGTTGAGGAACGCCGATATCATTACGGAGACGCCAAGACAAATCCAGCCTTAATGCCTTAGCCTAACCCCTTACAGCGGGCGGACCAAGACTATCAGGAATTTGATATCATGAGTCCCCGCACTAACCGTATCCGGATAGACAAGCGAGCCCCTGAGGCCGTGCACCCGCCCAAAACAGGCTGCAACGCAGTGAGATGGCAACGTCAACTCAACAGACCGGTGTGGCACCACGAGACTTCAATCATCATTATTTTGCCCTCGTTCATCTATTTTCATCACAAAATTACGACTACGTGATTTCTCATGACTCAGGCTATCGTTTGGTGCTAATTTTGTCCACCCTTTCGCATGGTTGCGCCTACCATCGCGTCCCGAAGTTCACATGACTAGGTACGGGGGTATGGGGAGGACGCGCCCGAAGAAACTCACTTCGAAGGCGTCCATCCCCATAGTCAGGGAGGATCAAATAGATGCCATCGACGAGGATGTCCAGTCCGCGCTCCAACAGGTCGAGACTGGCGTTGAAAAGGCCGAAGAATCGGTATGTATTTTCCTTTCTTTCTCGTCCCCGGACCGTGCATGTCACGTGATATATATGAGGCTATTCGCGAAAAATTTTCGCGTCGACCAATCGATCGCATTTGTGCCTTCAGACCAATTAGCTAAACGATTATCCAAAATGTATAGGAATTCCATCTTCAAGCTGCCATCAATGCCGTCGCCCTCGGGAAAATCAGCGAAGCCAATATCCCCACTCCCGAAACCGTTCTGAGTAATATCAGATATGACGAACTGTACCCTCCAACGTTCTCGCAGCCGGCAACGTACATCCGGTTCTCTTCCACTGTGGAGGATTGCTGCGGATGTATGTACAATCTGGATGAGGAGGATGATGTCTACCTCAAGATTATGAACGAGAAGAGAGACCCATCTACCCCTGCGTGCACAGAAGACCAGTTCGAGGAAGTGATGTATTTCTTTGAAGAGACCGCGCAAACGAAACAACCATTTGCGTCTGTAGACAGCCCTCCTGTGCTTTCATACGCCGAAATTGAAGAGTGTTTTGATGCCGCTGTAGACGAACATATAAAGAGGTTTGCCAAGGACATATACGAACACTGGAAGAAAAGGAGGGTGAGCATTGGCAATCATCCGCTGCAAGTGGCTCTCAAGGTGGGTCCCTTCAATTGGTTGTTGTTGAACAAAGTCTAACGCGAAGCAGTTCGAAACGGGCCAAGATACCGATGATGGCGATCCATACGTATGTTTCCGTAGGCGCGAAGTGCGACAAATCCGCAAGACTCGTGGTAGAGATGCGCAGAGCGCCGAAAAGCTGCGCAGGCTTCGCAAAGAGTTGGAGGACGCGCGACAATTGGTTGCCTTCGTGCGACAGCGCGAACTTGCCAGGAAGGAGATGTACATCATCGAAAAACAAGTCTTCCAACAGCGTGCGGAAGTCAAGGACATGAAACGGAAACTCGGCATCAAGGACGATGATGAGGATCTCATCAACCAGAAGGTAAGACATCGACTTTTCGATCTTGGAAATTCATCACTGACGTTCAAAGCCCAAGAAGAAACCCGTCGATGTACCAGCTTTACAGCGTCCTGTACCACCACCGCAGCTTCGCATATCTCAGCGGCCTGGTGCTCAGGCAGCTGAGGACTTGCAATTGCTGGAGGAAGTGCAGGCCGAAAAGGAGAACGAAATTATTCGCGACATCAAACAGAACTTGCAAAAGCATCTGAAATGGAACGAAGGATACGTCGACCATACGACGGCTCCATTGACACCGTCTCCTAAGAGGACTTTTGAAGCTGCTTTCCGTCCCGCCATCACAACCCAATTGCCCACTCCCCCATCTTCAGATGCATCGGATGCAAATGATACCATTGCGCTGGACAATCTGCATCCATACTTCCGTGATCGTATCGCGACCTTTGATATCGATGATGACACCACAAAAATACCTTCCTTCAGGAGACGTGTAGGCCGAGGTGGCCGTGTGATGATAGATCGTCGCAACATGGTAGCAAGGCATAGAGCAGACATTGATCCTGTCATCCTCGATCGGTTCAAGTATGATGACGACGAGGACGAGGACGACGACATTGTCTTTGAGCGAGAAAAGTATGACATCCAAGTCATGCAACATCGTGCTATCATGGCGGCGAAAGCTCGTGAAGTCGCGCAGATGCAGGCGCAAGCCCAAGCCCACGCGCAGGCTCAAGCTCAAGCGGCAGCACAAGCAGCAGCGCAAGCCCAAAGCGCGCGACAAATGGCAGGGGAGCGCAACGCACCACCAGGCGCAACAATGGGCTCCAATCCTGGTCTAGGAGCAGTCACGAATGCCTCGACTTAATGACTGAACTGTATTATTCGACTGATTATTTTGCATAGCGGGAGTTTTTCATGCTTTCGGGGAGATGCCTCATGCTTTCATCGTTGTTGTATACCTGGAGTTTCTTTCTTTCTTTTGGCCGTCCTTTATCGCCCGCTCAACACTTGGAGTAATCGGCAATCTTGATAAACTGTACATATATACCAGGAACCGAGGCGGTGGTTCTTCATGTATGACTAGAAACACTATTAGCAAAAAAAATAATTGGACGCATTCTGCTTGCATCTAAAGTCTTTTCCATACCTGATGAGTCCCCCGAAAACCGACTTCAATGACGGTGCTTCGCCTTCTTCTGATTTTCCTGACCCGTACCCTCCGCCGCACGTTTACCGGACCCCTTTTCTTCAGCAGTCAAAAAGTCCTGCAGCATCATCAAAAGGGCTTGCAGAATCTCTTTCTCCCCTAGACGAACCTGAACAGCTAGGTAGCGACGACGTTCCCTAGTCCGCAGTATAGATGACGAGACAAATTGCTGAAGCAAGTTTTGATCTTCTTGTATCGTCGTGCTATACTGGGCTAGTTTGGTTTGCGCTGCTTCGAGCAACACACGAGCCTCACGTGCTCCCATGATGGGTTTAGGGGGTTTGCTTTTGGAGAGTAAACGTTGTAACTCTTCGGAATCGAGGGTTAGGGTTTTCAGGAGAGCGAGAAGCTCGTCTGGTAGTATGTCGAGCAGGGTATCCTCGGCGGATGGGCGTAAGACGCAATAGCCATCTTCAAGAATTTCCAGTTGATCGAGCAGTTTGAGCTGTGATGTTATGTTGGTGCAAAGCAATGGAATAGGAGTGATGAACACATACCTGGGGATATTCTTTCTCTTCAATGTTGTCAAACCCAGCAGCATGGCAGAGGCCGGCCAGGGGCAGTTCGACGACATCATATTTGGTGTAGTTGTCGGTCACGTAACCGTATCGACGAAGGAGATCTGAACGAGGCAATTCGCCGTAGTCATTGAAAATTTCGTCGCGGGCTTTGATGGGTTTGATCGCTCTCATGACAAGCGCCCCGTCTTCTTGGAACAAACGTGCCTGGTCATGTCAATTGAGGGATTCAAAGAATATTAGCCAGCAACATACATTATTCCTGTCAGCATCTGCATTAAGTAAATCTGCCAAAGGAACCATTCCTTTCGGCAATTGCTCCTCATCATCTGTCAAGTATCCGTCTTCCCCCTCACTCTCCTCTTCCTCTGCCTTTTCAATGTCGAAAGCATAAGCCATGATCAGTGAGCCCATACGATGTGCCAGTTCCAACAATGCCTGTGCACCTGTATCGTCATCGTAAGACATGACGCCGTTGACGGGTGGGAAGAGGTCTGGGTGTGCCCGAACGACAGGTAATACTTTGTCGAAAATATCTTCTTCCGCATCCCGCTTTCCGATCTTGTCGACTACAGCACTGGCTTGAAGTTGAGAGAGTTCCTCATCGGACCAGAACATCAAGGTGTCGAATTTTGATGGGAGCACTTGAAAGTATTGCTTCCACTTGGACTGCTCGCCTAGCGAATATTCGTAGATCATGACGACGACGAGTGACAGCCAGGGACCGAGATTTTTCAGTTCGTCAACGAGAATTTGATTCAGTCGAGATGCTTTGACCATCAACACGACGTGGTGTGGGAGGTGGAAAAGGTCTTCTCCTTCCTGGATATCGCTACGTGCAACTGAGAAGCGGTTAGTTAGAGAAATGCGGACAGACAAAAAGCTTGACTAAGGAAAAGGTAAACATGAATATCATGTAAAACGTACCAACGCCTCTGCCAGAGCCTTGATGACGGAGATCTCGGACTTGGATTTTGGGACTGATTGTCACATCAGGTTGCTGAGAAAGCCACTGCATGAACCCATCGCTCTGACGCTGAAAGTCGTCGGCGACAGGGAAATGGTCTGTACTCGACATGGTGTAAAAGAAGGTGGGGAGGCGGGGGAGAGTAACGATTTCACAGCAGGAGAAACAGACCTCCCAGCAGGACGACCAGCAACAGAAAAAGGCAGAGAATGCAGATAAAGTGGTGTAGAGAAAGGAGTGTAATTCTCGTGGTCCTGGTGTGTGTATATTCTGTGCTCGCTTCGGATAAATCCAACGGCCGACGGCGGCGGATCTGCCGCTGTCCCTTTCTGTTGTCCGTATCCGCGTGGCCAATCGATAAGCATCGAGCATATCCGCTTTGGTCATCGCCAGCAAATTTCATTCATTCCCGATTAGTCGATTTTTCTACTTCAAGTCTTCACCACTTTGTTACTTTGTACGTGCCAGAGTCTTACTTCACTAGTCTCAGTACTCTGCATTTTAAATTTATACGCAATGATCGCTATCGGCCTCGAAGGCTCTGCCAACAAAATAGGCGTGGGCATTATGCTCCATCCCAAAAATGGCGGCCCCGCTCAAGTGCTCGCAAATGTCAGGCATACTTACAACGCACCACCAGGAGAGGGGTTTTTACCAAAAGATACTGCGCAACACCATCGCGCATGGGTTGTGAAGCTGGTCAAGCAAGCTCTTATAGAAGCAAAGATATCTGTGGCCGATGTGGACTGTATCTGCTACACCAAGGGCCCTGGTATGGGAGCCCCGCTTCAGAGCACAGCTGTCGCAGCACGCATGTTGAGTCTTCTATGGGGGAAGGACTTGATTGGTGTGAATCATTGTGTTGGACGTACGTTGACTATGAACTGACGCTATATCTATACATGACTAAATTCTGTACAGATATTGAAATGGGACGACAAGTTACAGGGGCCACAAACCCAGTGGTCTTATATGTGTCCGGGGGCAATACACAGGTCATAGCATATAGCTCCAAACGATATCGTATATTTGGAGAGACCCTTGACATAGCTGTTGGAAATTGTTTGGACCGATTTGCGCGCACACTATATATACCAAACGACCCAGCACCTGGCTATAATATTGAGCAACTTGCCAAGAAGGGAAAACGATTGGTCGAAATGCCGTATACTGTCAAGGGCATGGACTGCTCCTTTTCGGGAATATTGGCAAGCATTGACGGTCTGGCAACATCGTTGGGCCTCAATGGACAAGCTGCTGCTGCCTTGGATGAGTACGATCAAGCAGACTCGAACGGCGATACAGATGCTAGCGACAAGATCACCCGCGCGGATTTATGCTTCTCATTACAAGAAACGATATATGCCATGCTGGTTGAAATTACCGAAAGAGCGATGGCACATGTTGGTGCTAAGGATGTTCTTATAGTCGGTGGTGTTGGAAGCAACGAAAGACTGCAGGAGATGATGTCTCTGATGGCACAGGACCGAGGCGGCTACTTGTACGCCACGGATGAGCGCTATTGCATTGACAACGGTATCATGATCGCTCAGGCCGGTTTGATGGCGCACAGCTGCGGCTTCAAAACGCCCATTGAGGAGTCTACCTGTACACAAAGATTCCGAACCGACGATGTTTACGTCGATTGGCGAGACTGAGATGTCGACATTCCTAAAAGTGCTACACATAGATGGTGTTTGGGCTCATTGAGCGAGATCTTCGCTTAGCGTTGTCATTTTGGCATCAACACTTCTATATACATAACATGCATCAGGTTGGACATAGAATCGGTTTTTTTCGGAGGACTCCGGTCATCTACTCCCAAGCCTCCTGGTTGTCGTCCTCTTCTATGATCGTCGACGATAATATCCCGGGCTCTTTCGATGGGATGAGATCATCTCGATCCATCCAGTCAGCATAGAATTCACTCAGCGTGAATCTATTGTTGCGTTTGCTGTCTGATTTCTGATAACGAGGCTTGCTCTCGCGGGCTTCAGATGCTGTTGAGTCCGAATACTCGTCTATTTCCGAACTCGCATCCGTCGAGTAAGATCTTTTGACCCGAGGCTGCTCGTCTTTTGTGTCGCTTGACAGGTTGAAAATTTGTCCAATAAATCGATATGTGATGCAAAGCAACAGACCAGCAACTCCACCAATCAACACTGCATATCCCAGGAAATAGTACAGAGGCTGTATTTGATTTTCCGCATTAGCCCACGATCAGACCATGATACTCACGAACCAATACCATAAGACTTACCTCGAACTTTGCCAAAAATCTAAAAGGAGCGCCAATTACATAGAACATCACTCGCGCAACGTACAGAAAGGGGGCCGAAAGTATCCCAAGAAGGGACAATAGAAGAGACAACAGGCTCCATAGCAGTAAAACGACAGGATATGCGATAAAGTAAAGAAGCGCTCCCGAGTACCGCAAGATGAGAAGCCAGACGTTTGAATCCATAATGGGCTCATCGGCCGATTCCATATTAAATATTCAATCGTGTAGACATAAAGAAATTGTTGTTTATCCAAAACGAACAGACGATGACGATGGCAGCTTCCCAAAGCAGTACTCACCGGCTAGGCCATAAACTTACTAGCGGCCTTTAGATCGGCAGCTTGGGCCCATCCCGTTATCCTCCCCTCTCTAACTGCACTGGGCAACCTCTTCACTTTACTTTTTTACGTCTACTTTCGCCAACATCCAAAGAAGTATTTCTAGTCGGTCAATTTTTACGTCTCATTCATCCATATTCGCCTTGCCTATTCACAGAGCCCAACGTCGAATGCTAGCGCCTTGTCTCTCTGCACCCGTCCCCCCCCCGCAAAAGCCGGCGACCTCCCCGCTCTAGATGGGCAACAGTCCCTCCAAGAGTCCGCCAGGAACCTCGCACCCTCCGCTAGCCGGTGCTCATAATGTCCCCGGCCAAGAGCGAAGGGTGAACAGGCGGACCTCCATCAATGCATTGTCAGGCACAAAAGCGAGTGCCGCAGATCCCTCGGCTACCAGAGAGAGCGCGACAGGCCAGCCGGTTTCTCATGGTGTAGCCGCAGTACAGCAACGTCTACAGTCGCGAAATGTTACTCCTCAGACGACACCGCCAATTCATGAACTACCGGACAGGACTGGTGGCAGGGGGTTTGATAATCGATATCCAACCCGAGAGGCGGTAGAGGCTTCCAACCCGGTTCAAGTTCCCACATCAACGAATCGTGCCGGAACCAGGAGAGATGAAGGCTACATACCCCACGAGTCGTCAGCCAATCCTGCAAATATCCCAAATACATACTATTCAGCATCGCACCTCCAGAGAGGTCCGCCTCGATTACCTCTACCCATTGGAGATGCCAATGCTACACCCGGTTCCCCGGTCATTGCGCCGGCGGATTCGCAAGTGGATTCAGTTCCATTTGAACTGGAGAATCAAGTACCTCAAGCAACGATATCGCTTGATGATCCGCATGTCGATGAAGATGAAGTCGAAGATGAGTTGCTGGCATATGCCATGCATGGCCCAGGTCAAAAAGCAGTACCGACTGTGATCGAATGGAAGGGTGCCGGAGACCGAGTATTCGTTACTGGTACATTCGTGAATTGGGAGAAAAAATTCAGATTACACAAAAGGTACTACATCAAATAAAGTGAGATATTGTGATATATGATCTGACAATCCTCAGTGATACCGAACCTAATATCAAGTCAACCACACTGCATCTTCGCCCTGGAACCCACCATCTCAAATTCATCGTCGATGGAGATATGCGAGCTTCGGATGACCTCCCCACTGCCGTCGACTTCACAAATCATCTAGTCAACTACATCGAAGTCGTAGCAGATGATTTGCAAGGCCAACGATCCCGCCGCGAAAGTGAACGAACGATGAGAGCCATGGTCCCCGCAGGCGTTCATCCACCCCAAGTCCTCCCCGAAACCGTCACAGCCCAACAAACCCAGGACTCCCTCGACAAGGACGAAGAACCCGAAGAAGAGCCCGAGGAGGAAATTCCCATGGGCAATTTCAGCGGCACCGTCCCTCAATTCTTAGTGGATATTGACCGCGAAGAGGAAGACGCAGACTATCAAAGAGCCGCAAATGTGATCGCTGATGCTACTACGCCACCAATTCTACCTCTGTTCTTGGGTCGATCAATTCTGAACGGCACAACGCCGATGAAGGATGATAACAGTGTCTTGAATTATCCGAACCACACGGTGCTGAATCATCTTGCGACAAGTAGTATCAAAAACGGCGTTTTGGCTACAAGTGTCACGACGAGATATAAACGAAAGGTACCCCTTCCCTCTCTTCGCCTCTTGAATTATTCATGTTCTAACTTGATTTGTAGTATGTCACTACTATATTGTACAAACCCACTGGTGATACTATGTAATATGTAGGCAGAACGGTGATGCTTTTTCATGTCATGTTTGTGCAGAAATACCTACGTTCGATAATTTTGGGGCCACTTGTTGATGTGATGTGCCTATGAAATGATTATGATCCGAATGACCCTTTCTGTTCATCTTTTCGGGTGGAGTGACATCGATATCGATGATGTATTTATTATGAGGGCAGCTTCGAACCGTTGATGAAATGATTAATGCCTTAGGTCTGGTATATCGTATGTATTAAGTACAACGTACATTATCGAGGGTATGTGTTTAACGGAGTATACGTATTATCTATGTTATTGACTATCGTACATATATGATCCACCTATCTATACACAACACTTGCTGCACACCAACGGGGTGAATATCTCATCTCCGGGCTACAACCTCCCTAAACATCTCCTTACACGGCACCCTACTCTCTAGCTTTGCACACAGCAAAAACGCACCACTCAGCTTTCTATGCAGACTGTATGTCTCCTCCGGCGGCGGCGCCAACCTCTCTTTCAACATCGTCGGAATTAAGGATCGCACTCGGTCTGTGATCGTCTGATCACGGAAATCGTAGATATCTGGCGCAGAGTCGCGGTATGGTTCTGCCAGGGTCATGATAGAGTCTATGTGTGCGTCGACCATGGCTTGGGATTCGTAACCCGTGAGATAGCCGAGTTTGAGGGAGAGGGTGCGGCAGGKTTCCCTATCATCGCGTGCGGCGGCGAGGAGGGTGTCAACGTACGTCTCTATAAAGTCTGCGGGGTATTCGCGCGAAGCGCCGAAATCGAGTAATTCAAGACGATTCGTTTCAGCGTTATAGAGGAAATTAGTCCAATTGGGGTCAGTCTGCATAAACCGGAACTCGACGATTTCACGAAGACACAAACGCAGAATCTCAGTGCCGATTCGGTCGCGTTGTTCCTGGGTGAAATCCTTGATTTTGGTTACGGCTATACCGTCCATGCGCTCCATAGTTAGGACTTGTTTACCGGATGCTTCGTGGATGATTTCGGGGACGACGAAGGAAGAAGAATCCTCTTTGAGGAGGTTGCGGAATCTTTCTGCGCATCGGGCCTCGCGTTCGTAGTCGCATTCCCAGGCGAGTTCAGTGCGGGCATTGGCAATTGTCTTATCGAGAAACAGACCCTTGGGTAAGAGGCGGGTTGCTGTAAGAAGAATGGAGAGGTTGTTGAGGTCAGAGTCGATCGAGTCTGCGACGCCGGGATATTGGATTTTGACGGCTACGCGTCGTCTGCCTTCCTTCAGGACTGCACCGTGCACTTGGCCTATTGAAGCCGCTGCCATGGGGATCTCTTCAAAGGACTCGAAGAGGTCTCGCCAGTTGGGGCCTAGGTTGTCAACGAGAACTTTATCTCTTTGTGAAGCTGGCATGTAATCAGCACGGTCTTGGACTCGTTGCAGGACTGCGGCAATAGGCTCCGGCAGCATCCGGGAATCTATTTGGTATCTCGTCAGTCAAAGAAGACTCCTTCTGGAAAAAGGCGGACAAACCTTGGAAGCTCATCATTTGACCCAATTTCAAAGCCGCACCTCTCATCTTGGACAGCTTTGCGACGAGGCGTTCCATATTCCCAGCACTAAACATGATCGATCCGTTGGCATCACCAGATCCGGTGGCTCTTCGAAAACTTTCACCAAAAGCGCCAAATGCCATTGATGTAGCGAGGCCACCGTATTGCCAAATTCTGCCGAGGCGTGTAGAGGGCACACGCGATTCTGACATTTGATAGGGAGTTTCTTTGATTATTGGTGCCTCTGCGACGATGTCCTGATGGTAGTTAGCTTCTGTCATAGATTCTGGTGAAGATCATGCTCATTGCGCACCTGAACATCTTTTGGTAGGGCCTCAATAGTAGAGATAACATCTTCTTTCTCGATTTTCTCGACTTTTGGCTCCGCTACTACATTATCGATGGCTTCCTTCTGAACTGGCTCCTGTTTCGCAACCTGATCTTCTCTGTTGGTGATATATGGATTTCTTTTCTTCTTTGATAACAGCAAACCTGCAACCCTCGGACTACGGAATACAGCCTGTAGAGCCTCTTCCGATGGTTCCTCCGATGCATTATTGGGAGTATAGAACACATCAGAGTTTATAGGGCCTGAAGCGACATGTGGGTCGCTTTCTTGCACAACGCTTCCTTCCTGCGGTATCTTGACCCGAGGTAGTGAAGAAAGGCCCACCTTCGGACTCAAAGATGGATTGTAAAATGTATCTTGAGCCTTGCTGGTGATGAGGTGATCTGAAGCTGATGACGTCTCAGGAGCCGCTTGTTTGGTGGGTATCTGGAACTCGGCTTGTCGTTGTAATTTTCTGGCTTCGTCTGATGATAATTTTGTCTCTGGTTTAATGGCCTTGACATCATGCGCTTGGCTTTGATTGACCTGTTCGGCAACCTTTTGAGATGTGTTGATGATTACATCCGAATTGGCGGGKCTTGTAGCTCTGTCATCCGGCCATGAAGCAGATGGCTTTCTCTCATCAAAGCGTTGAGCCAACGCAGAAGCCGCTTGAGCGGTGATCACTAGGTTTTCATACTGCTGCTTGAGACCCTTCGTCAAAGAGGATGTGCGTGTATAGACATCTAATTGTTGTTGCCGAATAGTAAGATGTTTGTATGCAACATTTTTGGCAACATTCAGGAGCTGGATAGCATCCAGCATCCGCTTCCCCGACATCGTGATCTACTCAATCGATACTATGATGATGCGAGCCACATGTTGGGGAGATTATCGTATATCGATCATCGAGTATCAATTGAGAATCAAGAAGATGGCCGGCCTGTGACGATGCATGGCAATGACTGCACATTTTCTGCCTCTTGTCTCCGCCTTCGCAGCTCCTCTTTTGTGATGGTTCAATCAAGCGCATTTTGATCAACAACTTCTTCGTCGACATTCAGTATCGTTCCTGATACCTAACACCAGCCTGCAACATGTCTCAGATTGACCGTCTAGAAATCGAAAATGAAATAAGAGAACTCGAGCTTCAACTGAAGAACGCGCGAAGTCGGCTACAAAAGCACGACAACATCGCTTATAGAGAATCTCCTGATTCAGGCTTAAACGATAGTATGTTCACAATGCTTTTTTAGAGTAATTGAAGACTCTATGAATTCCCCTGGTAACGATTCTACCAGACATAGATCAATTATCACCGTTTGTACATTCGCTATTATTGATATCCGACTCTGCCCTACCACTGGGCTCATTCGCTTACTCCAGCGGTTTAGAGTCATTTCTGGCGCATCAGAAAGCATCACCACAGTCCATTCCACCTATTCCACCTATCGTTTCTTTCAAAAAATTTCTCAGACTATCGATCTCATCCGTCTCAAGAGCTTCTTTACCTTATCTGCTGGCCGCTTACCGCTCTCCAACGGAGCTTGAGACGCTAGACAATGATCTTGATGCATCTACGCCCTGCACAGTAGCCAGAAGAGCAAGCGTCGCGCAGGGAAGAGCTCTTCTCGGCGTGTGGGAGAAATCCTTTCGACCTTCCTACATACTCAAAGGTAATTCCATCAACAACCTCAGCGATGAGGCTCAATCTGCCGTGACAGCAATCGAAAAATTTTCCGAAGCATTGAAAATCAGCGGATATGACAACGACTCTTTAGGCCCCAACGGGCATTTCGCGCCATTATGGGGCATTGTATGTGCTGCAATGGGGATTGAGGTTGGTATAACTGCTTATACATTCATGTTGAATCATGCAAAAGCAGTTCTGAGTGCGGCTGTGCGAGCATCGGTCATGGGTCCTTATCAAGCGCAGACGTTTCTTGCGAGTGATGAGATTCGGAACCTGATCAATGAGCGGATAAAGCTTGACTTTTATACGAGGCCTGCGGATGCTGGTCAAGTAGCGCCAGTGCTCGATTTGTGGCTAGGGAGGCATGAGTTGCTGTATAGCAGAATCTTCAACTCATGAAAATTTATCGTAGGGAGTTACAATTATACAGATACGAACACGGCTTGCTTTTGATGGTGGTGGAATTGAATTGATAACTGCACTACTGATACATTTCGCAACGGTACATGGGCGCTGAATCCAACCACTAATCGTCTCGCTATCCAAAAATCTTTCGTTTGCCGACAGTGATGAGGCAGCTCCTTCTATAACGAGGAGATATACGAAGTCGAAGCAACCATACTGCCGAACGCCAACCGCTTTCAAAACAGAATGAGAGCCCCACGCTAACTGTAACCGCAGAAGACGCCTTGAAAATGAAACACACCAAAAAAATGACGAGAAAAAGAAAATAGTATACAGTTAGGACGTGAAAAACGGGGAGACGTGATTAGAGTGTCACGTGCATATAGTCGTTGCTTCCGAAGGATTTGTTACAATTCGGGCATTTTCGTGACCGGGAGACTTGGCGCTCTTCCACACAATCCTTGCAAAAGACATGGCCGCATGTCTTAATTGCTGTGTTCTTGAAATTGCGTCGACAAACCGTGCAAAGTGCAAGAGTCTATACTGCCATTAGCTGAGATCATTTAATCCAGTGCACAGAAAACGTACCCTGAGCATCTCATATTCGGATGAGGAATTGCCAAGTGACTTGGTCTTCCAATTTTCCAGGCTCTTCTTTGTATCGGAAAGTGTTGATTTTAAACTCTCAACCTCCACCTCGGCTTTTCTGCAAGCGGCCGATGTGGAAGCCAGCGTGTTGTCCTTTGCGGTCATGAGGGATTTGAGTTCGGCGACCTGCGCCTTCAGACCATCTATAGTCACTACATTTTCGGTATTCTGTTGTTGTGAGGCACGATATTTGGTCGATACAGATGTGAGGGCTTCTTTCCCTTCTGCAATCTGCTTTTCGAGGTTTGCGACGAGCGAACGAGTGGCGGCCTCAGCATCTTTGAGTTGGGAGATGATGTCGGAGCTCTTCAAATTTTGCAGTCGTAAAGTGCGTACTTCAGCATCCCGTGCCTCTTTGCTCTTCATGGCTGCAAAGTACTTTTGATCGGCTTTGGATTTTTCTGCAGCTAACCGCTGGGCTTTTTCTTCAAGGGCATTGATATCGGCAACTTTCTGTGATGCTAGGCTTGAATACTTCTTGCAAACGGTCTGCATTGAAGCTAGCTCTTTATTGAGCATTGCATATTGTCGGTCGAGATTCTGATATTTCGTTCGCAATTCCTCCACCGAAAGCCCTTCAAGGTGCTCGGCTGTATCGTCCTTTAGACCATCGACTTGGATCCGCAATCTCTCTACTTCTGACTCTAGAGATTCGATCTGCGCCTCTCTGGCCGCGGCTAACTCTTGAGCCTTAGAGGCTGCCGTCGACTCTTGTTCCTGGGTGGCTTTTCTCATCTGCTGTTCGGCAAGTAATTCGTCCCGAGCATTTCTGATTCTTGCGAGATCAGACTCCGCCTTTTGCAATTGGGCATCCTTTTCTTCGACTTCCTTTTGCTTTTCGGCGTCCATACTGTTTCGATATGCGGTTCTTTCAGCCTGCAGCTTTCCAGCTTCTTCTCGCAATTGAACATTCAACGCTTCGAGATGGTTGACACGTTTAATCACATCCTCATATTGCGATTTGAGTTGTTTGAAAAGGTCCGTGTGCGCATAGTCGTCGTCGGTGAGTTTCGAATTCTACGATCCACGTGTCAGCGATTTTCGAGTATCCGCAAGCGGTTCGGGTGAGATGACCAACCTTGACGTTCAGAGCGGTAATATCACTTGTCAACTTTGCATTTTCAGCCTCCAGTGTGTCCAATTGCTCCCGCTGTTTTCGAGATATGGCCAAAGTTTTGTTGTATGCTTCTTCCAGGTCTGAGCTTTTCTCGGGAGTGGATGCAGCGCCGTTGACTGGTGTTGCAGTCTCTTCGCGGGTTGCAGATGACGGTCCATCTGCTCCGGGTCGTGACGCGCCAAGAATATATTGCTTTTCCAGTTTGGCGACTGTCATACTTCTTGCCCGATCAAGCTTCTTCTCGGCCATCATATACCGCAGAGAAGCAGCCTCTAACTGTTCCTCGAATTGTTGTCTTTCGGATATAGCCTTCTCCAGCTCGACTATGGTCACCCTCTCTTCAGCTAATTTCTTAGTCAATTGACTCTGTAATTCCGACACTTCCTGGGTTGCTTTTGGTGCGTTGGCTATCAACTTGGAGACGGTATCTTTGATGTCACTTGATCGACTTTTCAGGTGTTTCTGGAAGTTCTCATTATCATCGAACAGAAGGGAAGTTTGAAAAGCGGGATGATCTATCAGATATCAGTATCTTGTTCAAGCGGAAGATTTGGAAAAAGCACTCATACCTTGGCCGTTCGCATCGTTATCACCAAACAATATTTTGACTTCGTCGATTAACTGATAAGAGCTCATGTTAGTCTCAATTTCATCAAGAACACATAGTTTATCATCTTACTTGTTTGAACCAGGCATCGATTATCCGGAGGTGATCTTCGTGAAATGTGGCGGCTTTTGTCATCTCTTTGACCTTTGATTCCAATGTGACCTTTTCCCGCTTAAACTCCTGCATCTGGCGCCAAATGGCATCTTTCGTGAAGCGCTATAGGATAAACCCAGTCAGCAAATAAACTTGTAGTGAAAAGTATGGTGATTATTGCGGTATCCAGATGGTAACGCCTTACCTCCAAGTCATCTTTCCATGGCATATCGGCATCTGGGTGAGGTTTATTCCCGTTGATAGCAGTCGCCTGTCTCTTCGATGGCGGCGCAGCATCATTCTGATCATGAACGGCAGGTCTCTTCCGGTCTTCCATCTTGATAAGACCGGACTCAGACGATGAAACGGGGGTTGCTTCGACGGCAGGCATCAGTGGCTAATGGGATCTCCCGATGGAAACAGCCGCTAGTCAGCTATACGCGCGCAATCAAATGAGTGATTTTGGGGGGACAGCACGCGTAGAAACCGATACAGAAGCGTGATACGGACGGGAGGTGTAGCGAAAGAACGGTCATTGCAAGAACAGGAGGGAGGATTTTCGACTTCGGCTTCTGGGCTAGCGTCGTTAGCGCCTCTCACGTGACCTCAGCCCACTTCTCCGCAGATTTCTCATTGAGTCACCGAACGTCTTCTGATAGGAAGAGTATTTGGACATCGACTGGAGTCCGGAGGCAGCATAATCCGCGAGATCAGCATTACAATTTGATTCTATGTGATTCAAATATGTGACTGATAGTCCCGTCTTCACGCGATGGTGTCTTTTACAAGTTCTGCAGTTAGTAAGTCATAAACACCCCGCATCTGTATGCCTTATACCAATTTCCTCGCAGACAAATCGGGGAGGAAGTTTGCGCCCAAGGCACCTCCTCGTCGTGCTCCTCCAGCAGCTGCAAACTCTACGAGAGCCAGCGTTAGCGATGGCAGGCCTTCTGCTACACCGGTGCCTGAGACACAGAAAGCGCAAGCCCCACCAGTTGTTGCCTCCAGCCCAGATACGCCTCAACCAGTGCAAGTGACCGAAGAGCCGCGGATAGAAGATGCGATCGTTAGTAGCACGTCTGCGACTCCTATCTCTCGACCGGTCGCGTCAGTCACTCCGATCACAGAAACCACGCGGCCTACATCCCATGAAGGATCCGTCGTTCCCGAGGGGCCTGTACCTGTTTCAGCACCAACACAGTCGAGACGTGAAAGAGCGAGCAATGCACCTCAAACTCAAGTACCTGGAGTCGAAGCCATCACAGCATCAAACACAACTATACCTACAGTGGAGGCTTCCATACAAGCGCTTGCACAAGTGGCTGCGGCTGAGAGTAACCCTACACCAATCGCACAACCTACATCCCGTATCGCGGCTCCTCGCGAACGAATGAATCGGACTGAAAATATCTTTGATGTAAACACTGCAACTGCGACAAGCGGAGAATCTACACCCCAGAAAATAACTACTCCAAAGCCACGCGCATCTCAAAGTAAGAGACGTAAAAGTACAACATCGGAAAATACCCCAGGCACGGAAAGCGCGAACCCTCGCAAGCCCCGAGGTAAACGGAAGCGAGAGCCCACACCAGAAGAATCCGAGAATGTGGAAATTGCACCAACAGTCGTGAAGATGTCTGAGTTATGCAAAGACCTCAGAACCGGCAAAAAGTCGAGACGAGAAATAGAATTGCGAAACCTTGAACAACAAGAGACTGAACGAAAGGAGAAAGCTAGAGAAAAGGCTCGCAATGCTGGTACGCCTGTTAAGCCGGACGCAGAGAATGGGTCATCTGCACCTACCGTCAACACAACTCCAACCAAAACCAACCTTCCACGGATGAGAATCGTGAATGGTGAAATTGTCGTCGATAAAGACTCGCTAGAGATTGTTCAGCATGCCGATGCAGCGCGCGAACTCGGTGAGGGAGAAGACGTGGTTGAAAGTCGGCTCAACAGAAAGATCAACCAGGCTACATATGGCAAACGTACCAAAGCAGTGTCTTGGGATGAGGAGTTGACCGATTTATTCTATAGAGGTCTCAGAATGTTTGGCACCGATTTCGAGTCCATAAGCAAGATGTTTCCAGGGCGGAATCGACGTCAGATCAAATTGAAGTTCAACAACGAGGAGCGTAAGGACCCTGAGCGAATTAAACGGACACTCCTGGGGCCTTCTGAATTGTTCGATATTCAGACATACTCGGAATTGACCAATACAGTCTACGAAGATCCCGAAGTCATACAACGGGAACTCGACGAAGACAAAAAGAGAATTGAAGAACAGCACGAAAGAGAGAAACGAGCGCAGGATGAGCTTATGCACAATCCAAGCGGCCTCGTGAATGACAAGAATGTCGTTCCCAGCATTGAGACTACTTCCGTTAAGAAGAGACGCTCCATTTCAAAGAGTATCAGCGCATGACGGGTTTGAGTTTCAAGTTCGATTGTTGCTTTGGCAAATGAGACCAAAGCAACTACGACTATTATACCAATTAGATTATGTACTTTATGAGGCGTTTAACGGGGATTTTGCACGGGATTTTTGGCCAGGAACAATCGGAAGGCCTTGGCGTCTTGATGAAGAGGCGGTGTTTTGTCATTTATTCGTTTACTTGATTTTTTCTGCACACTTAGCCTTGCAAAGGCTCCGTGAACATGTTACTACATCAATAGTAATACATCGCTCATTGCCAATACTTCAAGAGGTCTCGTAAGTAAGTCGAATGGGGCCTTTCCTCGTTCACCTTCGTCTAGTAGATCCAAAACCAGTATTTGACCTAGCAGGAGAGAAAGATTGCGATGGCCCTGGAGCTGGACCAGGATCGTCTCGATAACCATAATCATTGCGCCTGGTATATGATGGTCCTGCTCCCGTGTCTCGGTCGTATTGTGAATTATGTCTCCTGCCCATCGCATAGCCGGCTGCTCCACCAGCGGCGCCTCCAGCTGCCGCTCCCGTCCAGAATCCCGGTCCTCCTGAGTTGGACTTCTTCTGTCGAGATTGAGGCTGATAGTCGTATGGGGGAGGAGGATCATCGTTGTCATCACCACCACCTCCTCCACCTCGGTTGTTTTCGCCTAGCCGTCTGCCCCGGTCTCCGCCACGATTATTGCCTCTCGATATGGCGAAAGCAATAAAAAATAGAACAGCAATGAAAATAAGCATGAAGATAAGACCCGAAATATTGCTCTCAGACTCATCCCCATCTTTCGACTTTTCCTTGTGCGGCGATTGACGCAAGCGTCCATACCGTTCCTCACCCTTCTCAGTCAACAGAAGACGATATTCTACCCCACAGCTGCCTTTGAGAATCCATTTATCATCTGCATTTCTATAGCCCTCGCAAATCACATCTGTGGAACCGAGTTTGAATTCCGATGGAAGGTCGGCTGTACAGCTCCATTGTATGTCTTCCTCGTCGTAGTCGTAGCCTTGGTTTGTGCAGCGCATGATATCTATTTTATAAAGTTTGCAAACATTTTGGGGACCAACGCATTTCAGTTGTGGAAGGGGTGACACGCGGCGGTGGGATGTTTCGCGGTCTGCGTGTAGGGTGAGGGTTTGGACGTTAGAAAGGCGTACTGCATTTTTACTTGGTGAGGTTTCTGATATAGCCGTTGAGAGTAGCGATAGTACAAAAAGTAGACGTGTCAAGTTTATTCCCTTCATATTGATAGCTTGTCCTTCACTCTGTCTCGTAATGACTATCCTGTTTACCAGACGCTAGGTGTGCTTCGCTCAACCCTGTTGACAGTATAGTTGTAAACGTGGCCTCACCCAGGTCTTGAATGGTATGAACTTTGCCGCAGCCACTTAGTGTCGATCTGATAATCAAGTGCTGCAAAATCTAGGGCGTCGATTGCGCGAATATCCAAGGTTCGTTTCTTCAAGCTTGTTGAGTGCTGTGACTTGGTAGTGATTGATTGGTAGAATTCCCAGAATTCCAAGAAAATATCAGTATGAAAAGGATGAGCTAGAAGCTCAGTAGAGTTTTTGACAGACCCTTCTTCGCAAGGGAAAAAAAGATTGAAGAAGACAAAGGACAATGTGTAGACAGTAGATCTGTTATCAACAATCACATGTGACGACATAATCGACAAGCTAAGCCGTAAATCGCCTAGCCTTGATTTTTGGCGATCTTCTTAGTTCGTTCTATGCTTCAACTCTCGACCACTTCAATTAATTATCCTCATTCAGTGAAGCCTTCGTCAGCCCAATTCTGACTGGGATGGTGGGCACTTCATGGATCTAGACGTATCAGTCTATCATGTCTCAACACTCCCAATGTATGTCGTTGTTCCTCTAACTAAGACACTATACTAATAACTCGATGTCTAGATGACGCTCCTGGTGTCCCTGCCCAGCCCTCGTAAGCTCCGAATCAGATCTAACAAATCAAATATGACGGAAGTTAATTGTATTAGACTATCTTTCACGCAAGGGTTCCTACTCGGACAGCTCTCCGTCGTCCTCCTAATCGGAGCGTTCATCAAATTCTTCATCTTCGGCGAAGCACCAGCACCTCCCTCGCGCGGGCTGGCCAGTCGCACTGCATCGCATCATCGATCCTACTCCATAAATCAAGGTGACAACAATGTCAGCAGCAACAACAACAACAACAACACAAATGCCGGCAGTCCACGGACCCTACGCGAGAAGCCTTCTACTTCAAACGTACTCCGGCCCGTCCCCTCATCCGCAACTAATACACGCTCGATATTGAGGAAAACATACTACAATGCTATTCCTACACAGCTGTCTCATACAAAACAAGGACGACATCGAGTACAACATTCTACACATCAACCGGAATCTTTGGACTGGTTCAATGTGCTGATTGCGCAGACTATTGCGCAGTACCGGCAGACGGCATATTTACTGAAGGATTCGCCGACGAGTTCGATTCTTGATTCTCTATCTGCTGCGATCAATGACCCGCAAAAGAAGCCGTCTTTTATCGACACGATCAAAGTCACTGATATATCACTCGGCGAGGAGTTTCCAATCTTCAGCAATTGCCGAGTCATTGCCGTGGATGATCCGAACTCAGATGGAGGCAGGTTACAAGCATTGATGGACGTTGATTTAAGCGATGACAACTTGTCGCTCGCCATTGAGACATCCTTGATCTTGAATTATCCAAAACCACGCTCTGCCGTGCTGCCTGTTGCGTTGTCGGTTTCTGTGGTTCGGTTCTCGGGGACGCTGTGCATCTCTCTGATTCCAGCTAGTACACCTCAAAGCCCCTCCTCCGCACCGACACCAGATGCCAGCCACTTGAACGTGCGAACGCTCTTTCAACACATCTCAGCCGAACTAAATGGATCAGCAGCCAACCCCACCGCCAACCCCGAGAAAAAAGGCGTCCCCAAAACAAACCTCGCATTCTCATTCCTTCCCGACTACAGATTAGATCTCTCGGTTCGATCACTCATCGGGTCGCGGAGCAGATTACAGGATGTCCCCAAAGTGGCGCAACTAGTCGAAGCCCGAATCCAATCCTGGTTCGAAGAACGGGTCGTCGAGCCTCGCGTGCAAGTTGTCGGATTGCCCGATTTCTGGCCCAGAAAGGGGCGAACTGGCGTCAGACCCGGTGACGATGTCGAGGCCGTGGCAGCGGCTTCTGTGTCGTCTCGCAGCGGCGGACCAGCCGAACCAACACCGTCTGTTCCAGAAGAGGCCATCATCGACGATAGTCCCGTCAGACCTGGATTGCGTTTCCGTGGGCCGGCGGGTCGGTATGATTCGGCTGGAAGTTTTGACGAGCTTCCGCGCGCGAGTCCAGGTTTGGGTGAAACACTTGATATCCCGGGTTCGATGCCGGGAGTTCGGCAGTGATGTATTATAGATTATTACCTTCAAAGGTTGGCAATGATAAAAAATGACGGCCTGTGATATATACCACCTACGTCTATGTATGTAGCAGAATAATATTCCCTCCTCAACAAGACAAGTGCAGATTAATGGATATGGAAGATTTTTTTCTTCAAAGCACGGGCATTAATAGAATAATTGAATGGGGTTAAAACGGTTCCCATGAACGAAGGATTTTACAGGATAAATAGACCAATCCTACCAAGCGCCATACCAAGGCTTCAACTCGCGACCAAGAGACGGCGCAGGCACACGCATTGGCACTGGTACCATAGATGAAAAAATCTGGACGATATCCCCTTCCGCTACTGAATTGCTCTCGTCCTTTTTTTCTTCCTCATCCGAGGTAGATGCAGATGGTGATTCAGTAATCGGCACCAACACGCCGCATTCCCAATTACGGCAATTCAGTTTCGGCTCTTTTCTGATGCGGTCCTGCACGACTTTGCCCCTATTTTTTGTCTTTAGCATAAACATCTCAGAAGAATGTGTTACAAACTTACCATGCACTTTCGGAAAGATTTGCGCTACCCACGTACGCCCATCCTCTACAACTGGAGCCATCGGATAGCTTGATCGATGTCTCAGGGCGGACAAACATCATCTTGAAGTATTCGTCAGTTGATGACCAGTTCTCCGAATTATGAAAGAAGAGGGTGTGCACCTTGTTATGCATCAACAACCCCTCTCGACGACTGATACAATCATGTAAAGCATTTCTAGGAAACTTTGGACCTATGAACCATTTCTCCTGGAAACAAATGGTCCCTGCGCTTCGTCTTGAGCCCTTTGATTGTGATACCGTTTGTTCAGATGGATAGTAGACTCGGAAACGGGATTTCCATTCTGAGCCTGTGGCTCGTTGGGCATCAACACCTAGACGATATGACACGCATTAGCAAATGCTTGGAAAGTCGACAAGAGGACTGATTACCTTGCGCTGAAAGATAGATTGATCGCATGAATTCATCAGTCAGSGAGCCGATGGACGAGGTCTGTCTGATTAGCATTCATCACTCCTTACATGTATTCACGCAGTGCATACCACAAAGTCGATGTTGATCAGGTCTTGTGTCTCCAGCCCCATGGATTTTACAGCTCTAGCAAGTCCACAATGGCCTGTGCGTGTCATGGCTTCGCCGAAATGGGAGCCTCCACTAGTACATGTCAGCGCATATAATCAATTAGAGTGAGACACATACACGGTATGAACAAAAGCATAGTGGCTTGTCTCCTTGAAATCAAAACTAGACAGCTTCGCTATAATATTCTCGTGCAGCGTGCTGGCCTTGAGGAAGTAAGCAAGTTCTTCGTGAAATGCTGTTCTGGGGGCATCAGCAGCATCTTGTGCGGACTTTTTTGGTAGGTCAATCAAAAAAACACTCTATCACAATCACATTAGCCGTGTTGATTTTCGAGCTTGGGGGAGCGGAAATCGTACATTTTCCATAACTCCGCCTTGCTCACCCCAATCGTACGGTACCATGTTTGCACTTGGGACGACAATTCTCAAATACTCTGGATGAAACAAAAGCATGAGCTTCGAATGCATGCAATTGACCTGTCCTTCCATAGGTGGGAAACATAAACGAATGTTGGGCATATTAGCTGTTTCCTCCTGATATTGTAGCCTCTGTCATGATATCAGCTGACGACCTCCCGTAATCAACGTAGAGCTGGCTGCTTACAGTAGATTCCTCCTTGGCCTGCATGACCATCATAAATCTCGTCTTGCTTGGTGTCCGAAATTTAGTGAACACCCATTCCATGTCCCACTGGAAAGCGCTTAAAATAGCAAGCTCCAGGTCAGCGGTCTGAAGGACTTCCTCAATCTTGATGTCGTCACCGTTTCTCGCGTAACCAAATGCCCAAGTCTTTTTGACGACTCCTTGGAGGAACTGTGGAGATGGAGATGAAGATGGCTGTGCTGTCTTGGGTTTGGACTCTTGGGTGGAGGCTCTTGATGCCGCAGATTTCTTTGAATTTGCCAATGCTTGTGCTGATGTGACTGGCAGACCTTCTGTCAATTTTAGCTCACTAATTTTTTCTGGTGAGGCATCGCGTCTGGCAACCTTGGCATCGCGTTTGAGCGGTGGTGGTGAGATGCTGCTCTCTGCTTTTCGCTTCGCGACACGCGCAAGTCGCTCTTCTTCTAATTTTTTTCGATCCAGTCCTGGAATGCCGAAGTTGACCACAGGAGGCACTGTCTCAGATGCAGAGCGTAGCTTAGGCGAGACATGAGCAGGTTTGTCGGAGTCAGTGGTAGTACCGTCTGTCTTGTCTGAGCCACGCCCGTTCAGAACACCGTCAGGAGGAGACTGTTGCATCTCCTGCATAGACAGAGCAATAGCTTGTCGAAGGTCATCGTCACTTTCCTCATCCTCAATATCGATGACGTTCGCTTCTGCCGTAGTATGGGATTTTGATTCATCACCTGAGTCGCCTGTCAGATCGACAAAATCATTTTGAGGTGTCGTTTGGCCTCGCATCGACGCTGCAAGGGCAGCTCTCAAGGCTGGATCGTAGTCGTCTTCGTGGTCCATAGTTGATAGACCTGCTGTCCTGATAAAGTAACGTGGTTGGTGGTGTTGTAAAAGTAAAGTTGAGGTTCGTCTGAAAGGAGCCTTTGTTGAAAGAAGGATGTAGCAGCGGCTAGTCACAAAGCTCATGATAGGATGGCATTGCTCCAAGGACTAAGCATCGTCGCAGAAAGAGAGCAAACAACCCGTTTAGTAAAGGCAAACAAGAAAAGCTAAAAAAAATTGTCCTCGGCCCGGCCTCATCTTAGTTCTAGACGTCAACATAGACAAGAAATATTTAGAACACGATTTTCAAAAGCTGCAGGACCACGGCCTTGTTGAGATGAAAGAACAGGCCCGAGCTTTGTGATATCAAAATCCTTGATACCCTCCAAGCTCAGATAATATAGAGAACAAGAAGATAAATGAAATCAATGAATAAAATGGATGAAGTTGATGTTAAACATCAACAAATGAATGACATGGAGGCCGCGCTAAACCTAAATTAGCCTAACCTGCCCGTCCTCTCCAAAGACTGAGGCCTGAACTGTCGACGTCCTGATATGTGATAATGCAACATTACTCGAATAGAAAACAATATAGTAAAATTTTTGATCACTACTTAAACGATAGTCACTTCACCAGTACTCAAGACTATTTCGTAGTCGATCTGTAGATACAGTTGTGTACAAATCACGTGTCTCTATTCTAAAAGCGGCTTAGCGTGACAGCTTAACGGCGAGAAAAGCTTCCGTAGATCCTTTGATGCCTCCACTACATCGACTTTCTTTGTTTGTACATACATTCGTTTCTTCGATAAAATAGGTACGTATATTTCAATTCCATGGCAACAAAGATACAAAGCTAATCACTCGTTTAGTGGCTGTTGATGTCCGGCTGAGTCTTGGACTGCGGGCTCATGTCGTTTCGGCTGCATTGCTTCTATTGTGTCTGAAACTGTATAATAGCGGACACAATGAGGCTCCTCGCACCAATCAGATCGACATTGTCACCGGCAACATGCGCTGTTCGTCATAGCGATGGCATGTTGTCGGTCCTTGTACGAAGACATCAATCGCTTTCCGTCAGCAGGAGCTATGTCTCAAATAGACAATCGAGGGCAGTGGATACAATAGGAGCTATCTGCTTGATAAGGTCGAAAGCAAGGTATGTTTACGTTACCAAAGTATAACCACAGATAATTAATGAGCAGCAGAGATAGCTGGAGATATAACCATATGAGAAATTCATTCATTCAATCCAGAGTGTTTACACTTAGCCAGGAGCGACGAAATGGCAACAAGAACTTGCCGCAGGACAAGTGAGAAATCCGTCAATAAATATGATATTGAACTTGCTGACTGCATCCAGACCTGAGCCAACAACAGAATCAAAAGAACAAAACCCAAAACCAAAGTCTAAATTACTATCTCGCCTACCGATGCCAGTGCATGAAAACATCTACACAGTCCCTAATATTCTGACATTCTCACGCCTACTCGCTGCACCTGCTGTTGGGTACCTCTTGGTCCATAATCACCACACAGCTGCATTGTCTCTATTCGCCTATGCGGGCATCACAGACCTGGTAGACGGGTACATTGCCCGACGATACAACCTGCAGACTGTCGTGGGCACCATCATTGATCCGGCCGCGGACAAGTTGCTGATGACGATCAGCGTTGTTTGTCTTGCGTTGAATGGGTGGATGCCCGGTATTTCCCCTCCTTTTCTCCCATTCTGTGTGTTTGGAGCATGCTAATAAAACTAGTATGGCTGGCTGTTCTTATACTCGGTCGTGACGTCGGACTCAGCATCTCGGCAATTTACTATCGATGGATATCCCTTCCACCGCCAAAGACCATGGCGCGATACTGGGATTTCTCGCTGCCTTCTGCTGAAGTCAAACCAACCGGGATCTCAAAAGTGAATACCGCCTTGCAATTACTCCTGGTCGGGTCGTCAATAGCACTTCCTGTGCTTCCTGCATCGTTCGCTGGGGCGTGGGGGTTGTATGATGGACTTGTTGGATTGCAGTAAGTTTTTTTCTCTGCAATGGAACGCACTCCCTGCCCGCTATATAAACCCTTCTTTGGCTCTTCCTAGCACATACGACCATAGGGTGTGGCCCGTCCGCTCAGCCGTACTTAAGCCACACGCCGGCTGGTTAGTAGTTGGGTGGGTGACCACCAGCGAATCCCAGCTGTTGTATGTATCTTTTCTTTTTTCTTTTTGGAATGTCTTTTTTTTTCTCCCCTCTAATTGGACTTTTTTATTGGGCTGTGCTAATGAATCAGATACCTCGTTGCAGCAACCACCATCTGGTCCGGCCTAAGCTACGTCTTTTCCAAAGATGCGGTCAAGATCTTGTCGGACAAAGAAATCCAACAACGCATCACACGTGCCAGCAAGAAGGAGGACAAACACTGATTCTGCGTGGCCAATGCATTACTTGCATACATTTCGATCTGTACTATAATTGCTTTTGTTGTATTCTCTTCGGCTGTTAAGCGAGGTCGTTAACATAAACGTGGAGGGAGAATTAATGGACGCATCATATGCGTGTGTGCATGCAGATGACTTGTTCTATCTATGTGGCAGTAGGACGCATAATTTATAGAAGTACATCTTCTCAACCTACAAGCCGCTCATACTGTATCTACTATCTAAACCCTGGATGATTGTGCAATCGACCAATCAGGCCCCCAGAAATCAACAGCTGATGCAAATTCCCCGTTTGGGAAGGTTAAGCGCCGCCGATCTTTCTTAGTTCTTGATATCTCCTCCGTCTGCAAGAACAACAAAATAGATTGCCAGTATGAGCAATAATGACTCATTCAGAATATGTCCGAGTAATTACAGGCAGCAACGGTATGAGAAGAAATAACCTCATATCCGGACGAAACCGTGCGAGGGTCCCAACGACTTAATATATACTACCATGCGAAGGAAGCAGCGTATTAGAAATCGACGCGATCACAAAGGGGATTGCTCGCAAAGTATTTATAATCCGAGCAGAATTTCCGCCCACACGGGCCGGTGGGAGAGCCTACTCTTTGATTAATTTCGTAAAATCCTGGTGAGTTGATGGACAATTTTGGTGAATAGGGTTGTTGTAGGATGAACTTCGAGCCGAGCGGTTGGAGATCTCGGAAACATTGCTAGAATTTGGAGCCGAGGTTTGGTAAGCGACGCTTACTAAGTGTGCGACTAGCGATACATAGATTACGCACACTGGCATGATTCATGAGATTTGTTTCTGCGGGCGCGTGCTGACTTAAATACTAATACGTCCGAACGGAGGAGATAGTGCATACCTAAAGTAGTTCGCACTAACTCCGTCTCAACCAGCCTCTTCCATCACTTCCGGCGTTAAGTGCCCTGCGGTTAGACTGTCAAAACCTAAAGGATGAAAAAGGCACGAGTCAGCTTTTAGTGTGGCCAGTGACATGGCTGGCTGCGAATAAATTTCCATTTGGTAGACGATCGTTCTAGATTTTTCATGGGTCTGTCGGCTTTATCGACGGTGTTAGGGGCTATGATTGGCGAAACTGCCTTACAGAAGCCATCTGCTCGCTCGGTTCATAGATTGTCCTAGTTGAAGACAGAAGCGCGAGTCAGTCTAACGGACGTATAAAAACTCTGCAGGCCCACAGCGGATAAGCCATACGGCAAGCTGCCTCGTCCGTAGTTACTAATCAATTCCTGACGTCGATACGATGCCATGACCTTTTCTTTCTTCTCTGTTGGTTCGCCAAATGAGAGCGACCTCTTTTCGCATTCCTGATAAGTCTCCGCTGGTGGACCAACCAACTACGCCCCGCCTGACAAATCCATCGCTCGGATTTTGTTAGTGCTATATCCGCGCCACTGAGGTAAAGGTGAACCTCTGAGACAGCTCTCCCACGCTTATCTCGTTGGTACAAATATAAGAATTTGAGTTGGTCTTCTTTTCTTCCTGTATACTTTCTTTCTTCGTCCCAAACAGAAACTCTCCACTCCCCTGCCTTGTGCAGTCCAGCAGACCAGGACGACTGGCTCGCTTCTCCTTCCTTTCAGGGCCACAACGATTGCCCGTATTATTTCCTACATTTCATTACAATTCCTGATCACCACTGTATCGTTATTGAATCCATAATCAAAATACAAAAAACATTCTCACGGCTGCCATCAGCTACTGAAAAAAAAATATCAATTGAATTGAGTCTGTATTGCAATCAAGATGGCGGCCATCCCAGGTATCGTCGAGGACCCCAACCGCAGTAACAATGACGACAGCCAGGAAAATATTCAACCAATTCACCATGCCCCCATCATCGGCAGCTCTGATTCCGCCGCTGAGTCAACCCTCGCCAGCCCCTCACAAGTCAGCATCGATGGCCGATGGGGAGAACAAACCGAGGGCGAACCGGTCTCCCGCCATGGCGCAATGGAAGATTTCGAAGAGATGCGTCGAGAATTGAGTCGGTTCAGTCTGCAGAGGACTCGTTCGCAGGTATCTCGTCGCTCCGTGCGGCCTGCTAGTAGATGGCGGTCAGCCACAAAAACCAAGACTCGAGATTCCGAAAAGGGAGACGAGGAGACCGAACAGGACGACTTCGATTTAGGCGAGTTTCTGATGGGCGGCATTCTGGAGCGAAGAACGACAGCCGGCGAACCCGCCAAAAAAGTAGGCGTGCTGTACAAAAACCTGACCGTCATGGGCGTGCAAGCCTCCGCATCGTTCGTCAAAACGCTCCCCGAAGCGCTGATTGGCACGTTTGGACCAGATCTGTATCATATCGTGCAGTATTTCTTCCCGAAAATACGATTCGGGAAGCCGCCTGCCACCAGAACCCTGATCAATGACTTCACCGGCGTCGTTCGTGATGGTGAGATGATGCTCGTTCTGGGACGACCCGGCGCTGGCTGCTCGACATTTTTGAAGACTATTGCCAACGACCGCGGTTCTTACGCCGCTGTATTGGGCGATGTCAGCTATGGCGGTATCTCGGCTGAAGAACAACACAAACACTTTCGTGGAGAAGTCAACTATAACCCCGAGGATGACCAACATTTTGCGACTTTGACTGTCTGGCAGACACTCAAGTTCTCACTCATGAACAAGACCAAAAAGGGCGAACGAGACAGTGTACCCATTATTTTGGATGCGTTGCTGAGAATGTTTGGCATCAGCCACACGAAGAACACTCAGGTCGGTAATGAGTATGTGCGAGGTGTTTCTGGTGGCGAACGGAAACGTGTCAGTATTGCAGAAACTCTCGCGTCGAAATCGACAGTGGCATGTTGGGACAATTCTACCCGAGGTCTAGATGCCAGTACTGCATTGGACTACGCCAAATCCCTGCGTATCATGACTGATATTAGCAGACGAACTACTTTTGTCACTTTGTACCAGGCTGGTGAAGGTATCTACGAGCTGATGGACAAGGTGCTCGTCATTGACGAGGGAAGAATGCTTTTCCAGGGCCCAGCAAACGAGGCAAAGCAGTACTTCATCGATCTGGGATTCTACTGTCCGCCGCAATCGACCACAGCTGACTTTTTGACTTCGCTTTGTGACGCCAACGCTCGTCAATTCCAGCCTGGTAAAGAAGCATCAACCCCGAAGACAGCCGAAGAGTTGGAGAAGATTTTCAAGCAAAGTGGTGCATACAAACGCATTCTCGACGACGTCGCTCTATACGAACGCCAACTAGCCGACACTCAACTGGAAGACACGCGCCGTTTCCAGCAAACCGTCGGCGCATCCAAAAGCAAAAACGTATCCAAGAAATCCTCCTACACCGTGTCCTTTCCCAAACAGGTAGCCGCCTGTGTTAAGCGCGAGGTTTGGCTATTATTAGGTGACAAGACATCCCTCTACACCAAGTTCTTCATTGCCATCGCCAACGCCTTGATTGTCAGCTCTTTATTTTACGGAGAGTCCCTCAACACTAGTGGCGCCTTTGCCAGAGGAGGTGTTTTGTTCTTTTCTGTTTTGTTTCTTGGCTGGCTGCAAATGACCGAATTGATGCCCGCTGTATCTGGTCGTACTATGATCCAGCGTCATCGGGATTACGCGTTCTATCGACCTTCGGCAGTCTCGATTGCGAGAGTTGTGGTTGATTTTCCGTTTCTGGCTACTTTGGTTTCCGTCTTCGGTATCATCACTTACTTTCTATCTGGATTGGACGTTGATGCGGGCAAGTTCTTCATCTACTTGCTCTTTGTATACACAACGACCATCTGTATCACTTCCATGTACCGGATGTTCGCCGCTCTATCACCCACAATCGACGATGCAGTTCGTTTCGGTGGAATCGCCTTGAATCTGCTGGTTATCTTTGTCGGTTACGCAATCCCCAAAAGTACCCTACTCAACGATTCAATCTGGTTCGGCTGGTTGTTTTACGTCAACCCCATCTCGTACGCTTACGAGGCTGTTCTGACAAATGAGTTTGCCAACCGAGAAATGGACTGTGATCCTTCTATGCTTGTGCCATCAGGCCCGGGAGCTGTGGCCGGTCACCAGAGTTGTGCTCTGACGGGGTCCTCAGTAGATCAAACTCGAGTTTCGGGGGCTGCTTATCTGGAGACCTCGTTTGGCTTTACTCGTCATCACCTGTGGCGCAATTTTGGCGTCGTTGTCGCCTTTACTGTGCTCTACATCCTTGTCACGGTTGTTGCGAATGAGATTATGACTTTCGGTGGTGGAGGAGGCGGTGCGCTTATTTTTAAGAAGTCGCGACGATCGAAGCAACTCGCTCAAGCCGAGAAGAAGAGTGACGAAGAAAACGGTGCAAACGGCGTCGCCGTACCGGCTAATTCCTCATCCGACGACAAGATCATGAACTCGTTGACTACCAGTGATCGCATATTCACCTGGTCCAATGTCGAGTATACCGTCCCCTACGGCAACGGCGAGAGGAAACTCTTGAACGGTGTAAGCGGATACGCCAAACCAGGCGTTATGATCGCCTTGATGGGCGCATCCGGTGCCGGCAAGACGACTTTGCTCAACACTCTCGCTCAACGACAGAAAATGGGCGTCGTCACAGGTGACATGTTGGTCGACGGCCGCCCTCTGGGTGCTGACTTCCAGCGTGGAACCGGTTTCTGTGAGCAAATGGACCTGCACGACGGTACAGCTACGATCCGCGAAGCTTTGGAGTTTTCCGCCATTCTGCGTCAAGACCGAGAGACCCCCCGATCCGAAAAGATTGACTATGTCAATCGCATCATCGACCTGCTCGAGCTCGAAGACATTCAAGACGCACTCATCAGCTCGCTAGGTGTCGAGCAAAAGAAGCGTGTCACAATCGGCGTTGAGCTAGCAGCCAAACCCAGTTTGTTGCTGTTCCTCGACGAGCCAACCAGTGGTCTCGACAGCCAGGCTGCGTTCTCCATTGTCCGATTTTTGAGGAAGCTGGCACACGCAGGTCAAGCCATCGTCTGCACAATCCATCAACCTTCATCCATGCTCATCCAACAGTTTGACATGATCCTTGCCCTCAATCCCGGTGGAAATACATTTTACTTCGGCTCTGTAGGCCAAGATGGGCGTGATGTAGTCGACTACTTTGCCGACCGCGGCGTCGTCTGTCCTCCATCCAAGAACGTGGCTGAATTTATTCTCGAAACAGCCGCAAAGCCCGTCGTTCGTAACGGGAAACGAATCGACTGGAACGAAGAATGGCGCAACTCCACTCAAAATCAAAAGATGTTGGACGAGATTGAACAGATCGTCAAAGAACGCAGTCAAATCCCCATTTCCGAGGATGCAGCGGGCAAACCAACCGAATTCGCGGCTCCCGTCACGACGCAAATCGAGATGCTAACGAAGCGTGTCTTCCTGCAATACTGGCGTGACCCTTCTTATTACTACGGAAAGATCTTCGTTAGCATTATCCTGGGTATTTTCAACGGTTTCACATTCTGGAAACTCGGCAACAACCTGTCGGGTCTGCAGGACCGCATGTTCTCAACTTTCCTGATCATTCTGATTCCGCCTATCGTGATGAACAGTATCGTCCCCAAGTTCTATATGAACCGCTCCCTATGGGAATCGCGTGAATACCCGAGTCGAATTTACGGCTGGGTCGCGTTCTGTACTGCGAACGTCGTTTGCGAGATTCCCATTGCCGTCCTTACCTCAGTGATCTACTTCGTGCTCTGGTATTTCCCTGTTGGGCTTCCGACGGACAGCAGTTCGGCGGGATACGTCTTCCTCATGACGATGCTCTTCTTCTTCTTCCAGGCGAGCTGGGGACAATGGATTTGCGCATTTGCGCCTTCGTTTACTGTCATATCAAATGTAAGCCCCCATTTTCCTCTCCTCCTTTCTTAAATTTCAGACAACTGATTATTGGATAGGTCCTCCCCTTCTTCTTCGTAATGTGCAACCTCTTCAACGGCGTAATCCGCTCCTACGCCTCCTACCCTGTATTCTGGAAATACTGGCTATACTACGTGAACCCTATCACTTGGTGGATCCGAGGCACTTTGTCCGCCGTCCTGCCCGCCGTGACAGTTGAATGCGCACCTCAGGAAGTAACCTACTTCACGCCTCCGGATGGGCAGAACTGCCAATCCTACGCGTCTAATTGGGTTAACAATATCGCCGGAACGGGATACTTACTGCCTGATTCTGGTTCGGGCGAGTGCGGGTATTGCATGTACAGCAATGGGCGCGAGTATATGCACACCCTTAACGTGCAGGATGACGACAAATGGCACTGTTTCGGCATTTTTCTCGCCTTTGTTGTGATCAATTGGGTTCTCGTTTATTTCTTCATTTATACGGTCCGCATAAGGGGCTGGTCGTTTGGGATGGGCTGGTTGTTTGGCGGGATTGGGGCTGTTGTTGGGGGGATCAAGAATGTGATTAGAAGGAAGTGAGGTGATGGAATCCTGAGGGGGTTTTTTGATTAATGCATGTTGCGTATGGGTTTAGCGGGCATATCATTTATCATATAGATTTTGGTTTCTTTTTGTGGTTTTGTTGTTGCATTTTCAGGCCTCTCGCTTTCATTTTCTTTTCTTGGTTGAACAAAAGTCTGAAGTATACTGGTACATATATAGTACATAAACAATATAATCTGTCAATACTCAATACCGGACCATCTAGTCATGTATACATGTAGGTCGGCGACGACGCGGGTTTCCATAGGAAGCAATCTGATGACGGTATTTTCTCAATGTTCCTACGACGTTTGGAGTTCGCAACGTTTCAATGTTCGTTCACACGACGATTGCAGCCTAACACATCCAGATCGCCTACATCTCAAAACGTGGCTGGAGAAGGAGGCTTAGGGTTAGGGGGTAAGGGTATTAGATACGCGTATATCCATGGAGATATGTATTCAAAAAGTGTCAGATTTGGAAGCAGATCATACTGGGAATACCGAAAAAAGGACAAGTGGTATTCGTAAACTATCTGTCAAATCAGCATAATTGACCTCATCTCCGTTGCTTATAGAGTCTGATGTCGAACTAAGCAACAGCAGTCTGCTTCAAGTACGACTGACGATGAGGGTTAACATCCACATCCGGTCCGCGGTTCAGAGGAGTCCATTTCGGCTCGTCCTGGAACAGACGCATAGCCTTGATATACTGCCAACCATTAGCCCCCTATACTTCCTCCGGGGCGAGGAAAACTTACATTCTTCGCATCAGTCGTAAACCGATGATAAATMCCCGCCGGCAAAATCAATAAATCATCCTTCTCCAACCGAATCCTAATCCACTCATCGCCCTCACTCCGCACATCAAAGAACCCATCTCCATCCAGGATATATCGAATCTCTTCATCTTCGTGCAAATGCTCCGAAAAGAAGGATTTCACTTTCTCTTCGTATATGCTACCCATTTTTTCGGGCGAGACGGTGATTTCGTCGCGGTTTTTGTAGCCGCGTTCAGAGGCTAGAGCGTCGACGGAGGAGAGTTGGGGGAAGTGATGGTAGATTACGCCGATGGATTGGAGCTGGGATTCGGTGACGGGGCGGCCGGAGTCGTGGTCTTCGCGCTGGTCGCCCTGTTGCTGTTGGTTAGTTATCGCGGTCTTCTGGATGGTTGGGTCGCTGTAGAGGGGTTGCGGGGTTGATTGCGTTTCTTTGGTGTAGATGCGATGCGACGATATACTCACAGGCGCATTGTCGTACCAGTAAGCCTTCATCTTGGATTCTGGATATGTGATCTTGACTATATTGCTTTGAAGCTCGACAGGATGTAGTGCCGGATATGGCTTTTATAAATTTCACCGTTCCAATAAACTCTCGGAAGAAACCCGTAGAACAGCTTTAATAATGAGGCCGTTCTAAATGGCACGAAGCAGCAGCGACGCTAATGACTGGCCAAACTAAAATGACGTGCGAGAGGAAAGTATTTCTTCGGCGCTAACCTGAACAGGAAATCAACACTGTAAATTTCTCGCAATGATGATTGGCTAGCGGATGGCTGAGTCAGATTTCTGATTGGCCTGTCCAGAACGGCTTAGCGTCTTCAGCGAGGAGTTCCATTTGAGTCATCTAAACCAATCAAAAATCCCGCTTTTAGTAATACGCCATCACGTGAGCCTTATCTCCTATCTATCGGGAACTTTTTAGAAAAAGTGTCTCCGTGTTGACTGACTGACTGACTGACTGACTGACAGTGACGCTGACTGCCAACGTCCAAAGCTCATGTCGACAATGGCATTACGAGCACGCTCCACGGCGCTGTCTCGTCTCAGCCACGGGAACGCCCTTAGAAGCATACTGCACAAACGGCGTTTGGCGACCTCTTCCGATGCTCGGTAAACATCACCTTCCAAACACTTATGCCGTCCGCCATGGCTAATCTTTATTCAGACCATACGACGTCGTCGTCGTCGGAGGCGGCCACGCCGGCGCAGAAGCATGCGCCGCCGCTGCCCGCTCCGGCGCCCGCACTGCTTTGGTGACTCCCTCCCTCTCCAACATCGGCGTCTGTTCCTGCAATCCCAGTTTCGGCGGAATCGGCAAGGGCACCATGATGCGCGAAATCGACGCTTTGGATGGCGTCGCCGGCCGCATCATCGATAAAGCGGGTGTTATGTTTAGAGTGCTGAATCGATCCAAAGGGCCAGCCGTTTGGGGACCCAGGGCACAGATCGATCGGGATTTATATAAGAGGTATATGCAGGAGGAGTTGGTCGCTACGGAGAATTTGAGTATTCTCGAGGCCAAGGTGGAAGATATTGTTGTGTCGAGGGATGATACAGACCAGAATGCGCATGCAGCAGGGAAGATTGTCGGGGTTAGATTGGATTCGGGGCAGGTGATACCTACGACTCGGGTGGTTATCACTACTGGCACATTCCTCGGAGGAGAAATTCACATTGGTCTTGACGCATACCCCTCAGGACGAATGGGTGAAGCAGCGACACATGGGTTGAGCACATCGTTACGACAAGCGGGTTTCCAGCTGGGTCGGTTGAAGACAGGGACACCACCGCGGTTGGACAAAAAGTCGATTGATTTTTCATCGCTTGAAGTTCAGCGCGGAGATTCACCGCCAAACCCGTTTTCGTTTATGAATAAGACCACGCAAGTTAGTGACGAGGGTCAATTGAGTTGCTGGATGACGCATACGAACGAAGTGACCCACGATATTATACGAGCCAATCTGGATAAATCGATTCATATTCGTGAAACTGTCAGAGGGCCTCGGTATTGTCCGTCGCTAGAGGCCAAGATTATCCGATTCAAACACAAGAAAGAACATCAAATCTGGCTTGAGCCTGAGGGATTTGCACCGAACGAAGTCATCTACCCCAACGGAATATCAATGACGGTGCCTGTGGAAGCACAGGAAGCCATGTTGCGCACAATTCGCGGCCTAGAGAACGTGCGCATGCTCCAGCCTGCCTATGGGGTAGAATACGACTATATTGACCCGCGAAATCTGAAACCGACACTCGAGACTAAACTCATCGGTGGGTTGTATCTGGCCGGCCAGATCAACGGTACCACTGGATACGAAGAGGCAGCTGGTCAGGGTATTTTGGCTGGCGCCAATGCCGGTCTCGCTGCACAAGGCAAGGCACCGATGGTGCTGACCAGAGCAGACGGGTACATTGGCATCATGGTCGACGATCTGATTACGAGAGGGGTCTCGGAGCCGTATCGTATGTTTACATCTCGCAGCGAGTTTCGAATTTCGAGTCGCTCTGATAACGCTGATCTCCGTCTTACGGCCATGGGCCGAGAGGCATCTGTTGTGTCAGACGAGCGATGGAACCAATTCTCAGAAACCAAAACACAAATAGATGAGCTTTCGCGATTACTGGAAAACACACGATACACATCAAACCAATGGTCGCGCATGGGCTTCCAGACCAGGGTGGACACTTCATACCGCAGCGGTCTCGACATGCTCTGCGTTGAGGGCATCAACATCGACTCCCTCATTCCTCACATCGCCTCTCCCAACGGCGCCGCATATACATCCGCCTCATTCGACCCTGAGATCAAGAAACGCGTAACCATCGAAGCACAATACGCGCCCTACATCAAGCGACAATCCTTGATGGCTGAGAAATTCAGACGAGAGGAACGAATGCTTCTCCCGCCGAATATGGATTATTCGGCTGTCCATGGGTTGAGCACAGAGGAACGACAAGCGCTTGAACGCGTGAGGCCGGAGAATATCGGTATGTTGAGACGGATTGAAGGGATCACGCCGTCTGGTGCAGTCAGGATTATGATGTATCTTCGCAAGGGGCGTTTATTGACTGCTTCGGAAGATGAGGTCAGAGAGATGGCTTCTGCATAAGCTTTGTATAGGCTGTCTTATGTATTATATTTTCATTCATAGAGCATAGCGCGCGCAGGGTTGGCTACATGTACAATACAATATATACCTTCATCTGGGTTACCTACTACGTACTTCTATGAATCTGTAACCAAACCTTAAGCTCTGAGGTTCTTCGGCCCCACATCAAGTGTCGTGCGGAGCTCTTCAGCTACTCCAGATTTGTCTTGCGATTTTCCAACGACAATGCTTTGTTCTCAGTCATCCAATGACTGATCCTCAACCACGATGGAAATATTCGGCAGTCCTCCAACAAACATAACCGCCCTGTCGCCATCGTCAGCTGCGCGCGATTCCCGAGTCCAGCTCCCCACAACCACTGATCCTCCTGGTCCGAACAATCCTCCCAAACAGCTCGTATGGCTTGTACGTCTATTCCCTCTTATTTCGATACGATAATAATGATAGTGATGCTAATTTGCTAAAGATATTCGGCGCGACAGGCCACATGGGCCGCTCCCTCGTCAAAGCTGCCTTGCTACACAACGACCTCGTCGCCGCCGTGGGCCGCACCTTCGAAGACAGCCACGAATCAATGCAGCGCATGGCCACCGAGAATGAAAACTGTCTGGGCCTGCTGTGCGACGTCCGCGTGCGCGAGACAGTAAGCGAAGTCTTTGAACGCACAATCGCGCATTTCGGACGCGTCGATCTCATCGCGAATTGTTCCGGTTATGGCGTTATTGGTGCCTGCGAAGATCAGGATGACTACGATATTCGCAATCAGTTTGAGACGAATTTCATGGGGACTCTGAATATCATTCAGTTGTCATTGCCGTATTTTCGAGATAGGCGGGCGGGTAGATATGTCATTTTCAGCTCTACGTCGGGTGCTCTCGGTGTTCCGGGTCTAGGGCCGTACTGCGCATCGAAGTACGCGGTTGAAGGGTTGATTGAGAGTATGCTTTATGAAATTGATAGTTTTAATATCAAGGTTGCGCTCATCGAGCCGGGTCATGTTCGACGGGATGATGTGGTGACCAAATTGACGCCAAATACGTGGGATAACCCGCCGCCTCATCTACCAGCATACGGACATTTCTTTATTAAACCTACCAGCGAGCCGTATCGCACCAATTCGTCGCCTGCAGCGCATGCGCGCCGATTACTGCTCTGGTTGGGCGATAAGCAACCCGTCAGTGCTGTGAAAGCTGCAGAGTTGGTGTGGCAATTGGGACACTGCTCGTTTCCACCACTACGTTTATTGCTTGGGTCTTATGCGGTTGATAGTATCCGTGACAGGCTACGGTGTATTACGGAGGAGATTGAAGATTGGAAGTACTTGAGTTTTCCGCTTCCTGGTCAGGAGGCTACGAATGAGCCTAATGCCGGTTATCAAACGTCGCCAGCTTACAAGAGTGATGAGAATGAATATGGTCCTGCGACGGGCTAGGTGCAATCAACAATTATTTTCAACGAGCTATCTTTGTTGAGTGAGATGTCAAATTACTTCTTGCTACCCTTGTATCGAACTCCATGGGCGAGAAGAAGATACTTCGAAAAGAAATCCGTGGCAAACTCATCAAAAGCGTCATACGTGGCCCCAAGACGATACGCAGCAGCAATACCAGAAACGCAAGCAACTTCATGCATGTTCTGAAAAATCAGCTTGGAACGACATGCCAGCTTATGGATTGACTTACCACCAAGGTCCAACTACCACCAAACAACGTGTGATTCTTGCCATTGATAAACATAACTCCCGGTACAACACGGAGATAATGCTGCCATCGATGGCCCAACTGACGCCACCATTTCCGTTCTATGACCTTGTCGTCCTTGATATCGTCGATTGTCCACAGATGCTTTTCGGCGTCGTTCAAGAAGATCGTTTGGAAAACGTGACGGTCATGTTCCAGCGGCGAAGAGCCATCTTCAAGACTCTCACGGAACTGGTACTGATAATTAGTGCAGTCAAATCCCATTTCAATCCGGTCGGGATGCGTCGGATAGGCATGCGTATAATACATTGGCTGGAATCCGATCCAACCATCTTCGCGACGTTGAGGCTTACTCGTGGCAAATGAGATTTGGTCTTTTCGTTCTTTGGACGTCGGTTCGGCACAGAGTTCGTCGCGATAGTGGCTCTCAAAGATGCTTTGAAAGTACTTTGCGTCTGAGTGGGTGACTGTAATGTCGTTGTAATACCTGGCACCTCCCAGAACCCATTTTTCTCTCCAAGTCGCATGTCGACCGAGCAGTTTGAGCGTATCTTCCGCCTGGGTACACAACACAAGCTCATCGAACTCCTCTTCCATGACCTCTTCGGAATTCGTATCTGACAAAAGCTCGGTCACATTCGACTGCTCCCTCTCATGTTCATCAATTTTATTCCTCTTCGTCCTGAGAACAACTTTCTTCTTGTCTCGTTGAACAATCTCAACCTCGCAATGAATCCTAAAGGTGACTCCCTTCGACCTCAGATCTTCTGTCCAATCACGATAAAACGCCCCGAGATTTGGAAACGTATGCATAGCCGGCAAATTCGGCAGTAATGTATCTGGATCATACTCCCAAAGACTCATATTGGGATCGTCAAACAACCTCTCCAGCAAACCCGCAGGCACGTTCGGCGTCTGATTCCCCGTGCCCAGAAACAGTGCCAACAACGGCAGAACCATCTTATTACTGAAATCCGTACTGAAGCGACACAACTTCAGCAGCACCGAAACAGGCAATATCCCCGTGATGGGTAACGTATATTTAACCCATTTCAACACCTTCCCAAGCTTCTTGATTTCAGCCGAACATTTATCCACAAGCGGACTGGGGAACACGTTTGTCCAGAAGTTATCCATCCCTTTTCCGAACGAAACCTGCAATTTGACTTCTTGCGGTGAATATCCGTAGCGCCGGAAGAAGTTGAAGGTGTGGCGAAATATTCCTGAACCGCCCTGGACGCCGTCGTTGAGCCAGGAGGCGCCGTATTTGTGGGTATCGAGGTCGATGGAGGTTGCTTGGCCGCCGATGTGTTGGGCGGTCTCAAAGACGGTGACGTCGAACTTGTCCGGGTGGGCGGCGAGGGTTGCAGCACAGGACTTGGTCATGTTAGTTCTTATCTAGAGAAGAAGAAGATTCATGAAATGAGATTGGGGAGGTACCATCCCAGCAGCTCCAGCGCCTATAACGGCGACTCTCTTTTTCTTATCTGGCATGGTGATAATTGTCTATGTCGCTCAAAGGTTGTAGTGCCAGTGTTTGATCGGCAGGAAAGTTCGCAGACCATTATATAACCTATAAGCGCATTACGTACAAAGGGCATCTTGTACATTCTTCTTCTCTATCGTAGCTACCTAAGTATGTAGAATGTATACATTGAGTACGATCCGTGACCGCAAATGACGTCGGGATCTGGTGGTTTGCGGGTAGCGGAGATCGATCGATAACCTTATCGCTTAGGGTTACGATCTTACGCCCAGTGTAATACATACAGTATTCAACTCTATTATACTTGATAAATAGTAGGTACTAATATACACTCACACAGCAAACTCCTCTAACCACAACAAACAGGTMCCTCCACAACGAGCCGTGAACAACCACCGTCAGACTGCACCTGACAAAACAACATTTATCTGGATATCATAATATCAATATTACCAGACTGACAACAGCAAAGCTTTGTCCGCTGGTATCAATCCTTGCGGAGTTTCTCCTCGACCATAGCGCGAAGCTCAGGAGCAGATGGCATCGATTTCGTGGCGCCATTCCTCCGCATCTCTTCGATTTCTTCCGAAATCTCTTTGATCGCGTCATCAACTTCTTTCTCCAGATCGTTCGGAAGACCCAACACAGGGGTATCGGCGCTCACGGTTCGGGCCAATGCTGGGCGGCTGCGTTTCTTCTGTTTTGCGCTGAGATAGGCTCTGGCAGGGCTAGCAAAGAACGCCGTCGCCGAAGCAACGCTGACAATACCGTAGAAGTACACACGACTCCACACCGCAATTGTGCCACTAAAGGATAGAAGAACGAATGGAGCGACAGTGAAGGACATGATCAATTGAGTCACAACCCAGGAGACGACGTCATAATAGGGCTTCATTGCAGTTGGCTTGGACCCGTCTGGGCTCATGAAGAAAGGACGGACGTGGCGTCGGAAATCTGGCCAAGTGTTAGGAAAGCTCCAAAACATAAGAAAGATAGATACGCACTCTTTGCTACAGTCTGAACGAATGAAGCCAAAACAAATGCCAAATAATAACCAGGATAGAAACCGTGCCAAAACGCGCTGGTACTGAAGGTAGCCAAGCTGGCCCTGAAACCCGGTTTTTTGCCCTTGGGGGTGACTCGCAAGTACACGTAGTTACGCAGCCAGTGGTTGGTGTTCTTGTTCCAGTTCTCGAGATAACCTCTGGTATTTTGCGCCGTCTCCAAACCCCAAACATTGACATTCTCTAGACGGTCCCAGAAGACCTTGCCTGTCTTCGCGTCGAAGCCATTGTATCCAAGACCTGAAAGAATACAGGCACCTTCGGTCAGGGACCACGCACCGTAGTACTTAAGCCGGGAGACAAAACCAAGCATATGCAGTTGCCATATGCGACGTGGGAGCGAGTAGGTCTTGTATTCGTCGCTAAAGTAAAACGAGATTGGGAATTTAGGGGCCAGCTGCACAAAGGCCAAAACCCATATTATGCCCATGATCATTTTTTTCAAAGCTGGGCGACCACTGCGTGGAATCTTTCGCTTCTTCCGAGTAGGAGGGACTTTCGAGGGATCGGTACCAGGAGGAACTTCGAAGAGCGTTGTGTCAATCCAGCGGCGATAATCGACATAGTCGAAAGCAGGACCCGCGAAGAGTGACGGAAAGAATAGCACGTAGCCGGCGTAGTCTAGTACGCTTGGGAATTTCCTGATTGCTGCATACTTCTGAGCATCCGTAAGGTCTTTGTCGGGAAGACGACCATCATGCACGTTCCAGCAGAATGCCGAAAGTTTCATGACAAGAACCATTTGAGGGCCAGTGATATCAACAACCGATGCGTCGTCTGCAATTTGGCGATAAATGTGGCTGATTGACATATGTCCCATCAAGAAGGTGAAGCCGATCCAAGGCATCAGAGAGCCATCGATATAGTATGCAATAAGATAGGTGGCTACGGAGCTATACGTCAACGTGAGCAAGCCATCCCAGAGCTCATACAAGCCGAGGATGTAAAAAAGAGACACGGCGATAATAAAGACATTCTTTTTCCATGGGTCTTTGTCCGGGATTCGCTTGAGAATGGCGGCCAACGGGTACGAGATGAGGAAGGATCCGATGAGTTTGACTGTACGAAGCGGATCGGTCAGTATGATGACTGCTGCGCAAGCCGAAGCAACTGACCGTCGTCAACAGATGCTCCAAGTATGTTTGCCGCCCCGGTAAAAGCTGTACACAGATTTTGTCAGTTATATTTAGCCGCGTGAAGGAAATATAAAAAGCTCTTACGAGCGTCAATATAAGCGCGGATGGCAGCCATGGCGGGCGTTTGCCGATGGTCTGTCTAGGCGATAAACTGGTACTCAGTCATACAAGAAATGAAAACGAGAAAAAGAATGTGAAGAGAAAGACAAGAATCGTATGAATGTATAGCAAGAAAATTTAAGAAGATGAAGCGGGAGCGATGCCGTCATGTGCTGGGGTATGGAAGGAGCTAAGGACTTTTTGTTGAGTGACCGCCTCAAGTGACCCGCCACATACTCGACTGCTTAGTACTCGTATGTATGTATGTACAACTACATTAACCTAGAGCTCGACAACCTGTCTAGCTGATAGGCTATTGGTGTGCAAACCAGCAAATCTCGTTCGACCACAGTTTCACGTGCTGTGACATTCCTCTAGCAGAGCGGTGCTGCTTCGACCTATCGGAGCGTCCGTTCCCCCTCGACCAGCAAGCTTATGAGCACTGCCTAGACTACAACAAGCTAACGCTTACTGTTGACACTTGTTTACATACTAGACCTACCATCAAAGGATAACAAGACCAATATTCAACGATCCAACCCAGCGCATTGCATCGCATCGCATCGCATCGCTTTCACAATGGATGTCGTCGCAGCAGTGTCCGGGTACCTATCCCGGATGGTGACTGTCGGCGACTCTTCTACAGCAGGCTCCTCGTCGTCCAAGATGAAGATTCTCCTTCTTGATAGTGAGACAGTGGGCAACACGTTTATCGGCTTCCCGAATTTGCACTGACTGTAGCGGCAGGKTCCGATCGTTTCGACGGCGATTACCCAGTCGGCGCTCCTCAATCATGAAGTCTACCTCGTCGATCGTCTGGATAATCAAGCACGAGAGAAAATGCGACACTTACGGTGTATATGCTTTGTGCGCCCGTCGCCGAATTCCATACAACTGCTTATTGACGAGTTGCGAGCCCCGAAATACGGAGAGTACCACCTGTTCTTCACGAATATAATTCGCAAGTCATCGCTCGAGAGACTTGCTGAGGCGGACGATCATGAAGTTGTACGCGTGGTGCAGGAACAGTTTGCGGATTTCATCGTGATCAACCCTGATTTGTGCTCGCTCAATCTAGGATTCCCGTTGAGTAGGTTATGGAGTAATAGCCCCGATGTGTGGAATAGCGACGCGTTGCAGAGGACGACGGAGGGCGTGATCGCCATGTTACTGGCACTGAAGAAGAATCCATTGATTCGTTACGAGAAAAATAGTCTCATGGCCAAGAAGCTCGCAACAGAAGTGCGCTACCAACTTACTCAAGAAGAGCAACTCTTCAACTTTCGAAAGACCGATACCCCTCCTATTCTTCTCATTCTCGACCGACGAGACGATCCTATAACGCCTCTTCTCACACAATGGACATATCAGGCTATGGTACATGAATTGATTGGTATTCACAATGGTCGAGTTGATTTGCGCGACGTCCCTGATGTTCGACAAGAACTGCAGGAAATAGTACTGTCGCAGGATCAAGACCCGTTTTATAAAAAGAACATGTACCAGAATTTTGGAGACCTGGGAGGGAATATCAAGGAGTACGTTGAGCAGTATCAGGCCAAGACACAAAGCAATATGAGCATCGAGTCAATTGCAGACATGAAGCGATTTGTGGAGGATTATCCAGAGTTTCGAAAATTATCGGGCAATGTCAGCAAACATGTGACTCTAGTTGGCGAGCTTAGTCGTCGTGTTGGTGAGGACAATTTGTTGGACGTCAGTGAGTTGGAGCAGAGCCTGGCATGTAACGACAATCATGCCAACGATTTGCGCGTGAGTATGAAGTAAACTTAAAGACGACTCTTGCTAACTTTTGCAGTCATTACAAAGAATAATTCAGCTCCCCTCTGCCAAAGCTGAAAATAAGATCCGCTTAGTCGCGCTCTATGGCATACGTTACGAAAAGCAGCCCAATAACTCACTGCCGGTCTTACTTGATCTGCTCTCTGCTGCTGGTAACGTTCCACAACATGAAGTCAACATCATCTCCAAACTACTTGCGTACCACCACTCTCTACAAGCACCGCCAGTAGCGGGTGGCTTTTCCGACCTTTTCGAATCTGCTTCTTTATTCTCGGGTGCTCGTGACCGGTTCAGGGGCTTAAAAGGTGTCGAGAACGTCTACACACAACACTCACCTCGACTAGAGGCAACACTACAGAATCTTATAAAGGGCAAGCTGAGGGAGCTACAATATCCCTTCTTGGAAGGTGGTGGGCATACAAGGGATAAGCCGCAAGATATCATCGTTTTTATGGTAGGTGGAGCAACGTACGAAGAAGCCAAGTTGATTGCCCAGATCAATGCCAGCTCCCCTGGAATCAGGGTTGTTCTCGGAGCGACCACGATTCATAATAGTACGACATTCTTTGAGGAAGTCAACGATGCAGTCAGCAACTGGCCAGAGCCTACTCCTGGCTCGGCGGCAGGGCGACTGCGAAGAGAGCTAGGGCGGTGATAAGTCACCGGATGATCAGCAAGGCGTTGGCGTTGTTTGGTGGTTATACTGTAGTAATTTGTATGTAAATACATACCAATGCATCACTTAGACATATTTTCACACTACCTACCTTGTTAATGAATAAAGTGTATGACACGCTATAAATCTATGCGTAGATATCAGCTTAACGACGTTTAATTACAATATCTCTACGCACTACAAGGCTGAACATATTTTGAGACGCAACTAGCCACACAAGCACTTGGAACCATATTCTACCATGCACATCTGTAAACATACATGTAAGAACAAGGCTTATGTACCTAGATAATTGAAGAAATCAAAACCGGGCCACTCTACTACTGGATATGATGTGCAGTATGATATATCCTAGTCTCAGATCCAAAAGTCGAGACACATCCATGCACTTTGTACATGAGACTAATGCATGTATGATCTCTGTAACGCATGAGTAAAGTTCAGAATTGACTTTTTGTGTGACGATGCACTATATAAATCGATCTTTGGCTGACGATAGGTCACGTAGCACATAGTAGTAATTAACTCAGTAAGTTGTAGGGTGAATCAGAATTTGGGAATCGATTCATCCATGCCAACATCGACTATATTTGGCATTTTAATAACTAGGTCCACGGAAGCTGCAACCGATGGTACGCATATATAGACCAGAATAGGAAAAAGAAGGGCGTATTCATCGTTCTTCAGAGAACTTGTGCTAGGCAGCTAGAGGTAAAGGAAAGTGGAAACCTTTATAAAGGGTACATGGTGATGTTACATCGAGGGACTTGGACTAGAGTCTTAGGGCTAGATTACCTTATTCTGGAAGGCTGAAGTAAACCCTCCTCGGATCTTTTAGGCAAGTCGAAAGTTAAGCTTAGCTGCATATCATTATTGCATGCTTTAGTGTTTAATTTAATGCGTTTCTGCGTGCTGCTGAGATAGGTATATTGCAGAAAGGTAAACGACCTAAGGTGTCAATATATCAATTCAGAGCATGTCTCTACGGAAACTCACGGGACTGTCTGATCGACTCGACTAGGCGTATCTGAATGAAGTCTCTCAGGCCCTCAATTGGACAGGAATTGATATATGAATATGCAATCAGATCTCCGAGAGTCTACTCGGCGTACTTGTACGAATGCAAGTGGCCCTCTCAAGGATCAATTTGCTTAGGACCATGTGTCTGACTCCCAAATTCCTACCGACTTCCGTGATTATAGTGGGCAATTAGCTTTTTTGATTGGAATCCTCATTGCGGTTGCAGAAGAGAGGTGTGTTTATTGCCTAATCGGGTAATTTATATCGATTTGGTCGATTGATTGAGTCGCTGATTATGTTTACTGTCTGCCCGGTTGTCGGTTCGAAGAGACGATTGGAATTGTGATATAATGGTTCTGAAGTAAGTACTTTCCATATGATCCGGTGATAATATAGGTACACATGTTTCTGTGATTTATGCATTCATAGAACGGCACTTACTTGTCGTTAGTACTTGAGGATTCAGCTATACCGAAAGTATCAGGAGGCCGTCTAGGAATCTAATTGATTTTCAGGAACAGTTAGAGTTCCCTGGCATTCAACGATGACTGGGACTGACATGAAAAATCTCTTATTTCCTGCCAGTGTGCTCAAGTACTATCATATAAAGTCCTCGAGCTTGGCTCTAACTACAACTCGCCTTCATACGTGAAGCCGGATTATTACAAAAAAACAAAAGATCTCTCAACCCTCCAATACAGTAAACCCGGGTCTTCCTGTCAAACATTGGTTTCTAGCTAGTGCTTAGGTACATCGTGTTGCGAAATCAAGACCTCGTAGCTCTTCAAAGCTCTTCTGCCCATTTGGACCCCAAAACCCCGTCATCCCTTATCAGGCATGGTGACGATAACAGCTGAAGCAGCTGAGTATATCAGATCCGCTCGAACCTCGGGTAGACACATACGTAATCCGATGATCAATTGAGCTTGAAACGAACCTAGAGTCCGATACTTGCTAGGTATGGAGAAGGGATGGAATTTTTCATCCAAGTACCTAACACTACGTACATCGCTGGATTCTGTTGTACCTAGTTCGGACGACGTAGTGACAACTAACCGCTAATCAATTAGTGCATTCTTCAACCTGGTCGCTCTACCACTGGTCAGTCGTCCGTCATGCCATGCAACAACACTGATTCAGTAGACTTGCATACCTAGTGCATTGCTCTGAAGGTCTGATCCCCTCATAATCATTCCGCGTCTCAAGTTTACTATACTCTCGACCTTGTCGACATAATAAATGGTGCATGTCCTTGATCATCGTCATCATCACATGAATACCAAACCACATATGCACTCCATACTGATCAAAACAGTCAAGCCTTGCAGAATCTACAAGGGTAAAAAGTTAGAAAAGTGGTTGTTGAGAGTGGGTCTATCTACTATAATAAATAGCCCCTATTAATCTATTTCCGTCCACGTACGTAGTACGTAACTGAATCACGATCAGATTTAGGCACTTAGAGGTATACAGAAGACTAGAATTGATGTAATCTTCAGCGTCTGGTGATCTCGATGGCGGTGCGATGCGCTGGGCAGCAAGAATCCGCGCCTGGATAGTGTGTCGACTAGTCGAGCCCAGTTCGAGCACTTTTGAACCATCGATTGTGAATTTCACCCTCGCAGTAAAATAGCTAAGCCACGCGAATCAGCCCCTCCCCTTTTCTCATACGTCTTTTCCTTTCCCTTAATTCTCAGGCACTCCGTGACTCCGATGCTATCGTACAACAAGTCGCACAACCGTTAGTGAAGTTAAAGTTGACGGAAATGAATATCCGACTAATTAAGCGAGGGGTATACCCATCTCAACCTAGAAAAGAAGAAAACATGATGGGCTGATCGAAACGTCAAACCAATGACCGATTCTTTTTGTTTCTGTGCTTTGACAACGTCTATCTATACGGCTACGAAATGAATCACTGATAAGTGACCAGTGATAATTCACCCCGACTCCTGCTCCCTACTCCCTAGACAGTCGGAGACACTAACAACCTGCAGGACATACTAAAAAGGCATCTTTTGCCTTCGGGGCCTAGATCGTTTATTGACCGCTCTTGAGGGATTCGCTTCTCGTCCCCTTACTGGGTGTTCTTGGGCATTTGCACTCCCCTATTGACAGTGATCAAATCCCGGAGATGCATTCGATGGCGTCCTATCAGTAGCGACACGAAGCGAAAACAAGACAAGCTACGGATATCTACTACCCCCCTATAGGGCGCGGACTCGAGCAAGAGCAGTGGGGTAGCGAAATAGCCACTGTGAGGTAGGGTAGTCAGTCAGTTGCTTAGCACTTATTAGCTAGGCGCAAGAATAAACTAAATATCAAAAGCGTTGAGACTTACTACGTACTTAGTTAGACTTGAGTGGATTCTGGAGTACGCCTCGCTTCATCCACGGAAGAAGCATTCCGAGATGATCAGGCGACTTGAATGCATGCTAGATCCGGCGGGCCGGAGAGAAGGGGGCGAACAAGAAAGACGGCTTGGTGTTTTGACGATAATTGTTAGGAGGAGAAATTTTCAAATCAGTGAGGTGTTGATGTCGGCTTTTTAGGGCTTGTTTGATTGGTTTGGAGGTACGCTTGAGCCTTGTGCATGGAGTATTGTATGTAACGAATACCGGTATTAGGAAATCGCTTACCTACCTCTTCTGTACTAGTAGCATTGCTGTACGAATTGGTATCATTACGGAGTACATCTCCGTAATATTTACCATGGAGTGGCTGTGGTTAGGGCTAGGGATTGTTGAGCCGAAAACAGCCCCGTCAATTTCCTACAGATCATTTCGTCAGCACTGAGGACGTCACGACTGTCCTGTAATCGTCAGATCGTTTTAAAATCAACAATGATTATTGTTCGATTTTGTCTGTTACTCAACAATAGATCGTCGAACTCAAATTGGTACTAACTGGGGTACCTGACTCGGTCTGAGTCGGTCACCTCCTCAGTCATCTCGTACCCATTACTAAGTCCTCCATCCGATTCGTCTCTACATCTCAAGACTGATTTCGAGTCAGAATCCGCAAGATCGACCGTCTGGATCCAGGAAGAGTATCAACCAATCATGACTACACAACCACGTTGATTGAACTTGGTTCAGCTTAGTTGTGCCATTTTAGTTGTTACACAAGATCAGCCAGTGCTTAGTACAGTCTAGTAACACATCGTACAAGATCAAACCTAGTCTCGATCTATGGCATTTCATACGACAATCCTACTATTGCACAGGCGCAATTGAGTTTTGTCTCTCAAGGGAGCGCCGAGTTGTCGGGTCGCGCTGCCTATGCGGGCCGTTGGTTTAGTTTTCTTTGCTTTTTTTCAGATCCTTGTCTATTTAGTACATATTTACGTACATGGTGCTCCGTAGTATCGAGCACATATTCACATACCTGCATGCATCTGATTTCAAATACTCAACGAAAATCATCTTAAGCTCGAATGTAGACATACATGCCTATGGAGTCGCAAAGCGTACGATCGCAAAGACAGATTAAGCGACTCCACCGACTGCATGTACTCCGCAATATCTGCATGAGAATCGAGACATGTGGTTGGTCCAAAAAAGACCATTTAGTACATTGTGCTCCATCGTCTTGAGGAGTCTCTTGACTCGATAAATCCATACCAGTTGCGAATGGGGTATCTTACTAACTACTATAAGTATAAATGGGGAAATGTGTAGACTGGTGGGAATCGAATTGGTGGAAATTGAAACCAGCGTCGGGATACCTGCCTCCGTAAGGCTATACGAAGGTCCTAGCTAGGTAATTAGCAATTGCCCATTCTAGGTAATTCATCAGGCACATTTGACTGTGATTCAATATTGGGCCGCAACTGGCGACTTCAATACTTAGTGCTGCTACAGAGCTCTATGATTAGAGCGATGATCAATTATATCGTCAAAGTCAAAACTCGTATGATAGACATATAGCTGCGTGTCGTTATAATAATCTGTCAGTCA